ATAAGCCAAAATCATTATGTCACTCGTAAGTGTTCCATCATTTTGAAACTTTCTGAAATTTGAATCTTGTTTTATCAAGATCTGGGAAATCACAAAGAACAACAGCAGCTTGTTGAAGAGAACAAGACTCTACGGTGGTGCTTCATTCCACACCTCACCAACCAACCCACTCAACATTAACTCTGAAAAGTACACCAAGACTAACAATGTCAGTGTTGATGTTACACCAAAGGGTGATTTGCTCATCAAGAAGTCCACTCATGATGCTTCTGTCAGAAAGCCAAAGGAATATGTCAAGAAGTCAAAGGTCGCCAACAAGCAATTGTCTGTCACCAAGGCTGCTAAGACTATTGTCGAAACAACTGAAGGTGAGGATTTCAGAGGTGATTTGAAGACTGTCCTCGTTGCCAGAGCTGCCAAGTTGTTGAGATTGAAGCACAAGTCAAAGAAGACCACCAAGGCTACTCAATCCAAGTAAATTAATAATTAAAACAACAAAAATTTATTCATTATTTGGCCAAATGTTGTTGAAAATAGAGAAATTGTGTAGAATCATCTTCGGAAAGAGCTTTTTTCAGAAGCAACTTGGAATAGAACTGCTCGAAGATAAAGATCCTGTTCTTTGGGTAATGGAGGAGGAGGGCTGTCAGTATTGAGGTTCCAATTCACCATTCCCTTTCCGAATATTGACTCTTGGAGAGAAGTAAGCCGAGAGCTCAAGAGAAGAGGGAGGTCTTTGCAATGACATGCCAATTCAGAGGGAGCAATATATTTGAGTCCATACGTGATCAAATATTCAATTAAGTATTGACATGATTCAACATCATCAAATTGTGAAGCAAAAATAAGAATGGATTTGTAATTGCTAGGAGTGACATGTTGGAGCAAAATCTGACAACAAAATAGAGTGAGCCATTCCATTTGAAATTGAAGAGAAATGAGGATTATCTGAAATAACAAATCAACATTCATGTGAGAAGAGGTCAAGTCCTCAACGTTTGAATAGCATGACTTCAATACTATCAATAAAGCCTTTCTTTTCAATTCTTGTTGCTCTTCGCTGTCTTTCGAGTCTCTAACAAATCCATAAATATCGAAGGGAGTGTCTTTCGAGGAAGAAGTGTCTGAAAATGCATCATTTTCATAGAGAACTCGAAGTACTGGACTCAATGCAGAAATTACATGTTTATGCACATGAATAATGCAAGCACTTTCGCTCGAGTCCCCTATCGAGCATTTAAGGTCACTACTAGTGATATCATTAAACAGAGAAGCCAATAATTTTGAAGAATCATATTGGTTCTTCTTCATAAAGTCATTCTCTCTCCAATCCAAAACAATCTCACAAAAGCCCTTCTTGGAGGTCTGAATTCTCTTTTCAAGTTTCATCCGTCTCTCGTCATCATGTATCGAATGTTTCATATTGTTCCATTGGCCTTTCATGAAGGCCAAACACTTCCTAACTGCAAGCATGAGAACACTCCTTTTGAGGAGTTGGTCAACACATTAGCCGACAAGTAATTGGATATTTGTTGAACAATATCGAACACATTGGATGTTTCCAACATTTCCGAGAGAGTCTCAAAACAATGTTTTTAAACCACACTCCAATATCATTCACATCATTAAGGAAGAAGAGGAGAAAGACATAGAATTGAACCTTTCTGAGAGAGGCTTGGAAATAGTTCGTAAAGAAAGAATGATAAAGATGAACAACATCACTCCCCTTATCGTCCTCTTCATTCTCGTGATCATCCTTATGAAAACCATGATCATCATTCATTAATAGGATGTCACTGTTCATCCTGATGAACATGCTCACAAAAAGTTGAATCCAGTCCTTTTCTTGAGGATTCAATAAGGAAAGAAATTCTTCTCGTTTCAATACACTACTCATATCGGGAGAACACTTTTCAACAAGTGGATGGAAAATTCTCCATTCATGGGGATTGTCACAATGGAGAGAAGAAGACTCAGAAATGATCTCATGTGAAATTGGAATCATTCTTGAAATGATCCAATCTTCCAGAGTGATGGTGATGGTGGTGGCATGATTATTCATCATCGAAAGATTGAAAGTTTGTGAATTTCTCACCACCACTGATTCGCATGGATCATGCACAAGAATGGTGCATTCAGGTCCAACAAAACCTTCACTCTATCTTGCTCGTTCCATTCAAAAGGTAGTGGAATTTGAGTGGTCCGAGTCAAACAAGGAAGAGGTTGCTCATGACCAAGACCTAACTCACCAGATGTATTTTGTCCACCTCCTTCAAGAGTTCTCTGTTCTGTCTCGACGATCCAGTGAGTGTTGGAACAAGAGAGACCAATGGGTATGAAGGGATGATTCAAATGAATCATCATGAAGGAAGATGTATCGTTATAGTAATGATATAATGATCACGAAAGTGGTGCATCATGTGTTCTGGAATTGGTTGAGGTTTAAAGTTTGAAATTGAACTCAGTTTGGATCCACAGGCACTGGTTTTGGATTGCAATCGCGTAATCCCAAGACATAACCTCGATTTCTTCCCACACCATAAACTTTCCCGAATTGTGTCAAGATGAGAACGGAACCATGTTTCATTTCGAATTTAATGATTTGATCATCCATATCATCTAACAAATAATCCATGAATTCAATACGAGTGAATTCATAGAGACAGTCCTTTTCTTGTGTGGATGTTACGGAATTTCGGTTCTGTTGTTTGTAGTTCAAGTAGTTCATAAAGAAGCCTTTTCCACAAGCGTAAACATGTTGCCGAGGGTTTTGTTTAAAAACATGGAAACGTTTGTTCGGAGAAGGCTTCGACATCGAAACCAACTCGGAGTTGACTTGTTTCGTTTGGTGAGAGGATGTCAAGGTTTGAGAGAACATTTTTTGAGGAATAGAGACGAATTCTGTGATGCATAGACTTTATATTGATTGGAGAAGGCAGTATGAGGGCATTATCAAGGCAATTGGTACCACACACATACAAACAGTAACTTTTTTTATTATTATTGAATTTCATACATTCAAAATAGTTTGAAAAGTTGTAGATTTCTTGTGTGTGTGTGGTCGAGAAAGATACGTGTTGCTCAATCAATTTTTCTGTTTCAATTTCATTTCAACTTTTCAGTCATGAATGATTTCATTTGCAAGCTCTTAAAAGTTTTGATTGGTCCATCAACATCAAAATAAAATCAAAAAATTTGATCGAAAATTTTGAGGACTCAAGAGTCGTTTACGAGTTGTTGATCAAGACAGATGTAAGTGATTGGGATCGTATTGGGTGATCGGAATGATTCATGTATTGAATCCTACGTATTCAATTCATTCTTTTTTAAAAACACTCAATTAATGTACATGAATATATAACAGACAACAAACTTCTCATCATCAACCCAATCCACCACCATCATTACCATGGACATGAGTACATTTACCGATTACGTTACCAAGACAGTTCAACAGGTATACGACAAAGGAAGAGGTGTGTTAGAACATTATGGCATTGTTGAAAAGCCTGTTCAGCCAAACACTCACGATCCAATTCGTAATTTCATTGGCAATCATCCATATATTACTACAAGTATTGTATCACTTGCTGTGAGCTCCTCTGTCAAGTTTATACTTCGTCAATTGAGAAAGAGAGTATCTCCTCATACAGTTCTTGAAATTGATTTGGAGGATTTAGAATTTACAGCACAACCTGTGACTCCATCCCTCGCAGCATTGTTCTCTCAAGGAAAAACAAAGATGCATTACTTGACATTTGTGGATGTATTGAAGGTTGCTAAACAGAATCCAAATATTGTTGGTCTTGTTGTCTATTTCCAAGGATCATCACACAATCCATTTTCTGGATTAGCACTTGCTCATTTGAGCGAAATGAGAAAGGCCTTGTTTGATTTCAAACAACACAAAACAACTATTGCCCATACACATTTCTTCAGCAATACTGTAAATTATTACTTTGCATCTGCTTGTGAAAAGATTTATATTGGAGATCAAGGACTTACAGTTTTGAATGGATTCCAACTTCGTAATTTCTTTTTGAAACAACTTTTGGATAAGGCTGAAATTGAACCATATGTTGTGAAGAGAGCAGAATACAAATTAGCTATGAATACATTCACAGAATCCAAATATTCTGAGCAACACAAGGAGCAAGTTGAAACTTTGGCTAAGGACCTTTTTGACACAATTATTAAGGACATCTCAGAAACAAGAGAAAAGAACGCTACTTCAGTTCGTGAATGGTTTGATATTGGTGTTTTTGGAGCATCTGCTGCTGTTGAGCACAAAGTGGTAGATGGTGTGAAGCATCGAGATGAAATGCTTTCAGTAATGGCTGACAGTTTGAATGTCGATTCAAAGAAGATTAACCTTCTCTACATTCAAAAGTATCTTCAACAAAAGTTAGAAGGGAATCCTCTTGACTATCTCAACCCAAAGAAAAAGTCTGACAATCTTGTCGCAATCATCTATGCCAGTGGAGCAATTGTAAGAGGAAGACCACAAAACCCACAAGATACGAACATGAACAGTGACGTATTGATTGACGCCATCTATAAGGCAAGAAAGAATACTGAAGTGAAGGTCATTCTGTTGAGGGTTGACTCACCAGGTGGAGAAGTGTTTGCTAGGTAAGTGATGAAACACAAAAGAAACTTTGAAAAATATTGAACTTTGAAAATATTGAACAATAATGGATCATTTCATACTCACGTTAATCAACATGTTGTATTGAAATATGAAACTGCACGAACACAATCATTTTCACGTTCTAAACAGTGAGCACATTAGAAGAGAGTTAGAGCTTGCAAAGACAGAAGATAAAAAGAAGATTGTTGTCAGCATGGGAGGTGTAGCTGCCAGTGGAGGCTATTGGATTTCCTCAGTTGCTGATAAAATTGTAGCTCATCCTTTTACTATCACTGGATCTATTGGAGTGATTATGGGCAAGTAAGTATCTCATCTTTTGTTGAAATATTCAACATGTTCTTCTTTAAAAGGTTCTTCCTTGGAGACTTCTTTGCTAATAAGCTCGGAATTACCAATGATGCCATTTCAACAAACAAGAATTCGTCTGTCTTTTCGTATTTCGATCGTGTCACAGAGCAACAAACAGAATTATTTAACAATGTTATTGACGAATTTTATGATTCCTTTATTGAAAAGGTCAGTCAAGCAAGAAATATCAGCAAGGACGATTTGAAGAATAAGATTGCCAAGGGTAAAGTTTACTTTGGTCAAGCTGCCAAAGAAGTAAACTTGGTTGACCAGGTTGGTGATTTTTATGACGCCGTCAAAGTAGCTAAGGAAGTTGCTGGCATGCAGAACGAACCACACCTTTGTGTTTTCTATCCAAAGAAGAAGTCTTTGTCTGAGGCATTGCTGTCATCCCAAGCACCAACAAACAGCAGAGATCGTGCTTTCAAATCTGGCGTCTCAGTTTTTGAGCCATTCTACGCCATGCTTCAGTCTTTGAGCGGATTATTTAAGGTTTCAAGTTTCTTTGCAAAACACAGCTCAATGGTTGACAAGTATGTTCAATTTGCTGAGAAAGCCATTCAAGCTAACAATGGGGAAGCCAAAGCTGAATTAGAAACAACCATCGAATTCTAATCAAATACAACAAATCAGGAAATTTTGCACAGTACTAAAGTGCCTCATTTCTCATTCGAATTGCTGTAACCTCCAATAAATGGGAAGAATTTGATTTTTTGATTTGAAAATCATTTCCTCCAAAAAATAGCTCATCATCATTGATTGAATTGCCATCATCTCGTTGCCAATCCGAATCCAAGGGCCGAATTTGAACATATAAATCACTAGATATTTTGGCATTTCATATATATATACCCGTTTCATCAAATTTTACATTCTACCATTGACAACCTCTTGTACCAGTAACAAAAAAACGTTATAATATCATCATCATCCAGAATATTCTAAAATGGGCAATTCGAGTGCTTCTCGTTCTGAAAATTCTATTGCAAAATTTCTTATGAGGGAAGAAGATGATGATGAGGCCTATGAACGACCACAATCCGGTAGCACTACAACAACTACTACCAACAGTCCCAATGGCAACGCTCCGCCTTCAAAGGCAGGCAAACCATTACGCAGTCCCAAAGTGGGAGATCCATTTGTTGACCTCGGAGTTATGTTGTCAATTGATAGCATATATCATGGATATCAAATTACATCATTGATCGGAAAAGGAAGCTATGGAGAAGTGTATTTAGTGAAAAAAGGAAATGCAAATTATGCTTTGAAGGTTTTGGAACTGCCAAAGACTACCGACAGAGAAGCCGTGGAAGCAATTGACAAGGAAATCAAAATTTTGAAAAATTTAAAACATCCAAATATTATGCAGTTTATCGAAGAATTTCCTTTGAAAGATCAAATGGATAAGAGTTGTGTGGGCGTTGTAACTGGTAAGTTGTGTTGTTTTTACATTCAAACAATACGAAATATATTGTGTTCAACTCTTAAAGAATATTGCCAAAAAGGTACTATTGGAGATATTATTGAAAAAGATCTTCATGTGAATATCAATATTTGGAGAGTACTCGCATGGTTCACTCAACTCTGTAGCGCACTCAAGTATTGTCATGAAGAAGGAATTATTCACAGAGACATCAAGGTATGTTAAAAAAGATTCCAAGAACATGATGATTATTATTTAAACAAAAACTAGCCATCAAACATGCTCATCGGGGAGGATGATACATTGAGATTGTGCGACTTTGGATTGGCCAAAATGTTAAATTCCAAAGGCGCTGTAACATACACTATTTGTGGAACTCCACTCTATGTTGGTATGTTTTAATGAACTGAATGACCATGTTAATGCATTAATAATACTTGATCAGCACCTGAGATTGCTCTTCAAAGACCATACGCCTTTAGTTGTGATATTTACAGCATGGGATTATGCGTTTTTGAGCTAACATGTCAACAACAACATGACTTGTTTTATAGAGCTGTTTTGAGAGAAAGAGAGAAAATTCCTGGAATGTTCGAAAAAATTAAGCTTGCTTCATTGAAGGACTTAATCAGAAAAATGGTTGAACCAGATCCCGATTTGAGAATTTCAGCTGCTAATTTATTTAAACATCCTTATGTGAGATGTTATCGCTATTTAACGTTAAATCCTGACTATACATTGACGCCTACTGAAGGTTCTGATGTTTATTTCATTAGTGCAATCATAGAGGCAATAGTTTTTGAAGGACTTCAAAATAATGAATCATCAAGAACCTATCCAGTGATTTCAAAAGCAGTGAACTGTATATTATTATTCATTCATGAGCAAACAGTCATTGAATTACTATCTAAGGAACAACAGTATATCAAGGCGCTGTTCAGTCTGTATCTAGATTCATGTCTGAATGAAACTGTGAGAAATGAAATTTCCCAAATATTTATTGCCTATGTCCAAACGTCAGAGAGATGTAGGAAGCATTGTGCTAATACTTTAATTGAAATAGCTCAACGAGCTCCTGAGTCATCGGTAGAGGAAAGAACACTGCCACGGTTTGTGTCACTCCTCACAGAAAATGAGCCTGCCTTTATTACCTCTCTCTCCACTCAATTGGAATTTAGAGACACACCCAAAGCATCCAAGTTATTACTTCCAAAACCATAAGATACCATGTACATTTTTGAATGGAACTCTCAAATACAGTCTCTTTTCAATGTAAAATTTGCAGTGCATTTAGATATTCTATCTGGATCTTTGTCCAGCTCACTGAACATGGGAATTTGAACTTGTTCTCTAAAAAAATGGCCACAGACCGATCTTTTCCTCTCCTTCCTCCGACCTGCCGATGAAAACGCTCTATCATCGTTAATAACCTCAACCTCCCTTCCAAAGAGTACTTATGATTATGGCATGATCATTTGTGGAATACCTTTCTCTGGACGATCCACTTTATTACGTCTCATTCGAAAGTTGGATGTTACTAAATTATTGAGCGATCATACGGTGGATTCATCAAGTTCGGGATTTTTATCATTGGCAACATCTTTGGTTTCTTCTGCATTCGTGCCTAGTACGAACTCTACAGATTCATTTACATACAAAAAAGCAGTTCAATTTGCCATTCTCGCTTCATGTTTGAATGCCATGCAACTCATCTTGCAAGAAATAAAAACAATACCACAAGAGGATGATCCCTTTTCTGCATACAATAGTGAAGACAAGAAATCTGTGTCTAAATGGACTGAATACGATGAATTGATTAATACCTACGAAGAACAAGTGAATTGTGTGAATGGTATTCACACAACCATCAATGCACCCATAACTACATGGGACAGAATATTGGATCAAGCTCCACAAATTGTCAACGCCATTGAAGATTTATGGAGAGTGCCTGTTGTGAAATTAGCCTATCAGAAATTAATGCAATCTTCCTTTTTCACTCCCTATACATCGAACAATCACACCACACACATCTTCAAAGAATCAAATGTAAAAGGAGAAAATATTCATGAATTATTTGACAATTTACATATCATTATGAAGTCAAATTATAACTTTTCAGACAGTTTACATTCGAACAGCAAAATATTGCAACTGGTATATTCATCTTATTTATTGGATAATACTTTTCATGACTGGAAATCATCACTTGGATCAGATGAAAAGAGTAATCCTAACGTCATTGTTGAAAACTCTCCTTCAGTGACGAAATTTGGAAAGAGACGATGGTGTGTGAAAATGATGAACGCACAAATGAATTACACTTGGAGCTCTCTGGAATTTCAAGACAAGCCAAATCTTGCTCCCATTGTAGTTTATTTAATCTCATTGGCAGATATTGATCGATACAGGAAGAATACTCCAATTTTTGACAGTCACGTGAAATATTTTACATCTTTGCTTTCAGCTCCAGGCACACAAAAAGTATTACTTTTTACCAAGGTTGACATTTTTGCAAACAAGATCATGTCTGGTAAAGTCAAAGTTTCTGAAATATTTCCAAATTTTGTGGGGAATGATCGTGACCCATTGAGAGTGTTTGAATATATATTCAACAAATTTTGGATTCCATGTCGAAAGTATCACGAAAATGTACCATACTATGTGGTCAATTTGGTAGATTTGGAAGAATGTTCACAATTTCTTTCAATTTTATTGGAAAAGGGATCACCTTACATGGGTAGATCATTCATTAGTCGACATTTGCTGAGAATGATGGAAATTTACTTGAAGAATAATTTGAAGAATTCATATGTGCAGGGAAGTACGTGTTCACATGGAGCAAATCGAAAGGGACAATTTTCTGATATTGAAATTGTGATCAGTGAATCCGAAAACTATTAATATTGGAACAAGTTTAGAATGCTGTCTATGCGCATCAATATAACCTTAAGAGTGGCTATGATTAATAAAATAAAAGCCATTTATTATAACACAAGATATTCTTGCTCAAATAGTTCCTAACTTCCATTACAACAAAAATACGGAGCAAAACAGCAACACAAGTAATGACATTAAACTCATTCCTCTCTGCACAAATGCACCCGAAATGCTTGTAGATGGTTTCGCCTTGATCTTGATGAAATCACTACCGAAATTGAGAGAAGGCATGGAAAATGACTCCACTTTTCCATTGGCAATATTAAATTTCACAACAGCACCTTCAATGCCAGTCAAAACATTACCCATACACGATAACGATCCTAATGTTGTCACCTTGAATGTCATGCTGCTTTGATCAATCATTTGCAAAGCAAAAGTGGGAGGATTACTCGATGGAGAAGGTGTTGAGCTTTCAACAAATGCGAATGTCAACAATCCATTAGTTGTGTCATAATCTATCTGAAGATATTGAGTGAACAACAAGAACTGATCAAAACTTGATATACACCAACCATGTCTTGAATCAAGGCGCGAGAGTTTGGAATGGAAAGATTGGCCATCAAGTACGAAGGTTGTTGTTTGAGTGCAGAAGTGAAAGCAGAGACTAATTGTGGAATAAGAGTTTTGTTTCTTACCAACTCGTTGGCTACTGGATACTCAGTAGATGTGAGTAATGTGATGGTTAAATCAATTTCATCATTCACACCAGCATAGGAATTGTATCCCTTAATAGTGCCATATTTGGATGCAATCCAGAATCCACCATTAAATTCGTGTTGCCATGAGCCCAAGCCTGTACTCATTGAAAGATCATCAGAGAGGTAATTACGAAGGAGTAAGGTTCGAGAGCGTTCCCTCTTTAAAATTGGACATTCTCTATTGAGACTCGAGAGACAATTTAAAAAGATGGACATGTCACTTGTCGTTGAGTACATTTGGGCAGAAGCTTCTTGAATGTACAAATTGTCAACCTCACTGCTCAATAATTGACCTTTCAGATCACGTCCTAAAACAAGTTGATTTTTAACACTTGTCGTGTAAGTAAAGCCAGTATTGGACATTCCAAGAGGATTCAAAATATTGACCTTGATAAAGTTTTCAAGTGAAGTTCCCGTTAACTGAGACAAGACATTTCCAAGAATGGTATACCCTAATGTAGAAATAGTTCTTGAATTATAGGATGGCTGAATCATTCTAAATTTTGAAAGAGCCTCCTGCAAGTAACTGTTCCAATTCATATTACAATTTAACAAGTCACATGGAATTCCAGATGGTAAGCCTGATGCATGCATCATGAGTTGTCTAAATGTCATGTTATTCGAGAACATATTATTTGAAATAACTTCTTGGAAGGAGATTCCAGAGAAGTAACGACTCACAGGGTCATCCAAAGAACTAATAATCCCTTTTTCTTTGGCAATGAGAGTGGCTGCAGCAGTAAAAAGTTGTGTCAAGCTTCCAATTCTAAAGATGGAATTTTGTGAAATGTTGGAATCACCAAAAGCAGCATCATACACAGCCTGTCCTCTGTAACTGATTTTCAAATAAGCTGAAGAGTTTTGCTGTTTCATTAAAGAGGCAATTTCTTGTTTCAGCTGATCGAATAAATTCAAAATGGATGAATCAGCAATTGGAGTCTTTAGGGAAACATCTTTTGGAATGAAATTGCACACGACGGGAATAGCTTGTGTGGATCTAAGAGATTTAGGTCGACGTGCCGTGTTGGAACCAGATGACTTGTTCATGAATTGTAGACCCATGTCGAGTGCTGTGAAATTCTTGAAATCTTGTGAAAATTCAATTCTACTGCCTCCAATTCCTGTTTCGTATTGTAATCTTGTGGGGACAGAATAGGGCTGTACAAGAAAAGAATTTGTACTTCCACCATTACTTGGTGTGGGAATTAGGAATGTCGATGACAACTCTGTTCCCAAAACATTTTTCATTTTCAATACTTGTGTTGTCGAGGCATTAAATAAGGCAATCGATACAGAAGAGGATGATGACCATGATGATTGTTTCTCACTCATGTAATTTCCAACAAATGTCACAACATTTGGAACGAGAGAGGATGTCTTGTCTGACAAGTCCTTCATTCTCAATGAATCCAAATAGTCCTTGACCGATGCCACAATGGACAAGGCTGATTGCAGAGCCAAAGATTGGGCGCCGTCATCCTTGGAGAGTAATGTAATCACTGCCATTTCATATTTTGGCAACAGGACAATTTGAGCATTGTAACCACCAATGAGTCCACTCTTCATAATGGCCCAACTTGAGAACATGTTGTAATAGACCATTTCCCAACTCAATCCAACTGCAGCTGTTCCATGTGGAAGAATGTGTTGAGCACTCAGAAATTCTCTCATGGTTTGCTTTTTTCAAGATGGTGGTTGCTGGAAATGTATCAACACCACTCTGAACAAAGGCTGCCAACAAAATTTTCACATAGAGTTGCAAATCTCCCAAGGAGCTGTACATGCCTGCAGCTGGTTGATTCCATGAAATGGTTCTATTATTGCTATAGATGGGAGTGTTGTGATGATAGCCTGTTGCAAGTTGTAACGTGTTCAAATTATCTTTGGTGACAAAACCAGTATTCTTCATTCCGAGACGATCCAAAATTCGAGTTGTAATGACTTGTTCGAACGGCATGGCTGCTGCACTTTCCAAACCATGACCCAATAATGAATATCCTAAATTGGAATAGATTGGAAAATGATCTCCATCCCTCACTAAAAACAAGCCATTCTTCTTGATACGATCGATCATTTGAGCATTCGTATAGTCGCAATCAAACAACACACAAGGTGCTTCTCGAGGCAATCCCGACATGTAAGAACTTAATTGTCGGAACGTTAGATTCGACGAAAAACCAAAAGGATTCGGAAAGGCTTTAAACTCTGGCACAAAATCCAAAACGGATTGATCCAAATCCAAACGACCCTCATCTCTCAATGCCATCATGGCAGCCGATACAAATGTTTTAGTGACTGATGCAATTCTGTACTTGGTATCTCTGTTGGGTTTCACGTTTGGAACATTCTCAAAGGCTTGTCCTGCAAAAATCTCTCCCAAAGTTTCATTGCGGAAGAGGATGGCTGTAGAGGCACTACCTTTGGAAGAGCCTTGAAAGAAGTGATCGTGAATGGCCTGAATGGAGGCTAGACTAGAAGCAAATCGGTCGTCTTCAAGAGTCAAAGCATGTGTGGATGGGATGATGGTGGCCATAATACATGCAACGACCATCACATGGATGACGAACAAGAGGTTCATCATTCCTTTCAAAGATATATTGGAAGAAGAAATGGTCTTGTTTGTTTTGGTACGAGACCAAAAAGCAGGTTGGTCATGAGGTGGGTTCAACATTTTTTTGTTGAGCTACTCTCGCGAATTGGAAGATGCCTGTTCTCTCACACTTATTGTTTTGGTAATAATAATAATTTTGAAATAGAACCATGATTGCGTTCCTTTTTCTCTCACAAATGGTAATGACACGGTGGAATTGGAATCCGTTGGGTGAATGTCCCAAGTTGTCTCCAACCTCAGTATCAGATGCAGCCCGACGATGCTTAATTTCTCAAATCGGACGGGATGAGGTGCATTCATGGTGATATGGCCGTAGCCATTCATGGTTCTAATTCTGATATGGACGTCGCCATTCAATTAGTTAATGAACATAAAATTAGGTATTTTCGACTGCGCTTGGTTGCGGGTATTTCCATCCGATAAATATTCCGAGCTGCTTTTTGGTGATTTCATGAATACAATGGATGCGATTAAAATAGGGACCAAATTGAAATCTATTGAATGCAATCAACTTTACACAAAAGCAACCGGGATTTGCAGTAATTGCCAACCTGTAATGAACCACCTTGACCAAATTATTTCAAATAAAGATGTTATTTTCAAACAAATTGCTGCATACAGTTTGTCCCACACCTAAAAGCTTGCTTGCGTAACCTTTACTCATGTATGAAATAATTAGCAAGCTAGTGTCTCCTTCAAAAGGGTTAACTGAGACAGAATCTGAATATTTGTCATTATTTCGACAAGCTCAAGAACATTATAATTCAACATGGAATTCTGAATCAGAAAATGCTACTAATAATTCAATAAGCCTAATGAATTACGGTCCGTATTCAAAGGTAAAATTTCGGTGATAAATTCTAGACCCCAAGAAATAAAGTCATCAACACAAAATCTCATGAAAATAGGAAACAAATTATATCATATTGTGTTGATGGACTTGGAGACAACTGGAGTCAATGTTAACACAAATACTATCATTCAAATTGCTTTTCTATCTCTTTCAACACATCAATTACATTCGATGTTTGTCCAACCAGAACGAAATGCAAGTTGGCATCAAAAAGCTGCAGCAATGCATCAGGACAAACTGGCCATATTAGCCAAAAGTGATTTTCTTCGGAATATGATTCCTTATTTTGTTAATTATTAGAAGCAGCCGATGTAATATTCTTAGTTCATTCATGGAGTTTGGATGAGCAATTTTTCACAAAAGCATTGCAGATGAGACTGATCTTGATCCAAAGAACGGAAAGTTATATTGGACACTATTGTTCACAGAGCTGCTAGTGATGTTTCTATCATTAAAGCACATGTTCGCGATTGTCTATCCACAATCCATTTCAATTACTTTAATTTTCCCTTTAAAAAATTTCGCGGTTGGCAGGACTCGAACCTGCGCGGGTCACCCCATTTGATTTCTAGTCAAACGCCTTAACCACTCGGCCACAACCGCTTACGAATAGTGTAAAAGGTTATCTCTGTATATCATTCAAATAAGAAAGCCAAATTTTTGATCGCAAAAACGATATAAAACAAAAGTCAAGTTTAAATGAATGCAGAATTCTGACAGATTCAGTCAAAGTGGACCAATACCTCTCAACATTTATTCATTTCTTGAATATTAATCACAAATACAAAAGCGATTGAAGGCATTTCCGAAAAGAAAAAATGGAACCATCTTCGGAGCAATCTTCTGCATCGCCACCACCAACCGACCAAAAGGTTGCTACTGCTGCTGATCGGGACAATGAACAAGAGAATAAAAGCGGATGGGGTTGGGGAAGCGGTTGGCTTTCTTCAACCATCGGTAATGTGGTTCGAGTCATGAACCAACAAACCAATGAATTCGGACAAAAACTGCAACAATTAGTTGCTGAACAAGACGATGATTCATCCACAACAACACAGACCACAGAGCCACCATCTTCATCGACTCCTCCCAATGATGAATTAGATGAAGAGAATGGGCAAGTCAATGACAATGGTGGAGCAGCAAATGCATCGTCTCTCATCGAAGAAACTGAAAAAACGATTGAAAACTCTCTTAAAACTGCAGAGCAAAAACTCAAATCTCTTTTCACTTCCTTTTATAATGAAACATCTCAATTAGTGGATGAAACAGCAGAGCTGAAATATGTAAAAGGATGGGCATCGTCTTTTGGAAAAAGTGTTTTGCATACTCTCGAAGAAGCAAGTAGAATTCTGTATGATACTGAGGAGGTAAGTCACCAATGTGTCCTTCCTTCCGATCTCAAATCCAACCACCATCATTTACTTTTTTGAATATTATATATATCTTCATGACAAATGAATATGCGTGAATCTAACAATTATTACACCAACATGCCAATCATCCTAACAGAACGATGATGGTATCCATATCTATGTCAACTTTAAAGAATTATTTATCGAATATGAAGGATTGAAACATTTACAAGAAGTGGCCTCTCTCTCCAAACAGTGTAATGAAGAATTAGCCAAGTATATGGAAAATAGAACCGACGAACAACGTGACAGAATTGAAAGTACGTAATTCATATTTTACAACACATTAGTATTGAAGCAATTCAACATTCAATACTTTTGGTATTCTTAAAACAATTATTTAGAACTTTTGCGTGAATTAAAAGACATTCTTATTGACTCAACACAATTCAGTACAAAGGAAGTGGAAGAAAAGAAAGACTCTTATCAATACATTGCGTCACTTCCTGTTGGAAAGGAAATTTTAGAAATGACCAAGGCATGTATTGAACTGTCAAAGAATGCCTTTAGTAATTTGGAGGATGTGTTAGGATCAACCGTTGAGATTGAAGAAATGGTTCAAACATCGACACTTCTTTTGGAAAAAAAGCAAAGCGGAGTGTTATAGGTCCCTTGCTAAATTAGCGTCATTGGCTTCATTACATGTAAGTTGACCAAAATTCATTATTCTTACCAATGCAATATTATTATTCAAAGATTCTAAACTTGTCACAGTATCTGATCGATGTAAATAACGGTGGAAATCTTCCTGCACAATGGCAATCAACAGATCTAAATGTCACCAAAGATGCTAAACAAGTTGCTATCATTCTTAGAGATTATTTACTCTTTTTATATTCTCAACTCATTGAGATCAGCAATCAATATACTGAAGCCTTAAAGAAAAACACATCGATCGTTGGAATTAAATTAGACGAGCAACGAAAAGAAACTCTTGAAAAACGAGCGGTAAACATGGCAGCTCGCTTACATATTCATAGTGATAAGGTAGGTTGTCAAATTGTAGTTTGAGTTTCGAAAGAATTTCATTTTCATTGATGGTTCAAAAGGCTCTTTCCATCATTATTAGCTGTGACAAGGACTTTCTTGTCATTCTTCAATATCTTGGTGTCATTTGGACTGAATAGAGTGCTTCAGCTTTAGGGTGAATAGGGAAGAAGATTTCGCCGACCATTTAAGAAGTAAGGCAAAAAAGTTTCGGCGACTTGGACCAACATTCATACTCAATAAAAAATGTTTGCTTCCAAACGCCGGCAACTCTTCAACTCGTTATTCCAATCTGTCTCATTGAAGTCTGCAAGGAGCAGTCTTTGCAACAAGTATTCATACTCTGCTTGTGCCACTAGATCATTATTTAATCAAACTTGCAATAATACATCTGAAAGATCTTTCTTTACAAAAAGAAAAAAATCAAATAGTAATTTACCAATTGAAACGTCGGACAAGTTTTATTCACACCTGAACGATCAACGAATTGTTGATGATGGTAGTTTCAAGTCACTCTTTAGAATTTGGTATAAATTTCTGACGAATATTCGAAAACATTTGTCACTCATGGAATTGTGTATGATTGGAATTGGAATATTGGCAACCTCAACAGTGGTGTATCGATATTTGTATATTGTGTAGATCTTAGAAAGTACTTTGAATTGTCTCTGTCCCCAAGTGTTCACATACAACATTCGGATTAAGAAATCTTCTCTTCCTAATTCATCCATTTCACAAATAATTAGATCATTGTAATTAAAATAATCCCTTCTCAATTTTTAATCTTCTCTTTCTAGTAATATTTAATTCCTCAAATTCCCTTCGATTCATTTCAAAAACCTTAAAAAACTCTTCATCACTCAAATACTTTTCCTTTTCATTTTGTTTCACACCTTTTGGAAATTTATCTTTCAATTCCAAGTATGAAAATTTGTAAATGGTTGGATCTAAATAATGATGATGACTTGTGTTACTAATATTTCCAGACTCTGAAGATGCATCAACACTTGTTCTATCCATGGCTGTCGTACTTGTCGATGATGATGTATAATTACTCAGTGTGGATGATGAATGTCTATTTCCTTTCAAATTATTGTCATGCATGACTTGATTCGAATGAGCGAAACTTGAAACATCTTCTTCGTTACTGTCCATACTCGTTCTATTCATTAATATTTTAGAATTTGCAAAATGATGAGTCGTCACACTAGATGGAATCATCATTGTGGATGATTGAGAGTGATGTTGTTGTGCATCACTGAGCATGTTAAGAATGGTTGTGAGTTTTTTTCCCACTTTGGAATGTGACGTTTGAATTTTTGTGGAAATTGGTGGTAAATTGTTATTCATTGTGGAAGTATGGGTAGATGAAATTGGTAGTAAGGAAGGTTGTGAAAGAGATGAATGTTTTGGAAATGTTGGTGATGGAGAGATTTGTGAAGGATACAATTTCGTTGTTTTGGATGAATTTTCATTAATAGATGTTGATAATTCAGAACTATTTTGAAAATGTGACAAGTGAATTGAAGATGGTCGTAGTTGTGATACAGTCATTGCTTGTTGTGGAGTGGATTCCTTAATAAGTTGGTCTGAATTGTTTTTTGAACTTTCTTCAGGTAATGACAATGTTTTTTCATCATGAAAATCATCCATCAATGGATGAGAGAAATCATCATGATCTTCATCCTCTTCATTCAATGATGAAGTTGCTTCAATATATTGTTTACAAATCCATTCTCTTTTTTGTTCATATTCTTCTCGTGACATTAAACTATGTGTTCGTTCATGTCTTGCTAAAAATTCACGATTCAATTCAAGATTTTCAAATTGAATGACAGGTGAATGAGATAAATAAAGACGTCTCTCGTCATCATTTGTTATGGGTCGTGCTAATGAGTTGTGATTATTATTAAGGGAAAGTGAGGAATTTCTATAACTCATTTCTTCATATTCATCCTCAGAAACCATATTATCAAAATACAATTCATCCAATTGTTCTAATTGTTCAAAAACTTCATCAAAAAGTTGTTGTTTTGATTTGGATCGATTTTTTCGATTTTTACGAGTCTGTGTCGGAATTTGTGAATTTTTTGATGAAAGGTTCCTGTCAACGTTGACAGGTTGAGATGATTGCATGTGGACGAAGTCTTCTTTTTCTGAGACAAGAGTCTGTGAGTTGTTGTTGTTGTGAGAGGAGGTGTGTGGTGTTGTAACATTTGTTAGGAGAGTTGTACCTTTCGTGATCTTGTCTTTTGGAGGATCACCTGAAGAGGAGTGTAATAGATATTCATAAGAAGAAGAAATATCCGTAGTACTACGGACCAAAGGTTGTTGGTCGTGTTGGTCTTGTAGTTGTTGTTGTGGTGGTGGTGGTGGTGGCGGAAGAAGAAGAGGATTCGGTGTGAAATTCTTCTTGTCGGAAGGATTGGATGGAGAGAACGGTGTGAGTCTTGTCAACGATCGATTGAAACTCGTTTTCTTATGTGATTGGTCACTCGTAAGTCGAGTGTTGTTGGCAGATGAAGGAGGAGTACGCTTCATTGGGTGAGTATTGGAAAACGAAGCGTTTCTGCTGTTCAATTGTTGGACTCGTTCTCGGACTTTGGATGGTTTTTGACTCTTGACTTGTTCATTGTGTGATTGGTCATTTGGATGAATGGAGTGTTGTGTCAATTGAGGAGATGGTTTGGATGAATAATTATCAATTGTATCATCGGGTGGAGGGATGAGTGAATTCCGAGGTGATGATGGTGCAGAGGAAGAACGGTCATGATTTGTTTTGGCCATCATTTTTTGCTCTTTGTGTGTGAACTATTCAAGAGTACGCAATGATTGTTGTGTCAGATTGCTTTATTGGATGTGAAGGAGCAAATGTCACATCACCCTGAGTTCAACAAGATAACAGCACTTTTTATGTCTCACGAATTCTCGAGTGTTTAGCAATAAATGATCTCAAGTCGGATTTACATCTATTCATGGTTCTACTTTTTAAAATCTCTTATAAATTGTGCAACAGTGGAATGTCCATACATCTCTGCAATCATGTCTGCTGTATCTGTGCTTCCTCGTGTTGCTTGATTCTTGTCTGCTCCTTTTTCAAGTAAAATCTTCACAGCAAGAATGTCACCATTGGAAGCAGCTACATGGAGAGCACTCATCTATTGTGGTGGATTTAAAAGCAATGATAAGCACAAAAGAGAAATTGATACTTACACCATTTTCGTCCATATGATTAATGTTGGAACCTTTGTCAATCAACAACTTCATTACGTCATATTGTTTAGAGTTGGTAGCAAGAATAAGAGGCGTGTCTCCTTCGAACTGAAAGAAAAAAGAATGCAAAATAATTTAAAATTTTGTACGGATGATTAAAAGGATCATGATGACATTATTCAAAAAACAAGAAACATACATCAGGCAAATTAACAATTGGCCTTGCAAGTTCAAAAAACAAATTTAAAGCCTCGATTTGTCCTTTAACAGCTGCATACATGAAAGGAGTCATCTATGTATATAAGTGAGTGTGATCATTGTGTTAAGCTTGAAAATTCATTCTTACCTCTCCAAGTACTTCATCAAAATTTAAAAACTCGTTAACCAAATATCGATTCTCTCGTTCGGATAACACCTTTCTAATTACATCTAAATCTCCATTATATGCAGCATCACATAAGGCCTCATGAGGAGAAAGTTGTCTTTCCTCATTTTCATCAGTCGGAGTGGTTGGTGTTCGTTCTTCCTCATGATCCGTAGTACTACTACTACCAATCTTCAAAGCCTCTTGTCCTGGCAATGGCTGATGATCACTCACAGTACAGCAACCACTAGTCGTTGTTTTCCCACTATCATCCGATGGACCAACCTCTTTCTTTCCTAGTGATTGTTTTACTTCTCGATTCAAATCCTCAAGAGTTGCACTGATGTTTTGAAACCGTTGAGTCAAGCCTTCTATCCGTTTGTCTTGGTCTTGCATTTTTTGTTGAAAAGATTCGAATCTTGTTTGGAGGAGAAGAACGAGAACGATCGGTGAGGGTTCATTAGAAGGTATATTTGATGGCATGTTATTGCTCTCAGAAAGGGTCTCATTAAAAGTTGTGTTACATTGTTTAATGGTGGTGTTTCTATACATGCATATTATACACAGATAGAGAGAAAAAAGAGAACAGATTCTTTCACACATAAAATCTCTCTCATATTAATTCAAGATCTTCTCAATGGAATTATCCTTTCTCAAATCTTGAATGGTACCAACAAATCCACGTTCTCCATTCCATTTAGTCTCACTCACACTCAACCAAATTGGGAATTGATTTCCAAGCTTATCTTTGGCAGTGACTTTTCTTCCTCTTCCAATGATCTTCTTTTCGCCAGTTTCTAAATAATGAGAAACATACGCGTCGTGACCTGTGGCATATTTTTCAGGCATGAGTTTGTTAATATTCTTTCCAATCAATTCATCTCTATTGTAAGAAAACATTTTCTCTGCTGATTTGTTCATGAAACAAACGTTACATTTGGTGTCAATAATAATGACAGCATCTACCAAGTTTTCTAATAGATTTGTGACAGAAGAATTTGTTTGTTTGCTCTTATCCTTTCTCAAATCTTGAATAGTTCCTGTGAATGCATGTCTTCCTAACCAAGAAGATTCAGCCACTGATAACCAAATTGGGAAAATTAAACCATCCTTTGCACGAGCTTCAACCATTCTTCCTGTTCCAATAATCTTTGCTTGACCAGTTCTCAAATAATTATCCACATAGTTGTCATGTTGAGCTCTGTGTGGATTACTCATCAAGATTTTAACATTTCTTCCAATTAATTCCTTTCTAGTATATCCAAATGTCTTTTCCACACTCTTGTTCACATATTGGATAATCTTATCATCTGTAATAATAATCACAGCATCAACAAAGTCATCAAAGAAAACAGCACCATCATCCATCTCTGGTTCTTCGTCTTCTCCATAAATACTTGGGAATTGCTCAACGTGACGTTGAACTTGCATTTGTGCCATATTGTTGGATGACAATTCACTTCCACTTGTTTGACTTGATGTTTCGTCATTGAGTTGAGCAGCATCATTCTCAGTCGTAATGTACAATCTAATGGCAGAATCTACTGGAACGTTTTGCAAACAAATTGCAAAATCTTCTTCTTTTCTAATATTGATGAAATCTCCTTCAGTATCCTTGTATTTAATCACTGGCTTTATACAGTGATATTCTTCAATGATTCTCAACTTTAATTCATTAAATGTGGCTCTGTCCTTCTTGATGGCAATCAAATGTACATCATCGTTGTGATAACACTTGAAAACGAGGTCAATTCCAGAGTTGTTCGAAGAACTTCCTCCACTCAAATCCGATGATTGATTTTGTGACACAGAAGGTTGTTGTGAAGTGGAAGATGGAGTCGATGTTTCTGCAGAGTCATTGGCCTCTGAGAGAGTTTCAAGAAAGTTGGTAATGTTGGAATTCTTTTTGAGAGCTTCCACTAATTTCTTAAATTTCTTTCGATGACCCAATTTGGTGATTTGAAGTTGATTCATATCTGAGGTGGTGATGATGATAGTGGTGATTAGGTGTGTTGGTGGTGAGGAGGTTGGTGATGATGGTGTGGTAGAGATATATGGTAGTGATGTTCATGATGAATTTCCAAAGTGTTGGTGAAAACAATTTTAGTATGATTGATTCCAAAATTGGAAACCTACCTTCTTCTCCTAATTCTAGCAATTCTTGACCGCTGATCGAATTGTTAATGAACACATTCTATTTGAGTGTTACCATTCATTTGATGTTTGAATGACAAATGAGACACTCCCAATTTAACCAAAACCACCACCTACCTTGTATTCACCTAACCCGACCAAGTCCAACCAAATGCCAACCTCATTGACAGCCCATACACTGGCCTCTATTTAATGTTTATATTCACGTTTTAAACAAATATATGGAATGTGATCATTTAACAAGTTGAAAGCCATCATCATGTGATGATCATGTTTTGACATGAATCATGATTCTACATGTGTCAAATACAACTACAAACCTTTTTGTTGCAATTTCTTTGCCAGTTCAGAATTTGGTTTGGCGTTGGATGACTGGGGAGTATCCTTTTTCTTGTTAAAGAACCCAAATGGCATTGTGTGTTGTATGTTTCAATGAATTGAGTTTGATGGGTCTAAATGTTTAATATATATATATATCACAACAGGTGTTGATAGGAAGGAATGACCAACCAGTGGAGAGATGATCGAACCATGTGATCACATGAAAAGTGTTGATGACAAGTATCATTGGAAAAATAATCACATCATCATGACATGAATACATCGTGAGAGGTGAGGGTTCACCCAAGAACCAAAAACAAAAAACTTACGCAATGATTTTGCAGAAAGATGCAAAGAACAAGGAGTGGAGTTTTTTTTGTTTGGGATGATGTTTTAAAAAAAGCCATCCTCGAACAAACGGAGAATGCCTGTCAAGAGACATGGATCTTTTTGGGGTTCACTTGACAAGAGACAAGATGAACTGTATTCGTATTTGTTTATTTATTTGCCTTGAGCGAACACAAGTTCAGAAGACCATAAAAGAAATAGGATGATTGGTTTTAACAATGCAACAATCATTTATCAAAACAAACAGCCATTTCGAATTCAATAATATTCTTTGATTACATCCAGGGAACACACTGAGGGATGTCATCAACAATACCTCCGACAAAAAGTCTCCAGAAATCCAACAATATTGTCACCAACATGCAGGAAGCCAAACTTTCGACGCACACTTTGAATGTGGAGTATTTCTTCTTTGTCTCCTCCTCATCAACTCTGTAGTACATTGGGAAGCCAAGAATAAAGTAAATACCATAAACTATTGAGCCAACCTTATACATCAAATCTCTGTTCTTGAAAGTATAATACTTGAAGTATTGAATAGTAAAGGTCTCCATGAAAGCTGTGAAATATGAAAATGCAAAAATAAATGCTGACACAAAGAGGAATCTTGCAATGGAAGGATTTCTCCATGAAGTGTAAATGATTCTCAATAAAACATTGCTCAAGGAAAAGTAAAAGGTAAAGTAAGCTTGTGTAGCTAAAAACATGAGATAAGGAACGTTGTTAATTCTATGAGTATCCATGGTATAGCTGGCTCCTAAAAGATTATAGAAATAATGAGTCCAAAAGTAATTTCCAACAAAATTGAAAATAAAAACCCAAAGATTACACTTGAACCAATATCGTTGAGTGATTGGAAGATTACGATCAGCCTTTCCAGGAAATAATAATGGATATAACACACAAGGAACAGCCATGATGACTCCATACATGGTCCATTCCATCCTAGATGCTCCCTCATAAATTTCATTGTAAATCAGATATGTAAAATAGAGCATCCAAACAGGTCCATATAACAAGAAGAATTTCTCTGCCCATGCTTTACTTTCGTTTTGAGAGAAGAGCCTCATTCCGACACTCTTATCGGCTGGTTGTTGATGGGGTTGTTTGGACATTTTTTAATTCAGAAGAGTTTTGGTGGTGAAACGGAAACCGATTTGAGCTTGCCAGGGTTGGTGCACCTGTGCCCGAGCACTGGACGTCTTGCACCTCCGAAATCCGTCTTGTGCAATGAAGAAGATGTCATTCCTCATTGTTTTTCATATTGTCATCCTTAAATGCCCAAAAGACGAAAGGATTACAAAGGCTTGTTTGCATTTAATTTCCAACAAAAAAATAAGTCGTTTGTTCCTCAGATTGTACTTGTTCATCATCACAATGACGATTCAAGGATTGAATGGTATGTACTGATAGAAGTAATACTCCATTTTGCTCCAACACACTCCGATGTTGCTAAATATTTTTAATTATGTTTGTTATAACAACCATATTATTTTGTATTTTAATAATATATATTGGCTACTACATTGATATAAAATAACGTCGTCATCATCGGGCTACTCTATACCTCTACAATTAACCTTCTTTTCCAATACAGGGTTTCTTACTGAGAAAAAATACATAAACACAGAATCTCTCGAGTTTCTTCGTGGATGTAAAATAGGGATTGATGGCTTCCATTGGTTAAAAAATTTATATTATGAGAAACATGAACCTTTTCAGATCGCAACAGGAGGAGTACCAATATCATTAGCATTTTTGGTTCAAACAAATTTAAAGCAAATCAAGTAAGTATCTTGTACGTGACAAATTAAGGGTAGTAACATCCTTTCCAGAGATGCTGGCATCACTCCAGTATTTGTTTTCAATGGTATAAACTGTGTTAAAAAGGAACGTGCATCAGGCGTGTATCAATCCAGAACTGTTTCTCTTAAATCAGCCTGGGGATCATATGAAAAGGATCAAAAGACAGAGGCGAAAATGCTTTTTTCAAGAGCACAAGGAAATCAATTTCTGGCCTCTCCTGACACAATTAATGCTTTGTTTGACTTATTTATTGAAAATAACGTAGAGTTTATGAGAGCTCCATATTTGGCTTGGGGACAGCTTAGCTACATGACAGATACCAGTCTAGTTCATGGAGTAATGGGAGATGAGGAACTATTGATGTTTGATATTCCAAGAGTTATTGTGTCAATTGATTGGTCACAAAAAACATTTCAATATGTGGAAAAACAACAAATTCTAACAAGCGAAAGAATCACAAACAATCAATTTTTGGATGCTGCTCTGCTTTCTGGAAGCTACTTTTTCAAAGGTTTTTCAACCCCATCACCTTTCCAAAATAACGTCAAGAAAGACGAACGTTTCAAAACAGAAATTGAGAATATTAAGGCAATTGGATCCGCAAAATCTATTTTCTCAATGAATCATAGAGAAGATCTTGCTATTCCATTCCTTTTAAACAAATGCTTGATAATGCATCATCCAGTCTTGGACTTCTTTTCAAATACTGTGGTAGTTATGAACAAACATGAACTTCCAAGAGATTTCGACGAGATTGTTGGCGAAAGATTACCTGACGAGATTTACTTCTTAATTTGTCACGGAGTTTTGTCCCCACAATTTGTTGGAAACCTGGTTAATGGCATTTTCTATGAACCAAGTCCATTATTTGATTCTGAAGAATACAAGGAATTTATTGAAGTATGGAAGCCAATTTATTCAACATCGCTCAATTTCTTGACAAGTGAAATGAGCGATTATTTCAAGCAAAAAGGAGTGGTCCTTATTAGATATTACTCTTCTGACGAACACAAATCAGGCGAGATTACCATTGACAGAAAGCCTGTAAATATTTTTTTAGATGGCCTTCAATTCCAAATTACTGAAGCTGCGATTTCCAAACACTTCCAACAACAAAAACTTCCTTACTCAAAGGATTGTTCTTCTCTAGGATTTGCACTGAATTGGAAGCCAACCCCTTTGAAAAAAAATCAACCACAAGAATTCTCAACAGTTAATGAGGTTAAAACTTTCATTCATTTGAAAGTATTAGAATCTTTGTCATATATGAAGAAGCCACTGCAGGGATCAACTGATTTTTTGACATCAAAAGGAAAGGCATTGGCAACAGCTAAAATTTATGTAGAACAGACATTAATTCTTATAGAATTAGCGAAAATGCTCACAAACACATGGAGATACGAGAAGCCATATGCTGTTGAAGAAAAGATTGCCAACGAAGAAGATGTAATTTTAATTACCAGAGTCATGAGTCTAGTCCCATTGACATTTAGACGAACAGGTCTTTCCCAAAGTGGCTGGTCTGGACCCATCAAGCTAGATCTTGCTATTTTTTACTCTATCGTTAAGTTATTGCAGACAAATATTGCTCACTTGTATGAATCCGTTTTGACTGCTGTTTATATGTCACATAATATTGCTCCGGACAGTGTAGCAACTGTCATGACCTCACTGAGATCTTTATCATCATTCAGTGTTGATTCTAACAACACCATGGGTATTGTAGCTCATGTATTGTTGACTACTCCAATAGAGAAATTAACTCCCACCCTCTTCAAGACCCATTTCCTTTGTTGCCAAACTCCATTCAAAGAGTTTAAAGAAAAGGCAATTCCATTCTGGCAACAGAGTATTGGTGTTCTCAAAAAGCTTGCAGCTGGTAACAATGAGTACAGAGGCCTAGCACAAAGGCTTGACAGAGCAAATGACTTGCTTGAGGAACGAATGAAGCTTGTCTCTCCAATGTTATCTTCATTAGATTAGGGATTATGTTTGATAGGGCCTTTATTTTTGGGTTTTTTAAGGTTCAACTATTGAACACCACCACTTTTTAACATTATGTGCACACCCCTTGAGCTTGAATAAAAACAGATGAATGAATGTTAAAAACTCATGAGTAGACTTTATTTGTCATACAGGCTTATGAAAATTTTCAATTACATTCCTAATTTCTTTGCATTTGCCCATTGATCCTCTAGAGCATCAACCTTATGGTCCGTCACTTGAGGAGCTGCTTCATATATTGCTTGTACAGCTCGTCGCTTATAATCAGAATATTCTCCCTTGAAGCCAATATAGGTAATTCTTGTATTCTCTCCACTAAAATTAGAAGGGAAAAATAGAGTAAGAGATTGAACATTCGCAAACTTGCTTGTTTTCAGTAAAAAGTCATAGGTTCCCTCCGCATCATAAGTTAGATCAAGTTCTTGGTCTGCTTTCTTTTGTGAAGCACTATCAATATCTAGTAATTCATTATTCTTAAATATCTTCACCTTGTCAGGACATGTCATTGGATCACCACCAATTATTTGAAAAGATTTAATATTGACGGAAACAGTAAAAGGAACGATCAACAACAATTCACTATCCACCGCACTTTCTAAATATCCATTTGTTGATTTCCTTTCATTGTATGGTCTAATAATGCTTTGACAAGCATCTTGTTTGTGTTCGTTCATACATCGAACATGAATTTTATCAATGTAGGGAAATAAAGTTTGTTGAAAGCCTTCTAACTCGTTCTTATCATGAGAGCCATGATCGTGTTCGCAATGATGGTGGTCATCTCCTTGAAAGTCTCCTTGTTGTGCTTCGGAGCAACAACTTCCACAATGATGATGGTGGTGATGATTGTGAGACATTTTTTTGTGCAATCCAATTTTAGCCTTCTTTGAAGAGGATTTCTTGTTGTACACAATGTTTATTAATCGATCGTTTAGCAGATTTCTTGATCATCAAACACATCGTTATCCATATGATTTTAATGAGAGAAACAACAACATGAATTGGTTAACCAATTAATTAAATTTCTTTATTAAACTCGTATTAAGAGACCTCAAAAAAATGTGAATGACTACTGGAATGATTGAAATCAACACACCAGCTGAGACCTCATTGAGTCTATCATCCTCACGGCATGGCAGTGCTGTCGGAATGAGTTCAATTAGCTCAACCACTAGTTTGAAACAACTTCGGAATTGGAGAGCTTCCTTTCCGAGCCTAAATATAGAACAAAGTTAAAAAAGGTCATCAAATCGAAAAAAATATAAATTGGCAACATGGGCCTCCCGTGAAGCTTAATAAGTCAAAAAAAACAGCAACGTGTGTTATATCACAACAAGACATTTCTAATATAACAAGAAGAAAAAGAAATATAACAAGATGAATCCAGACAAATTCACTGATAAAACCAATCAGACCATTTCCGATGCCTTTCATCTCGCCAAAGAACACTCACACATTTATATTTCTCCTCTCCATGTGGCATGCGTCATTTTCGATCCAGAAGATTCTCAATCTCTAGGAAATTTAGTATGTAAGAAATTGAGCAGTACTAGTGGTACTGAAGGAACAGCCACCAAAGGTGCAAGTGCCACACCCCTCAATATTGATTGTGCCAAAATTCAAAAAGAATTGAAATCGAGTATGCAAACTAAAATTGCTTCTCAATCACCACCAGTTCAAGATTTAGCTCCCAATAGAAGACTAGTGACTGTACTTCAAAATGCAGATACTATTCGAGAACAATTGGGAGATCATTTATTGGCTGTCGATCATTTATTGTTGGCTCTCATGGATGATTCTGATGTGAATAGTGCCATTTCTAAAGCCACTGGAAATGCCTTAACAAAGACTCTGTTAAAAGATGTACTCTCTCAGATTCGAGGTGGAAAGAAGGTTGAATCCAAACAAGCAGAATCGGGTTATGATGCATTGAATCGTTATGGATTGGACTTGGTTGAAAGAGCACGAGAAGGTAAATTAGATCCAGTGGTTGGAAGAGACAAGGAAATTGCCAGAACCATTCGAATTCTATCAAGAAGAACTAAAAACAACCCAGTTTTACTTGGTCCTCCTGGTGTTGGTAAAACCGCAATCGTCGAAGGTATCGCCATGAGAATTGCTAAAGGAGACATTCCACAGAATTTGAAATGTAAATTATTTGCCATTGATTTAGCTTCCATGATTAGTGGCAGCAAATATAGAGGTGAATTGGAAGAACGAGTCAAAGCTCTCTTGAAAGAAGTAGAAGAAAATCACAATGACATTATTCTGTTCATTGATGAAATTCACACCATTGTAGGAGCTGGTGCCACTGGTGAAGGAAGTATGGACATTGCCAACATGATCAAACCCTTATTGGCACGTGGCATGTTGAGATTAATCGGTGCTACCACACTTGGTGAGTACAAAAAGTACATTGAGAAAGATGCTGCTTTTGAAAGAAGATTCCAACCAGTCTTTGTTGAAGAACCCTCCGTGCAAGAAACTATTTCCATTTTGAGAGGTTTGAAAGATCGTTATGAAGCTCATCATGGTGTTCGTATTTTAGATGCTGCATTGGTTCAAGCAGCTCGTCTCTCTTCTCGTTACATTTCTGGAAGATTCAATCCTGATAAGAGTATTGATCTTATTGATGAAGCATGTTCCTCCATTCGTGTGCAATTAGACAGTAGACCTGAAGCGATTGATTCTCTCGAAAGAAGAAAATTACAACTTGAAGTTGAAGCCACTGCTTTGGAAAAGGAAAAGAAGTTTGAAGATGAAAAGACAAAACAACGTTTGGAAGAGGTCAAAAAAGAAATTTCCAAAATTGATGAAGAATTGAAACCACTCATCTTGAAGTTTGAATCAGAACGATCTCTTGTGAATGAATTGAGAGAAAAGAATCAAAAGCTTGAGAGATTGAAAGCCAAAATGGTGGATGCAGAGGCACGATATGATTTGGCATTGGCCTCTGACTTGAAATATGGAGCCATTCCAGAATTGGAAGAATCCATTCGACAACTCAAGAGAAAGATTGAACAGCAAGAGGAACAAGATGTGAAAACCGGAGGAGGAAACAAACTTGTGAGTGATATTGTAGGTCCAGAACAAATCAATGAGGTTGTTTCAAGATGGACTGGAATTCCAGTGGAAAAGTTGAATGAGACAGAAAAGGAAAAAATTCTCAAGCTTGAAGATCGTTTGAGAAAGAGAGTCATTGGTCAAGATGAAGCCATTTCTGCTCTCTCTGAAGCCATCATTCGATCGAGAAGTGGATTAAGCGATCCTAATAAGCCAATTGGATCGTTTTTATTCTGTGGTATGACTGGTACTGGTAAAACTCAACTCGCCAAGGCCATTGCTAAAGAATTATTTGATGATGAAAAACACATGATTAGAATTGACATGTCTGAATACATGGAAGAGCACTCTGTTTCCAAACTGATTGGAGCTCCACCAGGTTATGTTGGATTTGACAGAGATTCTCAATTGACAGAACCAGTGAGGAGAAGACCTTACACCGTCGTGTTATTCGATGAAGTTGAAAAAGCTCATCCTCGCGTTCTGAATGTTCTTCTTCAATTACTCGATGAAGGAAGATTAACAGATTCACAAGGAAGAACAGTAGATTTTAAGAATACTGTCATTATTCTCACCTCTAATATTGGTTCTCATCTATTCCTAAATATGAATGACAGTAATAGAAAACAAATTCAAAAGCAAGTGATGGAATTGATCAAGAAACACTTCTCACCAGAGTTTTTGAATCGTTTGGATGACATTTTATTCTTCTCTCCTCTCACTCAACAACACTTGATGGATGTGGTGAGATTGCAATTGGATAAAATCACTGAGAGACTTCGTGAAAGAGATATTACTATTGATTTGAGAGATTCTGCTTGTGAATTGATTGTTAAGGAAGCTTATGATCCAAATTATGGTGCTCGTCCAATGCAACGATACATTCAGAAACATATTGTGACCGAGTTGAGCAAGTTAATGTTGAAGGGTGAATTGAGAGATGGTAATCATGTCATTGTTCAAGGAGTAGATGGAACATTTAGATTCACCGTATTGCCAGATCGATCTGGAGAGGATGGAGTAAGTAGAACTAAGAAGTCTAAACTCTAACAAAGCATTAATGCTGCTGAACAGAAGCAAAATTCGATCACCTTTAAAGTAAGAGTAACTGTGTGAGTGCATTCCAGTACTATAATTCTAGTGTTGTAAATAAAAGGATACACAAGTTTGTGAAATAATTTCAAAAGGCAGATTTTGTTGTTTTGTTAAACACTTTGGGCCTACAATCCTTTTAGAAAGTGCAAGTTACAACAACAAACAGAATCTCTTGTCCACCACTTGACCTCTCGTTTTATTAGTTTTGAAAATGTTTGAAAATGTATGAAAATTTGTTGTACAAATAGTTCTTGCTTGAGTAAATGATATCGTTCCCACAAAATTGAAACCATTATACTCTTCATGAATATATGTCTGTTTTTTTTGTTGGTTTGTTGTTGGTTTGTTGTTGGTTTGTTGTTTTTTGTTTTGTTGTTGAAAGAGATGTACACATGCATCTCTAATAAAGAGAGAAGCACATATTGTGTGTGGGTATGAGAAGATGAAGAACATGTGTCTAAAATCCAATGACCATGTATGTGTCACTTGTGGATATATATACTTCATGCGACGACACAAGCATGTACAACAACATCTCTACATGCGAGTCAGTTCATCTTCTCATCATACATGACGCACACATGTGAATTTATATAGTGTATACTTCTTGATCAAGTATATGTTCTCAGGTTAGTATAATTCTCTTCATAATAGACTCACTCTCAAAGGTTGGACCAGATGATAATTATATCGAATCCATGCACGCATGGTGTTGTCACTTAAACCTTGTGCCAAATGAGTGGCCATGCAAATGTCTCTTCCAATCATGTACTGAATGGAAGAGGTGATGCCATCCATGTGGTAAGCTGCCACTAGATGACATGCACCACACATGTCAGTCACCAAAAGTTCAATAACCACAGAAGTGGAGTGGTGGTGCGAGAGAGGAATATTACAAGCGTACAAAGTACATGGTAAATAGGGAATGTGTTGGAGATTTGTTGTTGTTGAAGAATCATCAGGATGATGATGATGGTCGCCGAGTACATGGCTTATATAAATGGTTAATTCTTGAAACATTTCTGTTGTTGGAATGATGGTGGGAGGAGTTGTCAATGATGATGGTTCTTCAAAAGTGCTGTGGAAGGAATGAAAGTGTAAAGTTTGAAGAAGGTTGTTCCTTGAAATGTCATATCTATTCGATTGTTGTTGTTGTTGTTGTTGTTGTGTTTGGATGGAGATCATTCTTGAATCATGTTGAGTGCTTGATGACGAGGTAGAAGATGACTCGAAAGATAGAATGACTCTTCCTTCGTGATCATTGACACTCAAGGAAGAGGGATAAAGAGTCATTCTTCAAGCATTCAACAAGTGTCAATATGGTGGTTGTGGTTGTTTTTTGTGTCAATATGGTGGTTGTTGTTGTTATTGGTTCAATCTAACGTGTCCCAAACGAATGAATGTATTTTCTCACCAAAATAAGGAAAAATGTGTGAAGAATGAAAACAAAGTGAGTCTTTGTATGGTAATGAATTCTATTCTCGAATCTGAAAATTGATGAATTGAGGGGTGAGGGTTGTTGTACATGCGTTTAAATGGTTGTAGTCGAACGACAACACATGTGTCTCTTGATGCGCATGTGCAGCGTTCAAGTTGTTGTTGTTGTGGTCACGTAGGATGTCTTGATTTTCGCTGAATATGGAAGACCGAAAGAAGAGAAATCTCGAGTTCCACTACTACTACCGGGTAAAAGAGATGTCTCAGTTTGTCTTTTCAATATTACACACACAGACACACACAGACACACTATGTGCAATAATGATGGTCGAGAGAATTCGGTGTTGTTGTTGTTTTTTTGCAACTCCAACATAAATCACCACTTGGTAACTTTTGACCATCATCACAAATCCACGTCTAGAATTTAATTCATACTCGAGTGTTTCGCCAGAGAGAGAACAGAATTCCCTTCTTCTTCCATTCGCCCAATCAAGTTGGTAAAATGTCATCACTGTGACAAGTTCGGAAGAGATTTGGTGATGGAACGACGAGAAAATCCTTTTCCGGAAAAAAGCGAAATCGATTTATTGGAATGGTCAATCCTTTTTTACAAGAATCCGTACAATTTCGTCTTTGAATTCGAACTGTTTATCCAGACCTGACCTTCAGTGCTCACACGCAGAATTGGGTGAATGTGAATTTCATTGGCCAATTTAAATGTCAACCAAATTCTTGGATGTCATCACTCAATATGGTGGTGGTGTCTGACACAGAATCTGATCCTCACGACACTGTTGCAAAATTAATTTCTATTGCTACTACAACTACAACTACTACAATATTGTAAAATCTCATTCAAAGTTTCAAAGTGATAGTGTTGAGCAATGGATTTCAATAATAAAAGTGTTTCCAAAATCTTTTCACTCTTATTCTCAGATTGTGCAGGAATCCATTTTCCAGAACAGGAACAACGTTCCATGACATTATTTGGATTAATTTGTAAACATCGTGAACATTGCAAATCTTGTAATTGATAACTAATCATTTTGTTTTGTGTGAAATCAATGAGTTTTCCTTCAATGAGATTCTTATCAAAATCATTGGTGCAATGTTTACATTTGAAAATACTGTCGTGTGAAGAGATTCCTAATTCAAGATCAAAACATGAACTGCAATAAGAACAAATCATATCAGGAAGTTTGAATAAATGTTGAGTACGTTTGAAAATAGATTCTGGAGAGAATTCTTTCACACCTAATAATTTCAATAAAGATCGTTTCAAAACATTCACTTCATCTCGAATGAATAGATCCATAGAGAGTAAATGACAGAGTGCATTCACAAATTCTAATCGAATGTCTTTTCCATTCAAATTGTTTTCCATGTGTTGTAGAGTTAATTGTTTCAATTGATTACTCATGGTATCCATTAGACTTTCAGAATAATTGGTAGAAAGGAATTCTTGTGCATGTTCTTCTTGACTTTTTTGGAATTCTTCTGGTTTCATGGTGGACAACTTTTCATCGAGAGATCTTCTAAATTTTAAACATTCATATAGGTAGGTAGATAAATAGAAAATCAAATGAGTTTTCACAGCTTGTGGTAGTTCATCAAGAATATCAATTTGAGGATCTGCAACGAGACCAGTTTCAGTTTCTTTAAATCCTAAATAATTTCTATGATTGTACCATAACAGATTACTCCACATGTTTTTAACTTCAATGTCAATCCATGCAAAGAGTTTTTGTTGTTGAATACTTGTTTTTAGATAATCTGTGTAAATGGTTGCTTCATCGACTGTGTTCTTTCCAGTGTCAATCACAACTTTGGTAAAATTGGCATAAATGATTCGACATCCAGACTTCTTTAAATGTGCACAAAATTGAAGGAATGCTTTCTTTTGAAGTCTATAAACAAAGGATAGAATTTCTGGATGATACATTTTAGCATGAGAATTGCTACACCATCGATACAAGTTTGCTAAAATTAAATCAGGTACTTGAGGTGACAATGCCTCTTCATTGTGAACATCTGCAAATAATTTCGAAACCATTTGTTTGAATACTTTGAATACTTCAAGAGTTGAAGCAAATTTTGATGAATTAGAGATTTTCTCATCCAAAGTTTCCTCAATGAAATTACTTTGAAGAATGGCATTGATATCTAAATGGCTCAATTCAAATTCCACACAAATCGAATGATAACATGCTGAATGGTTAATAAAAGATCCACTTCTAGAATATAATTGTTCATCACTAATGAGAGCTTGCTGTTGAAGAGCATCATTTTCACATCCACCTAAATCAGGTTTGTTGGCCTTACTCAACCACAAGACATAATTCTCTTGAAGACATCTTCCAAACATGATATCAATGAGGAACATGACAAAGTCATTCGATTCAATATTACCAATTGGAATACCACAATAGTTACTATAATTGACCATATCTTGATACCACTTTTCAATGGCACAATATCGAATAAACATTTGTTTCACACATTGATTCATCCAATAACCAGAGAGAGCGTGTTGGTACTTGTTATCTTCATCATTGAAAGGAATGGCAATAATTGGAATTTCAGATAACATGGGTGCCTGTTCAGAAGCTGTTTTGGTTTGATAGGAGAATGGAGATTGTACCATCAATAAGGAAGAAGCTTTTCTTTCTCGTATTAAAATGTTATTAATTTCTCGAATCACATCATTTCTATTCTTGTAAACATCAAGTTCAAATTCTTCAATTTCTGTAATATTCAATTGTGAATTTGTTTGTTGTAACAATAATTGATCCAACACTTCATCAAAGATTCGATCTGGATGGAGACCAACCGTTTGAATTTCAACCGAGTGAATCAAAAAGATGTATGCCTTCTTGGTGGCAAATGAAAACAATCCGATAACTCCTCTTACATCTGAACAACTCTCAAATAAATACAATTTCTGTAAATTACTAATATCATTCAAATAAGAGACACCTTGTCTTGCCGTTTTAGAATTAATATTTCCATCGATTTGTATCAAATCAGAAATGGACAATACAGAAGTAGAATCTAATTTGCTTCTCGATTTAGGATCTACTTTACACAATGCACCAATTTGAAGAATGGCTCTTAACACTGGATCAATCTGAGTTTCATAAACTCCTTGAATATCAGGATTTGAAAATTCAGAATACATGCTTTGTAAATTCTTTTGATAAACAGTTTCATCAAATTCCTTCTTATAGAGGAATGTCTCTTGTTTGTTTGTGATTGAATTTTCTGATAAAAGACTTGAGAGCATTGGAAGTTTCTTTCTTGGTTCCACATCATACTTTTGTTTCTTATAGAAATTGAGATAAATCACACGTGGAACATTAATTTTCATAGTTCTCATCTTTCCACCCACACAAATAAAGAGATTGAGAATTCCTGGTGTGTCTGTTTCTCTAATTTCAAGAATATGCCATACTAAATCTTTAAGTTGATTGGAATAGAATTGAACAAAGGATGCCATAGTACCATCTCCAAGTGGTGCATGAGCATGGTTGAATTCATCGTGTTGATTGGATTTCTTCTTCTTTTTCCTATTTTTTTTGTGTGAAGCGACCACTTGTTCTTCTTCATCTGAAGAGAGTGAAACCACATGATTCAATTTACGTTTCATGAGACTGCTACTACTGCTACTACTCGTCATTCCATCTTCTTCCGAAGAATCTTCCATACCATTCGAGTCGTCATTCTCATCCTCATGACTAGAATCATCTTCTTGCATGGAATGACTCGATTTCAACATGGAGAGAAGAGATCTCTGTTTCGATTGGCTATCATTTTCTTTCAATTTCTTGAACAACCAATCTGGATGTTTCACTCTTGGCACTGGATTTTCAATGGATTGCAATGCAGCTGGAATGGTAATAATCTTTTGAATGGCACTTCCCAATCTTTCAATATAATAATCCCAATCCACAATTTCTTTCAAATCAATTTCTGTGAGTGAATGATCTTTGGTCCATTTTCTCAAGAATGAAAGACAGACAGATTCTTCTTTTTGAAAAACAATGGTTGGAATGACACGTTCTGTAACACTTGCATTTTCAGGTTTTTTAGCCACAATATAGCTACAAACGAGACCCTTATCACGAACCATTTGTTCTCCAAATAAGTCCACAAGTCTTTTAGCAGCAGTAATTCTTGCAGCTTTTTGATTTCCATATTCTTCAAGTTTTTTGCTCATATTTGAACTCTCTGTAATGTAATCAAAGAGTTGTTTGGTTTCAATTCCTTCACCTTTTGTGTAAAGAATATCAAGCCATCGATTTGCAATTTCTGCAACACAATCATAACACTCTTTAAGAGTGTCACCTTTCAAGAATTGTTCAAATACTTGAGATTGGAAAATTTTGATCAATTTCAATTCACCTCTTCTCTTAATTTCAAATCCTTTCAATTCTGCCAATGTACCATCATGATTGAAAACTGCATATCTCTTCTTGATGGATTTTCCTTCTTCTTTTGAAGCTGGTAAGATCATGGCTCGATAAGGACCATCGACTTCAAAGAAAATGGAACATTCTGAATGTTTTTCCCATTTTCCAGTTTCTGGATTAAAATTTTGATATTGATTGTTACTGAAATTTTGTGCAACATCTGCGTTGAGCATTAAACATGGATATGAAATGGTTCTCTTCTTTCCATTTGTTAATTTGAGTGTAAAATTTTCAGGAAATGAACCAGGAAGCATACACCAAATACCATCGGTATCTAATTCAAGAGATGTTCCAATGTCATCAATTAATTCTCTTGCCATTCGAATAATTTGAGCTCCATTGTAGGTCACAACACCTGCCATTTCCATCGAATACCATCGAGCTGCTTTTCTCATGACATAACCATAGAAAGAGTTCAAAATACATTTGTGTGCAAGTTGTAGAGAATCATAGAGAACGAGCATGACTTTGGCTTTTTCTTCTAATTCTGGATCTTTCATCCTGTCTTTCCATTCTTTTGTTTTATCTTTCAAAACATATCTTCGATCACGAAATTCTCTCACAGTATTCACATAGAATGGATTTTCACGTTGACAAATGGTGGCATCTTTTACCATACTCTCCTTATTGTACTTTTTTTTGTGAGCTTTTTGACTAATTTCACCCACTCGTTTTCTCAATTCTTCATTGGTATAATCTGGATTTTCATTCATGAGTGTGTTCTTGGCAATGTTAAATTCAGAACGAGTGGCTGTGAAATATTCAGCTCTGAAATGCCATTTCATAATTCTTTTACAGTCATTCTCTGGTTTGTTATAAATGCATTGAGCACATGTATCTTCATTCACTATGGCCGATGGTTGTAATCGATGTGTTAAAATAATGTTTGGATACATGGCACCAACATCCAAGTGATATAATTTTGGACATTCGGTTCGATCAGGTTGTTCTTTCAACTGTTGTTTCAGACAAGGAATTGGCAAAAAATGTTGGGTATATATTGCGTATAGGATATTTGAAAGCAATAATTGTCATTTGATTCATGAAAACAACAATATCCATACAATTAATTGAAATAAGTACCATCATCAAGTGTATACATGAAACAATTGAAATAGGAATCATTTTTCAAATGTATATATGAAACAATACAGATATCAAATATGATTTTGTGTATGAACAATTATCAATAATGAACTTCAAGTATTATACTTACAAGTGTCAAGGCAGCAATAATTTCTTGTTTCACTTCTTCAAAATTGGCAACTTGATCCACTTCAAGCTGTTGTTCCACTTGAATAGAAAATCGAAGAGCTCGATCCACATTGTCAATAAGGGTTTGATATCGATTTGGATTCAATTTGAAAGAATGTGGAATATCGGATCGATACACACCTGATTTTAGACCCTCCACACGACCTCCAATATAGGTTTCACTTGCAATCAAGTGTCCCTTATACATTTTCTCTGGATCTGATTGATATCGATTTGGGAAAATAATATTTCCTTTGAATGCTTGAACCATCAATAAAGTTTCACACAAAGTTCCTGAACCTTTTCTCAACACTTCATCTGGAGGCATTGGAATGATATTACACAATGAGAAAATAAAAGGATTAATATACTTCATATATAAATAATAAGTAGACACAGCATCTGAAACTGAATAGGAAGCTAATTTTTGTGGTTCAGAAGAAGCAAGAGGAAGCATTTCTTCAGGATCTACTTCAATTGGATCATATTTGAGTTTGGCTCTTGTAACAGCTTTTAAACCATGTGAACCATGAGGTAAATAAGAATCTCGAATGACCCAATACAAACAATCGATATGAACACCAAATGAACTACCATATTCTGTGTCTGAACCTAATCGTTTGCTGTCTCCTGAGAGTCTGTAATAACCCACATATTCTCTCAAATTCAATGAATATACTTTTGATCTCTCTTCAATGAAAGGCCAATCAAAGTAATCACCGTTGTAAGTGACATAGACACAAGGTTTCTCTTCTTGCATGTGTGAAAACCATTTTAACAACAATTCCTTCTCGTTTTCCACATTGAATACTTCAAAATATCCTGGAAATTCCTCTTTTGGTGTGTAATCAAAATTTTCAATATCTTCAGAGACAATTTCACGATTTACAATCAAGTAACCGTGACCATCAATCATGTAAGAGATCATCATAATTCGATCCGATTGAGGATCAGGAAACATGAGTGGAGGTTTAGTAGTTTCAATGTCAAATGCACAGACTTTAGGAATGGCTCTTTCTTCAATGTCTTGTCTCATGGAAAGTAAAACATTTCCTTCTTCAATAAAAATGTCATACCAATAACCAACTCTCAAATCACTATCAATAGCACAACGAATGTGATACTTGATGTCATACTCTCGAATGTCAATAATTTTATCGACACAATCCATTGTTGAAAGTTTGACCTTTCTCTTTCTTCGAATTCCTCGTTCATAGTCATCTAAATCATCCAAGAATTCATCTTCAAAATCTTTTTCTTCTTGAAGTAATTCTTCTTCTAATACCTCAAATGAGTTTTGATTCTTTTTCTTATTCTTTTCAATAATTGGCAATAATTTAGATCTCATTTCCATAAGCTGTTGAACATTCTTGAATCTCAACTTTATAAACTTGGCTTTAATTCCCGAGAGATGGTTCATCTTGCTCAAATCTTCCTTCTCAACAATGTCAAGAGAAACCAAAGGGTCCAAAGATGTCAAATAATTGCTCACTTCAGTAAAAGAGTTGTCATCCTTCAAAGCAATATAAAAATAAGGTTCAAATGCTTTGGTGACAGTAAAATACTCTCCTTCATCACTGATAAAGTACAAAACAACAGCTGAAACATCCAAACTCGATGAATGAATGATATCTTCCATCTCTGCACCACCAGTCGCTAATTTTTCTGGTACACTCGTCGATCGAAAATTCAACAACCATCCAAGTTGTTTGGTGCCTTCCATGGGTGCTCCGAAGAAACGTTTATCAATTTCAATTTCTTCTAACTTTTTTCGTTCTCTATATTCTTTTAATTTTTGGAGCTTTTCTTCTTCTTCATCCTTTTCGTTTTGACTGGCATGACTGTCGGCATTCCTCCTCTTGGAGTTGTTCAAGAGTCGACGAGTGCTTTTGTTTGAAGTGGACTTGTGTGTGAACATTTTTTTGAATTTCAAATATTTAATTTTTTGAAAGGCGGGCAAGATTTGGCGGTTTTTTTTCGTTTTGGAAACCCATCATCATGATGGAATATCCTTTGAAGCAATTGTCTATTGCTTGTATGTTGTACAAGGATGATGAGCCACAGTTTTCCAAACAATGGAGAGAATAATTTAAATTGTATCAATATATGATGATGATATGTCTTCTTTATCATCGTAAAAAAATGTTAAAGAGAGCCGTTTCATCATCAACTCGCCATCTTCATCACACCAACCACAAAAATTCTACTTTGCTTCTTGCAAATATTTCTTACAATCAATCCGCTAATTATTATAACAATTACATTGCTTCAGTCCAAAGCAAGGACCTAGAAGAGGCTAAAAAGAACACATTGCTTCTCTATCGTAGGATTTTGAAAATTTTGCCCTGGATGAGAGATGTGTACCATCTTCCTGTCAATGAAGATGTTTTAAGAAGAAGAATCCACAAGGAATTTGAGTCTTATAAAGGGCTCACAGATCTTGAAGTGATTGATGCTTTAATTATCCGTGGATATATTGAACGTGAAGAGGCAACTATGCATCACAAACAAAGAGGACATGTCCTGAAGTACTTCTCCGAAACTGAGGTTGAAAAGGCCCTTCCTAAATTACCAGAGTTTAAGAAGATTGTTAAAGAAAAGATTAATACTGATGCTCTTCTCGGTTCTGCTACACGTAAAAATCTCGGAAAGTTTATCAAGAATATGGACCAATAATATTTTGGGATTTAAATCAATTTCAACAACCATCACAGCCATAAATTATGTACTATGAATATCGCAATTTGCATTTACAACATGGACTGTCTTGCGGTACAAACATAATATTTATTATCTCACCATACAGGAGGGTGTTTTTAATAAAAGTTGGAAAGGACCTCAAACTCTACTTTTTAGCTCTGTTTGAATCGATCTTCGCATAATTCAAACCCTACTTCCTCATATTCCTCTTTTTTCACAGTGCATTGGTCCAGTTGTCGTTTTTGGTAGAAACTAAATGCTGAGGCTCCTCTCCAGCACAATGTGATGGGATTTTTACTTTCCAAAACAGTGACAGACTTGACCTCTTGTGGACAGAATGGTCTTATTTCTTGGAGTAATCGCTCTTTAAAGTTTTTGAATTTCGAGTTACCTCCTGTTACCAAAATGGTATCAAACAAGATGGACTGTTCGACAGGAGATTTGATATTGGTCAATATAGTCCTTGCGCATGTTTCTGCAATGCCTGCTTGATTGAGACCAATATCAGAGGGATTGAATAAAAGCTCTGGAATTGCAATACGTTCATTATTCAGGGTCAGAATTTGTAGTTCAGGATCAATTGATGATGCATCAGAAGTATCCAATAAATAACCAGTTTTGCTGTGCCTGTAATCTGGAAGCACATAGGATTGAAAGAGAGGAGAATCGCTAAAAGAAGCAGCATGTAAATCTTTAAGAAAATTCTTTGATACATAACATAATCTTTCTTTAACAAGATTCATTAAATATGTTTCTTCCATCATGTCATAATATCTATTCGATACTACTTCTTTGAGATAATTTGTTAGTAACTTTCCTCCAATATCAATTCGTTGAATACCTGCTTTCATAGGGAGAGAATTAATAATTGGATAAATATGTGAAAATGAAAATCCAGAATCCACCACTAGGGCACTTTTGGATATTTTCACAGGATTGGTCGTATCTAACGAGTAAAGAGGAGATTTTTCATCGCTAATTTCATTAATATATCCAAAAAAACTTAGGTATTGACTAGATATTGAGGCATATTCCTTAAATCCAAAGTATTCAAATATTAATTGACAAAGATCTTTTTGTATGGTCTTTGGTGTAAAAGGTTGATGAGAAAGAAAGAGTCTTGTTTCACTTATTGACAAACTTGAAAAATGTGTTTTAAATATATAATCCCAAATGATAGCTTGTGTTTCACAATCCACAACATATCCTCTTTCAATTGGTCTTCTGAATAGCAAGGATGCAAAACATTCACAATCACTTTCGAGTTGATCTCCAATAAACATTGAACCACTTGTTGCTGATGATGCTTTTTGTTTAGCAATCATATTCGGAATTATGAGTGGACGTTTGACTTCACGTGCTTGATCGAAAACTTCGTTTAAAGAACTAGGAGCCAATCCAATCTTGATTGTATCTCCTCCATTGTCCATGATGAGCGTTTGAGCGGATGATGAAGTCGAAACGTAGCCTTGCTGCTGGGCCATGAACACTCGAGCCAAATCGAGAGAGTCTTGGCTTGTCATTTTTTATTTGGAGTGTTTCCCTACGAAATGATTCATGAAGCTACATGATTCCATTTCATCATCATTGGTGATCCTTGACTGAATGAATAATATTGGAATGATGTTTGATCATGAATGAAGTTATGCTTTTTCACCAGAGTTATGCAACGCGTATTGGAATGTTGTGGTAACATTCTTTCCCATCACCATCATCATCATACTCATCACCATCAAAAAATAAAAACGCTCCTCTCATCATCACCATCATCATCTTTCTCTCAAATAATTCCACCAACAATTATTGATATTGAGAGAAGAAGAGCAGATCTTCATAATTGAGCCCATCAAATCCGACTAACTCATGAAAACAGTTTTTTAAAAAGGCTTTGTTTAGTACCATCATCATCAACTTTTATTCGGCTAGTAGGCACTCCTGATATCATCACAAAGAAGATGGGATCAAGTAATGGTAAAATAATTAGTAATGTACCAGAAAGTTTCAATGGAGGAGGAGAGCAAGATGTAACACAAAATAGTGCAACAACTCTATCCTTTACTCCTACAAATCCTTTGTCGGCCACAAAAAGCCGAAAACGAACAACTATAACAACATTTGATAAAGACACTAACCGAGTATCTATTGTATCCATCCGATATGACAAATCACCTATTGCAGTTGAGGAGGATAGATCAGTTCTTTCATTTGAAAATTATGATCTTGCAATGGCGAGGATATTCTCGTTTTTGGATATTACTTCGCTTTTGATGTGTGCAAGGTAAGAATATTAACTTTTAACTGCAAACATTGATGAAATCTTTTCAGTGCTTGTAAACGATTTCGTGATTTAGAAATCAAATATCAAGATGTTCTATGGCAAAATTTGTACAAATTTCATAAGACAAACATGATGTACTTTTGCACAAATCCGTCACAAGCTCTACAAATGATGGAAGAAACAAAGAAAAAGCATCAACAGAACGACAGAAAACCGGAGCGAAATGAGCTAGGATTGATCGTTAACGATCCTATTTTATTGGAGTTAAAAAAGGATGTCAAAAATTGGAAAGATGAATGTCTTAATTATTGTAAGTGAAAAATTGCATTGAAATATGTTTTAATTTCTATTTTTGTTGCAGACTTTGTGAAAAGGAAATTCATTTCATCGAAACAAGAATATCTTTTAATCTCAAAATTACATGATTTTGTACATCACACAGAACCTCTTTCAAGAAGAAAATCTCTATTAGGTCAACAATTTTCAGTCACAGAATCCCCTAGAGAATCTTTTCAACCAAGAACAAGCGAAAGTAGCGACAGCAGTGATGATTTCAAGTTGGATGATAATATTGATGACGACTTTTTAAAGAAAAAGAGCCTAGAGTTTATGATGTACAACAACAATATCAAAAACAAGATGGATGAAAGTGAAGAGGATGAAAAACCTTTTACCAATTTAGCAGAAATCGATAATGCCAATTTAAACAGGTGGAAAGAAGCGGAATCTGACTCAGATGATGACAACTGGCTTGATGACGAGAAGGAAAAGGAGGAAGAAAAAACAGAATTAGATCTAAAAAGTCCAAATCAAATTTTACAAGAAAAAATTGGAATATCTCATGTCACTGAAGACAATGTGACAACTCCTCCTCAGCTTAGAACAGATGTTCATCCACCAAGCTCCATAAAACATTTCGAAGAAACATCAGATGATGAAGATTGGTTCAAAGATGAGGAAGAAGAAAAGGAAAATAATTCATTAATTGAGCCAATAGTGAAAAAAGGAGAACGAGCATCCCAAATTGAAAGTCAGACAAAACTGCATGTCAAGAACGATTTTTCAGTGCTAGACAATAATGACATCAAAATTGAAATCACCTCAGATTCTGACCCTAAGTCATCAAAGAAAACCAACGAATCAAATCATGTGAAGCTAAAACTTCCATCTTTTGACGAGGACGCAAATGATGAAGAAACTCTTTTGAAAAAAGAAGCTTCTGTTTCCGAAATTAATTTAACATTTGCGAACGATCTTGACACAGAAGGACCAAGATCGTTTTCATCCAAGTTGAAGACAGACAGTTTTGATCAAGATCCATTTGATGAAGACTCAACAAAAGGTTCTCAGAAATCGAAATCACCATTGATTATTCCCAAACTATCAGCCAATGATGATGAATCTGATCCTTGGTATTCTGATGAAGAGGGAAGCCCCAAGAAACCTATTTTCGCTCTTGAATCAGACACTGTGGAAAGTTTAGGAGTAAAAAAAGTTGACGAAACTGATTCAGATTCAGATGACTGGTATAGCGAAAGCGAAGATGACAAGAAAAGTAATTTTAATTTGGGAATGCTCAAAGACTCTGATGATTCTCAAAAAGAGTCACCTCCTTCTAAAATAGGGTTAGGATCGAATGTACCTGCTCTCACTGGAAATCAAACGGATACAGCTCGAAGGATCAAGGAAGCTGAGAATCTAACCTTGGACGAGCTTATCACTGATCTCACCGATGTGACCAAGCTGAAAGAAACCTATTTAAATTTATCAAATGCTGAAACACAACAGTTTTACAGCAAGCTCCTTTCATTTCATCAACGAACTCAAGCACTTTTTGATAACACAGCATTTGATGATACCATGCCTGATTCGATGGTAAGTTTTTTTCACAACAACTGTTCAATTTATGAATTATATTTACCTATTATATTTACTATATTATATTTGTTATATATGAATAATAACAGATGATGCCCAGCGACTGGCCCACAACTTTATCATTTTTCCAACAAAAGAAAGGCCAAGGAATTGTCATTAAGCTTGTCTATATCGAAGATACTCAAACTCCCTATCCTGCAAAACTTTGTAATCCAGTTCTAAAATTCTTTGGTTCCAAATCTCGAGATATGAAAAATGTTTGCTCGGCATTAATTATTGGACCATTTCTATTGCAATGGAACAAAACTCATTCTCTGATAATTCCAAGAAAGCTTGTTTCTGATTCTTATTTATATCAAACGCGAACACACCGTATTGCAGAAATATTTAATGTATCATTAGACTCCATAATCGATAGTATTGCAAAAGTGATTGTGGAATGGAACCTTACGAAGCTTTATCACGATCAGCTTCAAAACTGTCAACATTTTGTTGAAAAAATTATTGATGTATTGGGAATCAAGAAAGTGTTAGAATGTGAAAGAATAGGAAAGACAATTTGTAAGTTGGTCTTTTATTCTGAATGTTGAAAATGTTTACAAATGTATTATTACAGTTAATTACAACACCATGTTGCAACGAGAAGGGAAAGGCATCATTGAATTCAATTTTTCCGATCAAGTTAAACAAGACAAATTGTACACATTTTTGGAAAAGAAATATGGAACAAGTAAGATTTGTTTTGAAACACACCAACAACTCGATGAATTCATGAGATCAGTGATTTCAGAAGATCCAAATTTTACCATAACACATCACCAAGACTATTCACTATTGGTATTTTTTGATCAACTCTTTTGGGCCAAACACAATTTACTTTCTTCAGAAGAAAGATACAAGCCATTCAGTGACGAAAAATCCATTCTTTGTCCATTTGGATCACTATTATTTGGAACCACCAAATAAGCAATGCCGTGTTGCCTGCTAATAACTACCCGTATCTATTATTCTCTTTAACTCTCTCGACACATTTTGCCCTCTCATCACCACCACAATTCAACAACAACCCTTGAATTAAAAATTTTTTAAAGCTTTTCACAGTTCAAAATTTATTTGAAGTCAAAAAAAATTCCAACAATTCATGCCAAACACCAACAAAGCAGCCAAGAAAAACAAAGCCTTCGCTCAACTGCGAAAGGCAAACCAACAACAACAACAATCGGGGAGGGAATTACCTAGTGAAGAACCCATCATAGATGCTGATACATTTCAGTCGGAAACTGATAAATTTCAATCCAACAAGATTGAGGACCTAAGAAAAAAGGCTGGTCTTTTGGAAAAGGACAAGGACCGATATGTGATCCAACCTCTCATAAATGAACATGAAAATTCCTATGAGGATGACCAAGATGATGAAGAACAAGATGACCACTCTTCTGCACCTATTGACAAGAAGCTCGTAAAACAAACAGTCGATAAAGTTACTAAAAAACAAAAAGATGAAAGTGATGATGAGGATGATGATGATGAATTAACCAGCCTCTCTGCCAAGACTTCAACAACAACAACAACCAATTCCAGTGATGATGATGATTCGGAAAATGATAACGAACGATACAAAGGAGCATTTAGTGATGATGAAGAGTCCGATGATGAAGATGTCTTGAAATTAAAGAAAAAGGCTTTAATGAGTAGTAGCACGAGTAATAACCGATGGAAGAGAAGTGAGTTCTTTGAGGGTCAATCACAACTCTCTCAAAAGACTCACACCAATCGAGAAAGAAAACAATATGAAGAAGAAGAGGAAGAAGTAAAGAGAATTCAAGAAGAACGTGCAAAGAGACTTGCAGCTACGGATTATCTCGATGACTTTATGCTTGATCAACAACTCTCCACTCCATCCTTTTCTAGAAAGAAGGAGAGTCAAAAACAATCATCGGGTGGTATTTCATTGGAAGAAAAGTTGTCCATCATACAGAAAGATGCTCCAGAGTTTATGGAATTGCTTGTAGAGTTGAAAAACAAGCTCTCAACTGTTAAGGATCAATTACATCCTTTAATGTCTAAAGTCATGGTGGGTAATTTAGCAACAAGTGAAGGATTGAGCTATTTAGAAACAAAATATCACTTGATTTTGAGTTATTGTACAAATATTTTGTTTTACATGCTTTTGAAATCAAGTGGAAAATCTGTGAAAGATCATCCTGTCATTGACCAATTAGTGGAACTTCGATTACTGTTAGAAAAGATAAAACCAATCGATGAAAGAATGAAATATCAAATCGACAAACTAGTCAAAATGGCCAATGATATTCAGGATGCAACAATGACCTATGAATTCAAAGCAAATCCAGACAGACTTGTGAAAAATGATGAAGAGGATGGTTATTCAAACCATGGTGACGAAGGTGACGAAATGGCAGAAAGTGATGAAGATTATTTGGAAAAAACAAAATCCTCAAGAAAGTTAAAAACATCTCTTGACGACACTGATAGCGACATGGATGAAGATGAAGCTGATGATGAAACTTATGTTGCTCCAAAGATGATGGCTATTAGGTATGACGATGGTGATGAAAGAAAGGCAGAGAAAACAAGAAAGAAGGCAATGGAAAGAATCGAAAAGGGTAAATTATTGAAAGAGCTCAAAGCAGAGTTTGGAGATGCTCCAGAAGAACGAGAATCTGTCGGTACTGAAAATAGAAGCAAGTATTTGGCTCAAATTGAGGAGGCAGAACTTGACTCTCGCCACCGAATGCTACTCACCAAGAAAGACAAGAAGAAAATTGCTGAGGAATTGAAAATCAAAAATCCACTCGCAGAGATGGACTCATTCCATGAATTCACAGCACTTCAAAGATATGCCAAGTCAAAGCAAGCCACAAGCAGCAAATTAGCATTGGCCCAATATATTGGAGATGCCGATGAGGCCTTAAAAGCTCTCGAAAAATCAAACTCTGCAGCACCAATCGATGAGAATGGATTGAACGAAGAGGAAAAAGCAATGTTAGAGAGTGGAGCACTGACCTATGATTCTGACTCTGATTTTGATGAAGAGGAAGATGACTATGAAGAAGACTCTAAAAAGAGAAAGCGAAGAGGATTTGATAATATCAATAGCAAGAAAACAAAGAGAGATTTGGAGGATGAAACCTTAGAAGACGATAGGCGAGATGATCAAGGAAAGAGAAAGGCTGACAACAACACCCTTAAAAACAGAGGAATTGCTGCTCACAAGAAGGTTGACCAACGAAATCCAAGGCTAAGACTGAAAAACAAGTTCAATAGCAAGACTGGTGGATATAGATTTGGTAAATTAAAATCAGAAAAAGGTTACAGTGGAGAAAAGAAGATTCAAACAAACACTGTGCGATCAAGAAAAATCAAATCGTAATTTATGAATTTACACATGTATTACTGATAAGTCTTCATTAAATGTTCCCACATGTCCAATAATTGATCGAGCGTCATGGAACTTAAAAGCGTGCCATCACGTTTTCGAACACTGACAGTCTTCTCTTTCATCTCTTTTTCTCCAAGAACCAAAATAAAGTTATATTGAAGTAATTGAGCTTCTCTAATCTTCTTTTTCATGGTTTTGTCAGAGACATCCACATCGACGTAATAATTGGAATACACGCCACGTTGTTCAGCTCTCGAGAAAATTTCCTCTTTGACTTGATGGCAATATTGAACCAGTTCGTCTTTGTCAGAAGCAACAGGACAGATAAAGCATTGTCTTGGATTGAGCCAAAATGGCCATTTTCCGCCCAAATGTTCTGTCAGTAGAGCAATAAATCTTTCAATGCTTCCAAGTATGGCTCTATGAATGATAACAGGAGTATGTAATTGATCATTGTCACCTTGATATTTCAAATTAAAGCGAATTGGGAGTTGGAAATCCAATTGAATGGTAGCACATTGATGTAATCGTTGCAAGCTATCCTCGATTTGAATATCGATTTTAGGTCCATAAAACGCTCCATCACCTTCATTGAGTCGCCAATTATAACCCTTGAGACATTCTTTTAGGGATTCTTCTGCCTTATTCCATTTTTCAATGTCACCAACAAATTTCTGAGGCCTTGTAGATAAGTTAAACTTCAAATTAAAACCAAATATATCACTGTAAACAAATTTCACAAATTCCAAACAATTTTCAATTTCAGTTTTAACTTGTTCAGGAGCACAAAATATATGCGAATCATCTTGATGGAATCTTCTCACTCGAGTTAAGCCAGTCAAAGAACCACGTGGCTCATTTCTATGAAGTGGACTAAAATCAGCTAATCGAAGAGGTAACTCTTTGTATGATCTGGTCTTACTGTCAAACATTAAGCAGTGAGCAGGACAGTTCATTGGTTTGATACCAATTGTTTCTTCTTTTTGTTGACTCGCTGTACCTTCAATAACTGTAAACATGTCTTCTTTGTAATGTTCCCAGTGTCCAGATGTAATCCATAGTTCCTTTTGAAACATTTGAGGAGTAATGACCTCGTCATAACCTCTTTTTTTGTATTGCTTTCTAATAAATTCAACGAGTTTGTTAAACATTCTTGTTCCATGTGGTAAAAAGAATGGTGTACCTGGACTTGTCTCATGGAAGAAGAATAAATCTTGTTTCTTTGCAATTGTTCTGTGATCTCTTTTCAGAGCTTCCTCAATGTTATTCTGCCATTCTTCTAATTGTTTTGATTTTGGGAATGAAATACCATATACACGTTGTAGTAGTGGTTGTTTTTCGTCTCCTTTCCAATATGCCCCGCTCAGCTTGGTGAGCTTGAAAGCTTTAATGAAAGAGGTGTTTGGCAAATGTGGGCCTCTACACAAATCCACCAATTCTCCACATTTGTAGAGAGTAACAGGATCATTGTCTGGAATTTTGTCTATAATGTCTAATTTGAAAGGGTTGTATTTGAAAATCTCTCTTGCAATTTCTTTGTTGATGCGTAATCTTTGAAATGGGTACTTTTCTTTCACAACGTCTTGCATGTACTTTTCAAGCTCTTCAAGCTGTTCAGTCGCAATTCTTTGGTTATTTTCAATATATCCTTCGTAGAAAAATCCTCCATTTAACAATTGTTGAGCACCGTTGGCATCTTTGGAAATTAAAGCTGGCCCATCACAGAGCTTCAAAGCATTTCCGAATTTTCTTTCTAAAGCGCATCCAAGGATATGTGCAGATGAATGCCAAAACACTTCCTTTCCCTCGGGGTCTTCAAAAGTGAAATATTGAATGGTTTTGTTTGGTTCTTTGATTGTTTCATTAATTTCATGAAAAGTAGTATTTAGATCCGTAATTTGGTCATTCACTTTGCAAACAACAAATTCATTAACTTCATTCTTAAAGAACAACTCTGATGCCAGCTGAAGTGGAGTCTTTTTGAGGAAATCTGTATCAATTGTAACAGTGATGGTTTTCACCTTATCACCAAATCGTAGCTCTAAATTTTCATTTCTTCCAATAGGGAAATTCTCGGGTTTGAGAGATTGTACTTGGCTTTGATTTTTCATCAACTCGGTCCAGTGCTGTAATCTCTCCTCAAAAGCGAAATTTAAAAAGCATGTCGAAAATCTTCTTGGAACAGAGTTACATGATGACGATGAGAGAAAGGAACTGGTAACATAATTGCTCATCATTTTCAAACCGATTGAATTATTCTTCCCAGTCAAGCCTCTTTCGAGATGATGACTTGCTTTCATCATCACGGAGGATACGCAATTTTTCATTTTTTCAAATAATATAAAAAATGACTTTATGGACGCTGATCAAGATTGTTGTTCTGCTTGTGAATGCTATTGCGGTGTTGAATGAAGAACGATTCCTGAGGAGAAGTACGTTTTAAAATTTTGATGATGAATTGAAATCATCAAAATAATAATTATTTTTTGTGATTTTTTAATGACCGGAATTCCAACTCAGTCGGATTTGGTTACAGACCTGAAGTGGTAGCTGAAGAGAGCTTGAAAGCACGAACTATTAATTTACTACATGCCGTCAGAACGCTATTGAGAAGTAAGTTGAGAAATTTAACCATAAAAGTTACAAATTTGAGTGTTGACCGACAGTTCCATTGATATTTATTAATGCATTTGTAATTGTAATTTTGCTCTTGGTTGGATAAAGAGTCAACAACAACTAAATATTAATAATCTTCATCAAAGAAATCGAAATTCTTCTCCTTGGCAGTTTCATTGTCAGTGAATAAGTCGTCATCAAAGTTGATAGAGAATAGCGGCTCAGTGAAGGGCATTTCAAGTGGCTAGTGACGTTAAAAATACAAAGTGAACGGTAACACGTGTACTTACGTCAGATTTACGTTTTTCAGGTACCTTAACATCTTCAACATTCCCACTTTGTAATTTTTCGGATAATGATTGAATGGCATTGTCCAAGTCTTGAAGTGATTTTTGGTAATTCTCTTGCAGTGCTTGCAGCTTTGAAGCCACTTCTTTTTTCTTGTTAGTAAGAGCTTGTTTCTCCATTTCATACTTTGAATGGTCACCAATCACAGCTGTGTAAGCACAACTTACCATATCTTGATACTTTTTAGAGATTTCTTGCTGATAACTTTCCATCTCCTTCAGGGCTTGCAGCTTTAACTCTTCAATGGACTTGTGAAGGTCGAAATCTTCCATCAACCCCACTTCTTGTGATAGTTTTTGCATCTACGGCAATTGTAAAATTAATTTGATGAACGTCAAAACCGACACTTACAATAGTTTGCTTCTCGTAAATAGTATCCTTAATATTTCTTCCGACAGCTTGCGCATCTGCAATCTCTTTTTCAAGATTATTAACAGATGCTTGAAGATTGATGTGTTCCTCCCTAAGCATTGACAGTTTCATCTCATAGTTCTTTACATATTGCTCTTGGGTTATCTTTTCTTCTTTCTTCTTTTCCAACTCTTGCAAAAGAGTTGCGATTGTCAATTCTTCCTTTGCTATCATTTCAGAAAGACTTTTTTCTTCGTTCGTTGCTTTATCAATTTGTACGTTCAAATCTTCAACTAGTTGCTTTGCGTTGGTCAAGCTTTGATCAGACTCAAGCTCCAAAGAATATATTTCGGCGTTAAGATTCTGCAAAGTTTGATGACACTCTTCAATTTCTGCTCTTAGCAACACTGATTGACTTTCCCCATCTTCCAAGAATTGGTTGAGTTGTTCTCTTAATACAGCTAGTTCGGATATTTCTCCGCCCATCTTGTCAATGTTGGACAGGCAAACCGCTCTCACCTCGTCCAATTCGGTTTGAGTCTTACTCAAAGCTTCATACTCACTGAAAACCTCTGTCAATGTTTCTTTCAGTTCTCGGTGGTACTTTTCTTTCATTTGCAGCTTTTGGGCAAGTGACGAGATCTTTGTCGTGTCCATCTCGTTATTATTGTCAACCCCTGCTTTAATTTTAAGCTTTTCGAGAGCATCCTTAAATCTGAAGGCTTCATATCCATCTTTGTGCTGTCTAAAATCATTAATCTCTCGCTCAATATAACCCTTAGAAAGGTTGTTAAAAAAGTTCAGAAACAATCACAGCTACATACAATATCATTTTCGGTTTGTTTTCTTTGAGTTCTAACGTTCTCAATAGTATTTTCTAATGATTCAACGGCTACTGAAGATTTTCGTTCATTGCTCAAAAGGTCTTCCAACTGAACCTTACTTGAGTTGATCACGTCTGCAAGACGGCCAATCTTTTCTTGCTCGGAGTATATTTGATCTCTTTTTTGTCGTGTTCTTTCCACAGTTTCCTGAATACTTGCAAAAAGCGACTGCAACAGTTCTTGTTTCTCTTTAATCTCCCTTTCTAAATCTGTTCGTTTCTTTTCTTTCTCGTTAAGTTGTGCATTTACTATCAAAAAAGATATATTGTTGAATGATTATTAAAAAGGATCAACTTACCTTTGGCTAGATGATCCTCTTGGTTTTGATTTTCGTTTTGAAGAATCTGTACTTGATCAACATACTCTTCATAACGTTTTTGATCTCCAGATACTCTTTGTTTCAAGACTTCAACAGCCTCTTTCATTAGTGCAGATTTTTCTTCAACTTCGGTCAGGAGAGTCTTCATACCCAACAGTTCTTGATCCAAGGCATCACTTCTTGACTTGAGTTTAGCGAGTCGAGCCATTTCAGATTGACTAACCGCTTCCCACTTGACTTTGGCTTTAGAGAGATCGGACACAAGGTCTTCCATAGCTTTAAGACTTGTTTGACTCTTTTGAAGAAGCTTGGACTGAAGTTATTAAAAGGAAATAGTAAATTGTAAGAAAATGATATCAATCAGCATTGATCTGCTACATTACCTTAGCCTCAATATTTTGCTTATTTTGACTTCTTGCATTCAACAATTTCTCAACGGAGTTCTTCAACAAGTCATATTTGGATCTTGTTTTCAAAGACTCTTTTCTCATTTGCAAGTCTCTCTTTTGCTGGGTACCACTCTCAGAGTTGATGCTCTGGAATTTGGCTGTCTTGAAGGAGAAAGACTGCTTTTGCATTTTTTTGGAGCGGTTTAGTCAACCGAATGATTGAGAGCAAGCCTTATTTACTAATGAAACAATTTATTCATCCTACAGAAGAATTTTCGAGCATGTTCATTGTGCCAGCCTTCGTGAGCGAGAGTCCAACAAAATTGCAATGGTTCCATGCTGTCATCCACCTTCCGAGAAAGCATCTCTGTCTTTGCAGTCACACATGTCTCAACAAAATGTTGCTATTACACGTTTTCCAGGTCATTATTTTGTTTTGTTCGGTTGATCATTGAAGAAGAGATTGGGTTTGTTTCAGATGATGATTGAATAGAAGAACTTGTAGAACCTCCGAATGATATATTCTTTGATGAAAATACACGAAGAAAATTTCTCCTTCGTAATATTAAAAAGAGACCAATGGCTAACAACAACCCAATAATTATGAAAAAACTGAATGAAATGAAATGTCCGTATTCATGTGATTTGTTTTGAATAATGTTAACGGCATTTGCAAGTGATGGAGGTGGATTGTTGTTGCCCTGAACGATGACTGGTCCCTTCTGCCCTCCTCAGCCCATTTTTTTGTTTTGATGATTTTAAAAGTGACATTTACAAAAGTTCTTTTCTACTTCTTTACTTTCTTGTCATTCGTCATGGACATTCCAAAGTAGGCCAAAGCAATAACCGCTAACGAGACAACCATTAACACCAGAATAAATATTTTGAATTTCTTAGAATTTGCTTTCTTTGTTTCTTTTCCTGAAATAATATCCAAACACCAATCGTGGAACTCTCGGGTCCTGTCAACCAATTCTCTATCTCTACATCCAGCCCTGTGATACCATTCCTCAAGAGAACATCTGTAATGTAACCAGTGTGATAGAGGATTAGACTCAAATTTCTTCGAAACAACATGATATTGCGCTCTGGCAATTATTGGTTTTGTTAGTTCATTTCTCTGATAAAGATCATTTGGTCCACTTTGACCAATTGCTTTTAGTTCTAGCTGATAGATGTTTTCATTTGAGCTTGGTTCATCCATTATTAGATTAAAAGTATCTTTGTAAGTACTTTCAATTTCATGGTCTGGTAATCTGTGTTCAAATGTATTCAATTCAGATAACCCAAAATTAATAGACATTCTTCTAATTACGTCATACATATTTTCTAGTCGTGAATACAATTCATCCTTAAATAAAACAACTTGTATCATGAGGTTGCTGTGATTTTCTCCTTCATCAGCAACAAAAGAATTTTGAGATTGAGCCTTAAATGTTGAAGGATATCTTTTTGATAGAACATCAAAGTAACACGTATTAACCAAATGTGAAATTGAGCTCCATTTGAGAAACATTTCTTCTTCTGAAGTGCTTGGCATTTGTTTTATATGAGAAAATAACCTATGTTCATAAACTGTCTTTTCTACTTCATCTAGAATATTTTTTAACTCTTCAGTACTGAATTCAGGAGTGGTTGGGGCAGTTGTTTGTGAGTTTCTATTCGTAATTTGAGAATGAAAATTCCTGATTATACTGATATCAAAGACTTTATCAAAAACAAAAAATTGTGCCTTGTGCTTAATTAAACTATTAGTCCTGATTAGTCCTCTTCCGAGAATATCTTTCTTATGAAGAGAAGAAGAGCACATCCGAAACGAAGAAGGAGCAAGCTGATTTTGGTGGCTCGAGAAACAAGCAACAACATGCTGACGGAGAGAGGACCGCATTTTTTGAAGTGGTTCTATTTTTTCTGTTGACTTGAAAAAATGTCTAAAAGGCTTTTTTCATCTCAAGAGGAGAGGATGTTGCAATCCCTGTACGATGATGATCACGAGCAATTTGCCTATGCAACAACCATCAACTTTTTTGACATTATTTCATTAGTGGCCTTGATTTACATCACTTTCCGAGTACTACGATGGATCATTCACTCTACAGTTTCATCTCCTCTCCATAAAAAGTATCGTCATGATAACGCGATTGAAAAACGAATGATGAAAGAACATGCCAAAGGAGTAATCCCTATTTTACCTCGTTTTGAATTTATTAAAACCAAAGAAAGAAATAGTGTTAGAGACGGAAAAGATAATTTAAAGAAAATATTTATTAAAAACAATATCGGCCAACAAGAGGAATGGCTGGAAGGAATTGAAGTTGAATATATTTGCAAACTCGCTGGAAAACATAATGGAGAGACAATTACTTTGGAAAATAATCTTCATTCCTATGAACCCAATTCTCCTTTATTTTCTGATGAGCAACACCAGCATGGCACTTCCACTGACCTATTGGAAGCAATACATGACATTTACTATGTGATTCCTGGAAATCCTGGAAATTGTTTAATATATCACAACTTTATGGAAGAAATTTGTAAGAAATTAGAAAGTAGAAACTCTAACACTCTTCACTTGGTTGTTGCAGTGAGTTTAAGAGGTCATTCCTATTACTATCCAAGTAGATGGTGGAAAAACGAAACCCTCAAAATTGGTAATACACATTTCACTACATCAAGATCACTCTATGATCAACTGGAAGTTTACAACCTGGAGGATCAAATTGAGTATCATTTGACTGTCATTCAACAATTGCATAAACAAATGATGAAGAAAAAGAACCATTCACAACTTAAAATACATCTGTTAGGTCATAGCGTTGGATGCTACATAATTTCTCGAGTTTTGGAACGAATGCACCTTTTGAATTTATCTGAATTTTGCTCAAAGCATATTGGAAACATTTTCTTTTATTATCCAACTTTACAAAACATGCACAAGGAAACTCCAAATGGTCAATCCATGTTGCAATATCTCATTAGACCTCAGATTAGAAAACATCTATGCAATTTATTACACAATGTTGCATCACCACTTATTCCAAGTTTTTTCATACGACTTTTGAGAAGATCGGAACCCATTCTTGTACCTTTCGCTCCTTATTATTTTGATAGCATGAGAATCATTAAGAATGTCACAACATTGGCATCTCATGAATTTAATGAAATATTACATTCATTTGGAACACCATCCATGGAAAAGGATCAAGAAATTAACACATTTAAAAGAGTTCTTCGAGACAAGAAGCATACTATTTATTCAATCTTCAGGTAAGCTGCCAAACATTATCATTTTAACACTTTGTATTTTCAATTGAAATCCACACACATCTAGCTCATCGGATCTTTGGGTTCCAAGAAAACACTTTCTTTCTTTTCTCGAACATGTATTTGAAATTTGTTTGGATGAATCAACCAAGCATGACATGATCAACCCTTCAAAAACGAGCGACATTGAATTTTGTAATCATGTGAATGAACTCATCAATCAATCCAGCTTGGTTCAACCAGGCCAACTCAATATCAATACCACCACAAAACATGCCTATGTGATTCATAACGAAGATTTACATGAGGCCTCAGAGCTCATTTTGAAAGCATTGTTGTCACAATAAAATCGTTCATCAAAAAAAGGAACAATTGTGCTTCTTTAATCGCGTTTTGGTTTCTTGGTTTGAGGTTGTTGGGTTGTCGCCTCCGAAGATAGGTGATCAGCTGTATCTTGGTCCCTAGTGTTTTCAGATGACACATTAGATGACTTTACAGATTGATGAATGGTGTTTCTTTTGCCTGGGCCCCAATTCTCTTCTGGGTTGGGTAAGAAGGTAGCAATACCTGTGTATTTTCTTGTAGTGAGTGCCTTCTCATTGACAGTAAAGTTGATATCCGTGTGATGTTGTGGCTTTTCTAAAATTGCTTGTCCTGGAGTCTTTTTAGAATCTTCCTTTTGGGGTTTCACAGGGTTCGTTTTGATCCATTCCTTCATGACATCATAAATAAAACCAATTGGAGCATCTGTTTTCAGGGCATTAGGTTTGGCATGCGATTGAGAAACTCTATATCCGGCATTGATTAAGGCTGATTTAACAGATGTCATTGGAGGGTTCATACACTTCAAAACGCTTGAAATATGATCAACAGCGTGATAGAGAGGAGCATCTGGTAACTCGGATTTGGCCACTGTTAACAATCCAATAATTCTCTTATGGGTACTAAATAATTGAGAATTTTTTTGAACATGATCTAAACACTTGGCAATGAACTCAGTGTCATGCAATGGACCTAACCACATGGGACCTGATAGTTTAAGTCGCCATCCGCATTCTGGACAGGTTTCCTTTGGAATTGTTGCTTTCGTACCATGTTCATGGAATTGCTTGCTGTTGGCACTGGACCCTCCACCAAATGTTTCTGTAAAGAATGCTTCACAGCCAGAACAAACATAAACATTTCCCATTTCCTTATAAATATTCTTCACTTTTTCTGGTGAAGTGTAAACTCTCAAAAATACTCTAACGTAGAAATCAACGCTCAATGAGAGAAGAGGGACTACATATCTCTTATATCTAGATGCACTAGTTTGAATGGATGAAATTAACATTCTCAAACCTTGTTCGTGACATGCTTTCAATTTTTGTGGATAAGCACCATATTTTGCAAAACAGGTTCCTGGTTGTTGACCACATAATACTGCCATGTCAGTACAAGTGATACACAATAGTCCACCATTTCCATCCACACATTGGACAGCACCATCAATAAATGGTGCTGCTGATCCATATGGGTCCAAATCAACAACATCAAAAGCTTTACCAGAGTTTGATGCCATATATGCGATGGCGTCTCCTTGATTGGCTGTAACACAATTTTCAGAAATATCATTAAACTCAACATTTCTCTTGATGACCTGAACTGCTTCAGGTAACAAGTCGTTTGCAATAATTTGTTTAACATCTGGAATTTCATGCCAATAACGAATGGACCTCAAACCAGTTGCAGATAAGGCTTCTAAAATTTTCAATCCTTCATATGGCTTTACGTTGTCGGAAGATGTATCCATTTCAGTGGAAGATGACACCTCTTTCTTTTTTCTTCGTCCCGTTGGAGGCTTTGATTTTTCTTCTTTTCTTGTTTCATTGAACATTTTAATCACTAGTGTAGAAACATCTCTATTGAATACTTGAACCTTGTTATAGAAAGCTTCGGTATCATTGGCATAGAGAACCGTGGCTGATCCTTCATCGATGCATTGATAGCCGCTTGGAATACTCTTAATGTTCGAAATATTGTGATGAGTACCACTTGGGTAATATTTTCCTTCTATCAAATCAACTAAAGATGATGATGATGGAAGAGTTGTGGAGGTATTGTTGCTAATATCGGAGGAGGATGGTGGCATAGAAGCATCTTGGTTGTTGTTCGGCATTTTTTTTTGTAACAAAGTTTCTTCATATTGAATATGTTTGAATTCAAAATTGCACTTGGAATGATTTGTTTTGACAGAAAAATTATTCCCACTGCATGAATTTTGTATATTCAATAATATCAAGGTTTGATTTGATTTAATAAATGATGATGAAATTAAAACAAGATGATTGAGTTTTCTTCGGAGCATGGCATTTTTTGTTGTGTGAATCAGAAGGTTCTCTTATTTGATTCAACTATTATACGAAAGAGAGGATGATGATGAAGATCAAAGATCCTAGGATGAAAAATAGAGTTATTAATGGTGGAATAGAGTATCGGTCACATGATATCGGGTCTTCACAAGAAGAATTACAAAAAAATGTCTTCATCATCTTCTTCGCTAGTTGCTGCAGCCACATTGGCTGGAATTACTTTCTTCGGATTGATTTTCTTCAAAGAATCTCTTCTTTCCTCTGACAAAGGAAAGGTTTTTGTTGGATTTTTGTGTAGCTTGATTTACATGTTTATTCTCACGGCTTACGGAAATCTCAAATCCAGTATTAAATGGTACGACATGGTTTTATGCTTGATTCCTGCAGAGATTTTTGCATCAACCCTTCATGGAGTTTGTGTTACAACATGCTTTTTGTTCTCTATGGCAATTTCGTATGAAATGTATAAAGTTTCTCAACATATTTATGGTGGCGAGACCGATAGCTCTGTTACAGTATCACCATTCGACAAGAAACGGAAATAATCACGATCCGAGTTTATAATAATATTCATGATGAATACAATTGTGCTTCAAGAAATGAAGTAATCCAAAGAAACTACTATCATAAATTTTCATTCAACAATCAACTATCAAAACGATGATTTCAAGCGTAAAGGATCCAAGTTCATATGTCGTGTGTAAGCCTTAGCTGATGATCGCTTTTATTATCGAATCGTAATTTTGCAGCCTGGCGCGGTTTTAGAAAGCAGGAAAAAATTGCTTGATCTCTCTCTTAATGGTTCTTGGGTGAACATGAGCCATACATATTCCATCATCATTAGGGAAGGGGAGAGCGATCAGATGATGGAAGAGAAAGAATCGGCGGTTGGGCAAATGAGGCCGAAACCAAAGCAAGAACAGCCTCTCCATGTGATCAACAGAATCAATTCATCTCATTTATCAAAGAGTCCGTCTCCATCTGGTATTACCATGCCAATACCCCAACATCACAGATGGATATCCACCAGTAGTTCTAAATCTCCCTCTCCTCTTCCGAGAATTAGTCCTCTTCCTCCAGTTTCAAACTCTTCTCAACTTGGTTTACCTCAACAAAAGTCTATTCAGCGACCATCCTCACCACAAGAAACACTTCGCAATACGATTCATGTCGGAAGAAACACTTTCAATAGCCATTCTTTATCACCAATACCACAAACTAAAGAATCGCCAACTGACATTGGCGTATTTGGATCACATCTGTTAAATCAAGGGGAACGAGGTACTGATAGATCTTTACTACCTCCAAACGAATCAAAAACCAAAATATATTCCCTTAACTCGGTAATCGGGGATCATGAAATGAAAACTCCCTCTCCAACTCATCAGTTATCTAATTATGGTCTTAATGAGAGCATTAATGCATCGTTGGAAATTCAGCGGTCGAAAAAACCCTTAAAATCTCACCAGATCAAGAGTGCAACGTCGAACACGCCACCTCCTCCAGTCCAAAATGAAATCTCTCCTGCAATTCCAAAACCTAAAAAGTCCCTCTCTCCTTCAGTCTTCCAACTTGACGACAAAATTTTTGATCAACCCAAACCTCTTCCAGTTTCTAATCCCTCTACACTCACAAACAAGTTAATAAGGAAGCAACAGGAAAAAGAAAACAGAAAAAAGAAAAAAGTAACAAGTGAAGCCTCTTGTAATGAAAAGAAACAAGAATATTCTCAAATAATTTCAAACGTAATTAGTAGATCGTATTTAACAGACGAAGAATTAGGAACAACGAATATTTTCAAAATTTTAACTCTTTCAGGAAAGGATGAGGAAGACCTATTTCAAAACATTGAAGAAAATAAGTACTTCTCTGGACTGGAACTGCAGGATATTTTGCATACAATTAAATTGGAAGCTCCAAAAGAATTTACACTTTGGGATCTTCAACGAAAGCGAAGGTTAGAAAAACAAAAGGAGGCAAAATTGCTGGAAGAAAAAAAAGAGAAAAGAGGAAGAACTGCAACAAAAACAATTATTGGACGAATATTTAGAGCAGGAGGCCCAAGACAGTGAAGGACCAAAGCTTGACACTGATCTTCACATCAATGTTGTTTCGTTACTCATGTCCAAACCAATTCCACGAAATGCTATCTTGAAGACCTTCGAAGGAGTTGAACGAAAAAAACAATTTGTTCAAAGAATGGAAGAATTCCATTCCTCCAATAGCAAAAATTATGAAAAGACGAAAGGAAGTGATAATGGTGTTTACTTTGATTACGGACATGAGAGACTGCTATTCTCCATGATTGATTCAGAGATGAAGCTTAAACGAAGCAAAAGTGATTCCAATCTGTTGGGCACAAGAAATACAGAACTAACCTTTTACAAGCACAACAAAAGAGAAAATTCAACTCAAGATGATAGTGTTATAATAGAATCAATATCCAAGCTCAAAACTTTAAAGCATAAGGAACTTTTACTCAAAACTTTTCAAAGACTCTTGTCTCTCAAAAAACCTAGACTGAAAAGGAACAAATCCGATTCTGACCTTGTTAATTTATTTTGTGAAGAAATTATTGATGAACCAGATAATGCAATGTTCAATTCTGAACGATCCAAAGATTTGGAAAATTCAGATGCTGAGCTTACCTCATTAGCCAACACCTCTATACTCACCTCCCAAGACCCAATCTATTCTTTCTCATCTCGAATGAATAACTTTTCAAATCACAATCAAACTACCGTAACATCAGTATTATTTCCACAACTTTCCAAAGAAAATCAACACGATGCAATATCAGAGGAAGATGTGAAACAGGCTCTTGAGAAGTTTTATGAAGATATCAAGAAAAAAGCCTCTGAAATGCCAAAACCAACAGAGCTAAAAGATGAGAGAGGTGTGCAGCCAACGCTCCACTCTCAACGTTACTCAAACCATCTCAATATTCAATCACATGGATTTTCAACCTGCTTTGATGATGATCCTCTCAAGAAGCTTATTTTACAACGAAAGAAAGAGAAAGGTGTTAGAATGAAAGTGACAAGATTTTTAGAGAGTGATCATATCGTTGAGCGAGAGGAAATTGATTTTATACAGGAGAACATTAGGCAGTTAAGGCTTAAAGCAGAGAAGGTCAAGCAAAAAAAGAAGTATCTCGATCGAAAACCCATTTTCGAGAATGCAGAAACAGATGACGTACCTCCACATTACCCAAGCTTCACTCAAGTTAAAATCATTGATTTTACCCCGGAACAGCAGCTAACGACTGTCAAGCCATCCCCAAGAACAAATATCCTAACCTCTCACTCAGCAAGAAAGCAACTCTTAGCGCACGCACAGCCTTCTAGTTTAATTGGTCTTCCCTCTCGAAGCTCATTGATTCAGCGTCAAGGATCACACCACTCTTTTTCAATGTCCATAACGTCCATTTCCACACCTCGTGGCCAAAAACCTCTCACTGCACCAAATATTAAACGAAAGACATTTGGGTTTTGAATTTTGTCAAAATTGGAATCTCTTTTTTACACAGATTTACTTCGCAAATATTACATTGACTCAATTAAGTTCAAGAACATTTGGTCAGCACAGTTCATTTCCTCTTGATTATGTTCGTCTTCATGATCCTGTTGGCTCTCCTCAACCTCTAACTCATCATCATCTTCATTATCTTGGTCATAGCCATCCTCTTCATTTAAATTTATGCCATTTGATGTAATGCTGTCAACCTCCAAGTTGAATCTACACAAATGGTGATCTGTTTGTTTGAGAGTGATAGTGATAGAATCACTTCCACTCAAACGGCTGGCAAGAATGGTTGAATCTTCTGAAAGAATCTTTTCTTCTTGTTTTGAGTGTAAGATAATGGTAAAGTTGTCTGAAGGTAAATCAAACAAAAAGCTCTTATAGAATGGTTGATAATCGGAAATTAATTGTCTTACAACCTCTGGCCAAGTTTTGTCATCTTTTACCACGACATCCTTTTCATCGCTAGAATTGCTGTCAATATACAAGCGAACTCTAAAACTAATGTCATGTACCACGTTTGAAGATCCATTCAAAGCTTCATTCGTTGGTGTTAAATTGGCTGTTTCTTGAATTTCCAAATTATCCTTATTGTCATAAAACAGATCATCATAATATCCATTCAGCTCCGTGTTCAAATGTTCTTGCTTTTGTTTCTTATTCTTGTGTGGAACATTGGTTGGCTGGGGATAGAGTATGTTATAAGTTTCAGAATCAAGACCTTGGTCAAAATAAAGCTCAGTGTCACTAAGGCATCTTTTTTGTGAAGTGTTTCCATGATCATCTGAGGATGAATTATAATCAACATTGGAATTGTAGTATTCAATTTCTTCAAGGCTTAAGAATTCATCCGTTTCAAATCCACTCGACTCGACTTGTTGTTGTTGTGTTAATTCTTGAGAGGATGAAGGAACAGATTCTGAATTGAGTACTGCAGTGTTTTCATTGGATGTATTCTTCTTCTTTTTCTTCTTCTTTGTAGTTTGTCCCATTGGTCCATTCACATTATAAAATGCACTAAAGTTCATAAAAGGCATTCCATAAGGATTTTGATAAGGTGAAATTGGTTGCAACGGAGTGTTAAATTTGTAAGCAAGAGGATAGGTTGGTAATTTAGAATTATGAGCTCCATAAAAGAGTGGACTATAAAGAGAAGAAGTGGATGGCAATGCAGAAATATTTGGAGGAGGAGGAAGTTGAACATTACTTGCAGGTGGTAGAGCTGAAGATGTCTTATTCTTACCATTCTGTTGTTGAGAGTGAAGAGCGGAAGGACTACTCGTCGAGCCACTACTACTATTGCTACCATTCACACCACCAACCACACCAGGTGATGTCAAAGAATTACTATTGCCAAGACTATTCGTTGAAAATAAAGATGACCCATTATTGGGTGGTGAAACAATTGCTCCTGTATTTGTTGCTGCAGAAGAATACATGCTAGCATAGAGAGGATGGAAAGGAGGAGATATCAAAGGAGTAGCATGATGATGAGGTGTAAACATACTTGCAGGTGGAGCAGAACTCACTCTCGATGGAGGTGATAACAAGGCATCTCGATTCACTGAAGGTAAAGGTGAAAGTAACATGTTGGTAGAAGCATGCAATGAAGACGATGATGAAGGTGGAGATGTAGTGTGATGGGGAGAGTGATGAGTGGTATTACTACTAGCACTACTATTGCTGCCCATCGTTGTTGTAAGAGAAGAATTACTCGTCGTCGAATGGTTGTTACTCATTTGAGTGGTATTACTACTAGCATGATTCATACTATCCTGAAGAGTATTATTATTCATCATCATGGCTGAAAAAGGTGCAAATGTAACAACAGGTGTATTCGAGGTATTCTTCTTGATGTAGGCTGACTTTCGTTGTTCATTCAAATGAGCAGTATTCGATGAGTCATGATGATCAGTCATTGTCTGGTTCGGGGAAGTATGTGTGGTCTTGGTCGAATAGGACGGTGAAGGTAATGACCCACTGGAAGCACTCTTCGTTAATCCTTCTCCACTCTGAGAAGTGTTGTGAGGAGTAGTAGTGGTGGTAACGGTGGATGATGAAATTGAAGAATTTGGAGATGAGCCTAAAGAAGAACATGTGGAAGATATCGATTCTGGAGAGGTGGTGGTGGTGATGATGGTATTCACGATGGAAGAAGAGGGTGTTGTTGTTGATGAGGAAGAAGAAGAGGCTAGAGCATGCGAGGATGATGGTGTTTGCTCCTCACTCATATACTTTTCATGAAGTCGTTCAACAAGTTCAGCCTTGTTTCCATGCAACGTACATCCCTTCTTTCGAAGCTCTTCTTTCAATTCAGTAAGCTTAAATTTCATGAGAGCTTTCTTACCACAACTCCGCCATAGCTTTTTCATCATTTCACCATTGGTATTGGTAAAGGAAGAGGCTAAATTCGAGGAATGAGAAGGCGAAGGAGTAAAGGTTCTATTCATGGCACTGGGATCGTGTTGCTGCTGTTGCAGCTTTTTGAAAGTCGTATTATGATTATGATTCATTGTAGTGTTGATGATTCAATAGGGGAGAGGTGTTGTTGCTGCTGAGAGTGCGGTGTAGACCAGTCGAGGCTCGCTTCGTCAAGGTCACGACTCAAGAGGACTCAAGAGAAAATTCGAGAAATATTGAGTTGCAAACTACGAACTATGAGAGATGAAAGTAGTTGTTGGGTTGCACGGTTATCGGTCAATAATATTGATGCTTTTTTGTTGAATAGGACCATCAACAACCGTTGCTTCTGTGTGTTTCGGGTTTGTATTGAATATTAAATTCGGAGAAGGAAGGTTTAATAATTTTTTTGAACACAAACTTGGACACCACCATTCGCAATGAATCGTGATGAATTGTTTTGCTTTTGGCCTCCAAATTGAAAGAGATGCTATTAATAAAATGAATGAGCGCCTGACGACGATGCAAGCCGCAGTACCGACGATTTTGGTAGTGGTTGGAAAATTATGGGGTCGTTTGCATATCGTCGAGAGAATGAATGAATTGAATCAAAGCAAAGCCATCATTCTTCTGCTTGAAATGAACCGGATCATGTTGATGTTAAATCAAACATAAATCCGCAAAATGAAAGAGCCCTAATAAGGGAGTTTTCTGGAACTGAAAGAGGTCTTTTTCCAATCAAACACAAAAATATGGAAAGGTTTCGAAAATCAATTCATTTGAAATACAACGTTTAACAAGATGGAACAATTCTTAGTAATCAGCTAGGTAAGGTTTATTCAACAAGTTGAATTCAGTACAGGTCTGTGTGATGCAATATTTGAGTATCATCATGAATGGAGCGAAAGGAGATTTGAGAGAGAAGGTTACTCTCCTTTTGCCATAAAATGGCATCCGCAATATTTTGGTTTTGACAAAATTTCAAATAAATAGAGCAACCAACGGTGCGCACACTAGCTTGGCATCCAGTGAATCAATGAAAACAGACTCACAATGATAGGTGGGACATCTCGAGAACGCATCCAATATGAAAACAAGAGTGATACATGATCAAAGACACGACGAAGTCTCTCACTTCTTCCCGAATGAAAGGCATAAACCAGCAATTGTAATCCCTGAGGCATCTCTTCATGCAAAAAGTTGAAGTTAGAGAATTGAAAAAAATGCCAAAATCCAATCACCACCAACACTCTCATCGCAAGCGAACAGGTCCCTTGTCTGTGGAGGAACGGAAAGCAATTGCAACCTCTGCCAAAAGTATCAATCTGAATACCAATCCATTCGAAAATATTCGACAACAACGTAAAAAACAAATTTTAGGAACAAACACCTCTCAAGTTCGTCATACCAGCAAAGCCCGATCCAATGATATCAACATTAGAAAGGACACCTTGTTGAAGGATTTTTGGAAACAACAAAAACCCTCTCAATTTGTGGATAAGAGACAATTAGCCTTTGAAAAAACTCTTTCCAAAGTGGATAAAAAGAGAAAAAAATTTCAAATCGGAGATGATGAGAATGATTTAGATGAATTGGATCGAGGTAAAAAAACAAAACTCTCTTCCTTTTCAGCATTGGGTGATATCGATGAGGCTATTGATAGAGATTTGTTTCGAGATGATTATCAAGCAGATGATATTGATTCCAAATTTAGTACCAATGATGAAGTTTCTGTATTGAGAAATTTAAAGGGAATTGCAAGAGGTGAAGTCTCTTCAACATTTACTCAGCAAGATCAAATAGAAAGAAAATTATCGAAAAGAGAGAGAATGAATTTGAGAATTAGAGGGTTCAAAGAAAAGAAATTGGAACAAAAGATGGAAAAAGAAGAGAATTTAGAAATGATTCAATTATTAGATAGTGATATGGATGATTTAATGAAACATTTAAATGTTGTTTCAAATCACAAGTCAACAAACAAGGAATCTAGTACCAGTGCCTCTACTACCTCTACTAGTACTAATACTACCAATACTAATACTAGTACTACTACCACTCACACAAAGGAAAGTTTAGATTATGATAATTTTATGGAAATGATTAAGAAGGGAGAGGATATTGATTTGAATGTCTTGTTATCTAAAAAGAACAATGCTACAAACATGTCGAATACTTGCCAAAAAGAGTCCATCACTGAGAGATCTGAAGAATTCACCAAGATTGAGGAATTGACACAGAATGATTCCTCTTCTGAAAATAATGATGACCAAAGTGAAGAAGAGAATGAAATTCATTCCGAACAAGAGTCTTCTGACAAGAGTGATGATTACGAAGAAGAAGAAATTGATTTAGAAAAGACGATGGAAGAGGATGAATCAACAAACAATGATGAAACGTCCTATCTTAAGGATAGTTTTATTAATGATGATGAAGAAGATGTGGAACATGATGAGAACATTGACGTTCGTAACGAAGAGGATCCTCAAGAAGAAGCTGATGATGACAATGAATCAATTCAAAGTACCGAGTCCATGAATGATGACGAATCAGAGGATCCATTTGAGAATCTTCATGGAGAAGACTCTGAAATGCTGCAAGATTCAACAACATTACAAGCATCCGATGAAGATTTACAATCTCTTTATGAATTATTCAAAAAGAGTGATGAAACCAATGATGAGAATGTCTTTTCTTCACTTGTGAAAAATAATTCCAAAGATGAAAATGAGAAACTCTTTTCTACTCTTGTGACCTTGATGGTGAAACAATTTGGATTTTCTGAATGGTTACTAACATCATCTAAGAATTTCAAAACACACCTTCTAGACAAAACTCTCAATGCTCTCTTCTTATTAACAACCAAATTACCAAATGTGGCTCATGATATATTTCATACCTTTTTATTAGAAACATTTAACAAGTATCAAGATCAGACTCTACCTAATTTAGGAGAATTACTTGTATTGAAAATGATCACTCGAGTGTATCCTCTGAAGGAGAGAATGGATAGTCCTCTACTTTCTCTTACTAATTTATTGATTCATCTCTATTTGGAAAAATCATCCAAATTTGTCAATCCATCCATGCCCATTACTATTTGCAAGGTGTTGTTTTTAGTGAGTCTTGCAATCATTATTGATTGTGAATGTACTTTTTATTCTCCAGACGTGGTGAATACTCTTAAATTGGTGTTATCCATGTCAAGAAGAATCAACAACAGCAATACCACCACTTCAAGCAAGAATAAGGTTCTAGACTCTGTGAATAAGAATAAGACTAGTAGTAGCTCTGAGATGCCTTCTCAAAAGATGGATTTATTGAGAGCTCTTTATGAAGAAGATACATGCAAGACGAGTCATGACACCATGTTGTTGTTGTTGTTGTTGAATGAAACATGGGCACATCATTTATTGTCCATCTATAGTCAACACTTGGCCAAAGATTTCTCCAAATCCATCGTTTCCAATGAACACTACAAGACTCTAATCAGCACTAGTTCTGATGATACAATCATCAAAACGATTCACAGACACCATATTGAGAATTATAATATCATCTTTGAGGGATTCTCTTCATTCTCTTCCATGATGACGAATACCATCAATAGTACCACCACTGCTACCACATCTGCTACTGGTACTACTAATAATTCCACTACTACTGCTGGTACTACTAATAATTCCACTAATAGTACTACTAGTACCACTTTTACTCCCTTCATTCAAAATATTAATGAAATCAAAACACCTCTCAATTACAAGACCAAACGTCCAAAACCAATCACTGAATTTGAACCATTCCTTGGACATTCTTCTGAAATTGACTCTGTGAAGAGTAAATACAGTTATTCAAGTTCAGATCCTCAACAAACCAAATTGAAAACACTTCGAAAGAAGATTTCAAGAGAGAAGAGAAAGGCCATGTCTGAATTGAGAAAGGACAATCAATTCCTAAGATCTGCACGTGAACAAATTGCCAGTGAAGAGGCATTTGTGAGAAAAGAAAAGTACAAGGAAGTATTGGATAGTTTGAGACGAGAACGATTGGAACAAAATCAAATCGATCGAAAGAATAAGGAAATTGAAAAGATGAAAAAGGAAATGAGAATTAATAGAAAGAATGTTGGAAGAATGAGTGCTGCAGTGAATGGAAAGAGTGACTCAAAGAAGAAGTAAAAAGATATGGTTCTGTGATATGGTTGTACTATTCAGAATCTATTTGATTTCTATTGAAGTAGTAATAGTCGTAGTCGTAGCAGTGTGGACTGTGTGGACTCCATTATTGATTGGTCGTGAATTGCACGTTTCGATCGATTGGACAACTTGGAATTTTCAGATTTAAAAAAATGCTTAAAACCACCACTCATCATGAACAATCTTCTTCATCGGAAATGACCATGATGAACCATCAACATCATTCACCATCCTCGACATCAACAAGTAAACAATCCATACTCGGAGATCTTCCTGTATTTAATGCAAAGAATTTTTCTAAACCTAATCCAAGATCTCATCTCAATCCTCCGAAATTAATATACACACATTCAAAACCAAAACAAATTGTTACCACAGATAGGACATCTTTATTACAACGACATTTTGAAAAATTACATTTATCAGCAAATAATAATGGTGGTCAATCATCACCTAGTGTTGGCTCGAGTAGCAGTAGTGGACTTTCGAAAAGAAATGCAACCGATTCGAGCATTTCAACAACACCCTATGACAGACCAACGAAGACTCTTAAATACAATTGATGCCTGTCAAGAAGTACATAATAGAGTCGCTGAGATTTTGTAGCATAGGAATCTCATGTGTGCGCAGTTATTGTTTCTCAAAGAGAGTGTATTTGTAGGCCATTCATATGGCTTGTAAATTGCTCTCCAAAATTTATTGTTGATCGATCAATTATTTCATCAACCTGTCAATCATGATGATACATCATCACTATTAAATTACTTCTTTTTCAAAGCTTCAGTCATTTCAGGAACGACTTGGAATAAATCTCCAACCACTCCATAATCAGCCACTTGGAAGATTGGTGCTTCCTTATCCTTATTAATGGCCACAATGACTTTACTATCTTTCATACCAGCCAAGTGTTGAATAGCACCACTCACACCAACAGCAATGTACAACTCTGGTGCAACCACTTTACCAGTCTGACCCACTTGCATATCATTTGGAACATATCCATCATCGACAGCAGCACGTGTCGCACCAACAGCACAATTACCAATAGTATCTGCCAAATCGTAGAGAAGTTTGAAATTGTCACCATTCTTGAGACCACGACCACCAGAAACAATACGTTGGGCCTGTAAGAGATCAGGTCTCTTGGAAGCATCACTTTCACCAGCACCACTTGAACTCAATAATTTTGGAATTTGACGAGTTGAATTGGTGGTACTCGTTGAAGCATCACCATATTCAACCACTTGTGAATCACCACCAACTGTTGAATAATCCTTATCAAATGATGTTGGACGAATGGTCAAGATCAATGATTTAGTTTCTTTTGGTTTGAACTGAATTTGTGCCATCGCATTACCAGCATAGATTGGTTTTATGAATTCATATTCATTCAAAATCTGAACCACATCAACAATGGGTTGTGATTTCAATGTTGCACCCAATTTAGGAAGAATATTCTTACCAAACACTGTGTGCGGAGCAAGAATATGAGAAATTCCATCATTACTCTTATTAATATATCCCAATAGAACTTGTTCATATTCTTCAGCAACATGATACTCTTCATTGACATGGATCACTTTGTTGAAATATTGAGTCAATTCCTTTACAAGTGATGCGTTCTTTGTAACAATAAAACCCAACAATTGGTCAGATTTTAATTGTTTAGCAGCCTTGAGAGCACTGAACACGGAAGGATTAATTTGTTTTTCATTGTGTTCAATAAGGAGAAGAGTACTCTTATCACGGGATTGATTAAATGTAGAAAATAATGAAGTATTTGATGATGAGAATAAATTAAAAGAAGAACAGGTGTTGGTGATGGGACAAGCCTTCTTCTTGAAGAGCAGTTGTTGTCCGAGAGCAGCACGATTTTTGCAAAGGGAAGAAAATCTCGAGGAGGAGAGCATATTTTTTAAAAAGCGAAGGATGAAGAATCCCAGCCAAACGGTTGTACAGAGAGACTCGACGACTCTCTGAACACACGACGACATTGAGCCTTCTCCCTAATAGTGATGTTCGAGAATTGCACTTGTGGGCAAGTGTGTTGAGAGAGAATATCCACCATCAATCAGCGACGATGATGATCATGAATGATCGAGTTCAACAAGGTAGTGCCAAAAACGATTGGATCATTGGGGATCCTTTCTGAAAAGAGAGAGACTCTCTCTCAGGGAGGATGATGAGCCAACTAACCTCAACAACAACAACAACAACACCAATTATTGCTCACAACAACACCAACAACAAAATGAAAAAAATGTCGGCGACGTATACTGGTGGTGTTGCCAGTAGTAGTAGTAGCAGCAGCACAACAACAGGCTCCTCTCATCATCATCACCACCAAAATCAGCAACAACATTTCATCTCCACATACTCGTCGAGTAACGGATTTACCAACTCCATTCCTTCTCATCAAAATAACACGACCATTCCATCTTCCTCATCATCACCATCCCTACAACAACAACACTCTCTTCTTCCTCCATCGACCCCTCCTCATCATCTCCGCAATTTCCTTCTTTGCTATCTGTTATTCAATGTATTTTTAAAATACTATTACATTTATCCTCATCATGAATATAACATGAATATATTAGTACTTCAATGTACTTTTATATTTCAGAAATATTTGAGAAATTATTATCACAATTCAATTGAGGATGTTATACAACAAAACAAACAGAGTACAGTGATATTATCGAATAGTAACCATCCTATGAGTGGAGGAGGAGGATCTGGGACCTCATCGTCGTCTTCGTCGTCATTGAATCATCATGTGAATCTTGCACACAAATCCTCTTCATTGTCCTCAACACAATCATCACAACATCTGCCGCATTCGAATCCTCACTCAACATTCTCAATAGGAAATTCCTCACCAACATTGACTCTTTCTAATCAATCGCTCATTTACAAATGTATTGCTATTTTACATTTTTTAATGACATTGATTAGCATTTACTATTCAATATTCTATATATTGTTTCAATATGGAATATTTCATTTCATACTCTATTTTTTACCGAATATAATATATTATACCATTTATTTGAAAATACATCGGAGTAATTCATCATCAAATGATTTCAAACAAATTAATACAAAGATGAATAGCAAAATGTTTTTATTAATATTTATTAATATGGTTTTACTACCATCTATTGAAACAACTTATTATATTTGGGTTTATCCATTATTATTTTTACCACCAATTTCTGAATATCAAATTACATCCACATTACACATTGGAAATATCATTAACACTCAATATTTATTATTTTTAATATTACATGGTGTGAACATGCTAGTGTTGCATTGTTGGATCTATTTAGATATTCACATTCATTACATTTATTCACACATGAAGTTGATTGGATGTTGGAAGAAGGAACAACAACAACAACGAAAGGATAAATTAATGAGTGGTGGTGGTGGTTTGAATGGCAGTAGTAGTAGTGGTCATAGTGGTGGTGGTGGTGGTTTGAATGGCAGCAGTACCAGTACTACTACATCTGTGAATACTAATCATGCAATGAATGGAAGCAGCCATACGACAAGTTCCAATCATACGAATACTCCTCTGACTATTGAAACATGGCGTAATGAAAAGACCTATTCCTGTAATCAATTGGTTCAATTTAATAATTCAATATTTCGATCTCTTGGAAAGAAATTTAATAGAAATAGACCTGATAATACCTATGATTTGATTTTATATGTGGTCTTTTATCCATTCAAATATCTATTTTTTAATATTAATATTTACAGTTATGTGTTATTGATATTGTTGGGTACTTCCACACTGATTTTGATGACCATCTTTACTTACCACTCTCTCTTCTCCTATTCCAATCAATACTTTATTTACTTTGTGTTGCTCTTATGGAATTATTACTTGCTTTCAAAGAGTATTGACAAGACAGTGCAATGCAATAAACATTTGATCATTAGGAATGATTAAAAAAAGAAGATAACATTTGCCTGTTCGTATTTTTAATGATGTCATGATGATGGTATCAATAATGAAATGTCATTTAGATGACGGTGAGAGGGTGTGCTTCCAAGAACCATATATGGTTCCAAGAACAAGTCTTCGTTTTAAATGATGATGACGATATCAATGAAAATCAGGTCAGGTTTATTAAATCATTCGACTCACTGCCAATAAAATCACACCAATTAAGGCAAATGCCAATGAGCATGAGAGAATGATCAAATTTCTCAAACCTGTAATTTCTCTAAATACACACACATTCCAAAAGGTTGAAACTAAACTTGGTCCAATTGCCACTAATGGATAACCAACAGTAAATCCCAAGAATGAAGAAGCATATAATAAACCAAGTGTAGCAATGCCCCACATGGCACCACAAATCATACTTGGTAAAATCATATTAGGCCATATTTGTGGTGTATTCTTTTTAAAGAGAATATAAATAATAAATACTGCAGAGTTCAATAAATAAATTCCACTCAAGTGAGAGAATGCAAAGTCAATAGGATTGGGTGCCTTATTGTGAATATACATTTCATGTTGAACCCATAATTTGAAAGGAGTCAAGTTCACTGCATACAAACATCCTGAAACAATGGCCAACACAATACCCACAATTCTTAAAAAGATTTTGTTATCTTTAAGGGCCATCAATTTGCAAAGAGTAGGATGATTGGAAAGTTTTGTGAATGTTCGAACATTTCCATTAATGGAGGAATGATCGTTGTTGTAAATCTTTTCATTACTACGAGTATGACCACCACCAACACCACCACCCAACAAGGAAGAATGTTCATTTCCATTTTCCATCGATCCATAGGTGGCAGAGGAGGAATTTTCTTGAGCTGCTCTTGCTCCTATTGTACTACTAGTAGTAGTAGTCTCTTGTTGTTCCTCATCGATGGTCTTTTCACCATCATTTTCATTCACACCACCACCATCATTACTACTCTTTTCATCATTCACACCACCATTCACACCACCATTCACACCACCACTAGTAGTACTTCCACTCTTCTCTGAAGGTGGTTTAATGAAAAAGAATAATAACAAACTCACAATTCCACACACCAATCCAAAGATATTCATCACATTTCCACCCACACTATCAATGACTTCTCTTTCAACACCAAATAAACCAATTTTACCAACCAAATATCCACCAATCAAGTTCGATCCACTCCATAATAAAAATCCTAAACCCAATCCAACAGTTTTAATAATTGGTACGACACATAAATTACCAATACCCCAAATGGTACCACCAATGAGACCACTTGCATCAAAATACAATCGATTCTGAGTGGTGATGGCCAATGAGAGAAAACCAACAAAGAAAATACCATTGGACATGAGCCAACTGAATGCCACACCATCACCTGTTGGATATTTCTTTGTGACTACATAGTTACTACCATAAAAGAGAATGGCAATGATGGCACCAACATATCCTAGAATGGTATTAGTGGTGGTGGTGGAAGAGTCCGAGGAGGAGGAGTCAGTAGCAGCATCAGTAGCAGCAGTATTAGTAATAGTAGTAATAGTTTCAGAAGCAAGTGCAGTAGTAATAGTCTCAGAAAAAGTCAACACTTGGTTGTTGTTGGCAGAAGCAGAGTACTCCTGAGCAGTGGCTGTCAAGGTGCCACCGAGAAAGAGTGCCATGACCGACACCACTGTGGCCATCAATACTATGGACAACCACGCGTGTTTTGTTATTGTTGTTGTGGTACTAAATGTCGTGAATTTCATTGTTGTTGTTGAATAGTGTTCTGATAATGATAATAATAATAATGAGGAGAAGGAAGAGGAGGAAAGGTGTGATGATCAGAGAGACCCTCTCTCCAAAATTACAGAGTGGTGGTAGTGGTATTTGTGGTGGTGATTGAAGTTTGGTTGATTTCAATCGATGTGTATGTATCACAGAGAAGGTGTGATGATCGGGTGGTAGGTTGTTGTTGTTGTTGTGAGAGAGTGATGGTGTCGAGGTATGAATGATTCGTCGTCGGTCGGTCGGGGTAGTTCACAACAACAACTCGAAGACTTGCAAAAAATCAAAACACACAACAAGTCTCTGTTGATATTTTTTCGTTCAAAAAGTTTAAAACTTCTTTTGATGGCTTTGAGTGCGCTCACAGACTCTTATGAAGCTTTGGGAAATATTTCCAAATTGTTGTTGTTCTTGACAGAATCATCAGCCTGATCGCGATCAACCTTACTGCTATTAGAGAGAACATTTCATCACGTAAGTACTAAAGTTAGTAAAACTCGAGGTGAAATGCTCACCACTGAGATGTTTCTCTGAATACATCATTAAGGAAGCTGTTGAGGTTGTTGTTGAAATCATCATCATCATCATCATCATCATCATGAGGGAGTCACACGCGATCACACACCTCTATTCAAAAAAAAAATATATGTTGGTCCAACAACAATCTCCTCCTCTGACAGTCCGATCGGATTCATCCTCACTACCATCCTCACTACCTTCCTCATCACCACCACCCATGAACACTAGCACCACCTCAATGATGACACCACCCACCGTCATACATCATCGATCATCACCGACTCACTCGGAAATGACATTGTCATCATCAACAACAACAGACACCACTACCACTTCGAGTCCAATGATAATGATCACAAAGAATAACATTCCATCGATGAAATCATCATCATCATTCGGATGGAACTCTTCCCGACGAATGATCTTGACTCTTGTCATTCTCTTTGCACTTTTTCTATTTGTATATTTGATGGTTAAATCCACAAATCACAAATTTGATAAGAATGATAGTGGTGGTGATGATGATGATATTTATTACAACACTCCAGTGGCATTGACACCAGAAGAACAAGTTACTTTTTTAGAAAATTATAAAAAAAAACAATTATTGAATTCTGTATGTTCCATTGAAAAGAATGATGGAATGCTCACAAGAGAAATTATTGGACCTCATGTATGGAATGTATTTCATGCATTTATTGAAAATTATTCCAATCATCAAGATGATTCTAAATTATTACAATGGATTCAATTAACAACTGAATTATTTCCATGCCAACAATGTTCGAAAGATTTTAGAGGAATTTTAAAAAAATTTCCATATCGAGGGTTTGAAAGTTACTATAAAAGCAAAAGTAGATGGATGTGTAAATTACATAATTTAGTGAATCAAAAGACAAACAAAGACAAGTTATTTGATTGTGATGATGAAAAGGAATTGAGAATGAGATATAAATTACAAAAATGTTAATCATGTGTGGATGAAGAAGAGGAAAATTTGGAATGATTTTCAAGGAACAACTCTTTTGATTCATCCAGAACATTTTGCTCTGTTCCATCTCGAAGAGAGGTGATTCATGCCTTCCAATAGTAGTAGTAGTAGTAGTAGTATATAGAGGTAATTGATAATTCTATGCCATCCAGTCGCGTCCCATATATATGCATATATACACGAAGAAGAGGAGAGGTCATTCGATGATGCATCGAATTCAGAGTTGGTTGAAAGATTCTAAAGTCGCTCTCACTTGTTCACTTTCTCTCAAGCACACAAGTGTGTTTTGGATTTGAAATAATAATACCATGCGAGAGAGTTCACTCCACTACCACCACACTAATCAACTAGTACTCATCACCCAAATGATGATATCTATTATTAGTATTATTGTAATAGGAGTGATGAATCATCCTTTCCCACCATCATTTATTTGAATTCATTTCATCTTCGAAGACCACCACGCGAAGACCACCACCTGCATCACACTTTGCAGGATTTCAATCAATTCCGTCCTTGGACAAACAATAAAAAAAAATGAATCATTCTCTCATGACGCGATTTTATTCATCCTTTTCCTTCTCGAAGAACTCTTCAAAGAGTATGTTGAAGCAAGCACAAGTCTTTTCGACAACAACAAGAACCTACTACCGTAGCAGACTTGACTGTTCGGACCAGTACCACCACCACCACCACCACTTCTACTACAACTACTCCTCTACTCTCATGCATGTGGATCAACAACAACAACAACTCAGACCTTTCCATACCTCAAGTCAACAACATCTTGGAATGACATCCTCAAAGAAGAAGAAGAGTACTACTACTAAAAAGCCAACAACCACCACCACAGCAACAACAACATCCAAGAAAGTAGTGGCGACTACCAATTCGACTATCAACACGACGACTACTGAGGAGAAGGCCTCTTCAAAAACTTTGGATAACACTCATCCAACCACCAAGAAGACTACTATGATGACCTCTTCATCCTCCTCAAAACCATCCCCAAAACCATCCTCTTCATCCACCACCACCACCACAAAAACTCAAAGACAAATCGAAAAAGAAAACAAGATGATCCAATCCTCACCCTTTCTCAATCTTTCTCAAAAATCTCAATCCTTCAATTTTTCAAAATCACAGTTACAAGAATTTAAATTAGAATCAAAATTAGAATCAAAATTGAATTCAGCCATTGCAGGTAAAAAACAAGGAGTAGGACATCTCTTTGGAAATATCAATGATGGTGCAGGTGGATTATCAAAATTAACTGGTTTTATTCCAAGAGATTCCAATCTATCACCATTTATTAAATCTAGTCATGATCCTATGAGAAGATTGACAGAAAAGGAAATTAATCAAATTACATCAAGAGCAAGTGATGATGAATTTTTAAAAGTCATTGTTTCAAAACATCATCAGAAATTGAATGACAGTTCATTGAAAACAACAACATCCTCTCCATATAGTATTGGAGGTACAGGTGAGATTTTAGAAATGACAAAATTAATTGATCATTCTCATAGTAGTATGGATAGAAATGGTATGGATAGAAATGGTATGGATAGTACTAATGGTATGGATAGTACTAATGGTATGGATGGTACTAATGGTATGGATAGTACTCATCATGACTACTCTCATGAAGAAGAAAAAGAGGACATTTATGATGACTCACATTCGAATCAACAACCATTCCATTCTTCTGTTCATCTCTCATCTCAACAGAATCATGTCTCATCTCATCAACAACCATTCCAACCATTCCATTCTTCTAGAGATCCCAATGTCTATGACAAAATGTTTGATTTACAAGAATCAAAAAAACATTGTGTAAATCTCAACAAATTAGCAGCCATTTCTCTCTCACAAACAACACCCTCTTCTCGACAAGAACATTTACAAAATATTCAAAACTATTTTAATTCCATTCCATTTCCTAATACTTTTCATTATAATATGTTAATGAGTATTTATGCTCGTCATTCACTTTATGATCAAGTAGAAGAAATATTTCTACATTTACCATATAAGAATACATCAAGTTATAATATCATGTTAGATGTTTATTTAAAACAAGAGAGATTTGATGAAATGCAAGATTTATTTAAACAAATTCCAAGACATGATGATGAGAGTTGGAATATATTAATGGAAATGTTTGAAAAAAAGAATGAAATTGAAAAAGTGAAACAAGTATTTAAATTGATTGATGAACCTTCTATTGATAATTACAATACATTGATGGCAATCTTTTATAGAGCGAAAAGATATGATACTGTGAAACAAATTTATCATTCCTTGTTGAACAACAAGATGTGGAATGAGAATTCTCCAAAGAGTATGAGTATGAATACGACTACTACTAATTCTCCAAATAGTACGAATACGACTACTACCCATTCTACTACTATCCATTCTCCACCAAATATTCACAAGGATGAGAATATGAAATTTCTTGATCAATTCTCTCTATCATCTTTATTCTCTCCTAATTTGATGACCTATGAAATTCTCATTAATCTCTCAATCGATACCAAAGATTATGAACAAGTTCATGAACATCTCAGACAAGCCAATCAATGGTTGAAAAAAGATTGTGAACGTTTCTTTTCACCTTCCACACTCTCTAAAATTGAATTACTTCGAAAGAATCATTTCATTCCACCTAAAAGATATTATCTTGAATCCAAACCAAATGATCATTTCTCTTCTGAATATCTCTCAAATCATTCCAAACCAAATGATCATCATGTAGTGAAGAAGAAGGATGATCATTTTGATTCCTTTCGATATATTGCTGAAATGGAAAGACTCATTGAAGAGAATCAATTTGAACAAATGGAACAAGTATTGTATCATCATGTACCACGTGATTTATTGAGTAGTGAACATTTTTCATGTGCATTGAAAGGATATTCTCGAATTGGACATTTAAACAAGACAAAACAAGTATTCAATGATTGGATACAATTTGAAAGAATGAAGAGTAGTAGTAGTACCACCAACACTCTGACCAACACTACCAATACCACCACTACTCATACCACCACTACTCATACCAACACTTTTCAAAAGAATTATTATTATTACTTGTCATGTTTTGTGAGACATGCAGACTTGACCAATACCACACCCAATGTATTGAGAATGCAACAACTATTTAATTCAATACCAAATCCAAATGCATCACTCTATTCTATACTCATGCTTGGATATCTGAAAAAGAAAATGTATGAAAAAGTAGAAGAATTGTATTATGAAGTGATGAACAAGTTGTTAAATGATGATACAACAACATCCAGGACTCTGAGTCACAATGATGATAATCTGAGTGACAACAGTTACACTTCTTCTATGGAGAAGGATCATTTCTCTTCATCTTTCTCTTCACAACCTCAACAACATTTGAATTCTATTCTCATTCAAATCTATTCCATCATGATTCAATGTTATGGACATCAAAACAAATGGGATCAATTATTTCATTTATTTGATCATGTGATTGCGAAACGATTCGAATCTGTTGCTCACAAGACTCTCAGTGGTGTGAATGGTGTGAATGGTGGTGCTATGATTCCAAACATTCCTCTCTATTATTATACTATAATTCATTCATCCTCCTCTCCATTGGCTCCTCTTCAAAGACCTTTTGTATTGAATCACACTAGTGTGAATAGTGATATGGCAAACAACACTACTAGTACTACTTCACATCATCCTTTCTACAATACTCATCGAATTCCAAGAAAACTCTATCGAGTCATGATGTTCACATGTGCATGGAAAGGACTTGTAGAAAAAGTTGAAGAATTATTCAACAAGATACCAAATTATTATAATGTTGTTGTTGTGGATGATGATTGGACATTAAATTCTACTACTATGACTACTACTACTAGTAATAACAAGAATAATTACAAGAATGGTAGTAATACTGGTAATAAGAGTGGACAAAATGAAGACTTGTCATCATCCACTGTGATGATTCACACAACAGAGGAATGGAATGCACTTTTACTCGCTCACTCCATTGCAAGAAATTTTTCAAAAGTTGAAGAAATTTTCAAACAAATTCCACAACCAAATCCATTTTCATATCAAGTACTTGAAATTACAAAGAAGAAGAAGAATGATCAGAATCAACAAATGAATCATGATGGTGATGGAATAGATTATGGAACTCATCATTCTCTTCAACATCACTCAAAGAAATCTTCAGTTAATGCAGTTGAACGTGTTCAATCCCTCATGAAAAAACCACCAACAACAGACAACAAAACTCTAAAGCTTCATGTACCATTGGATGGATAGGTCAGATGTGCATATTTGACACGTGTCGTCGGAGAGAATGAGACATCCCTTAATTCCCGACGAAGATTGTCTCTCCAATCATTATTGGTCTTATTTCCTCCAATTCTCATCAGATCCAAAAATGGAATTATTCAAAGCCTTTTAAAAAAAATACATTGTTTTTCTATTCGTCATCTTTAATCATCTTTAGCCACACACACCCACCACGCTCTTACCACCATGCAAGCCATGCAAACCGATCAAGTGCAACAACAACAACAACCACCCATCACCCCCAAGACACCAAAGTCTGCCAGTCAAATGTTTCCTCCAGTTGCTACTGGTAAGCCTAGCACTGATCAGAATGTACCAGCATTTTGTAAGCAATACAAGATCATTTCAAAGAATCGAATCGGAAAGGTTGTTTTAAGAGAATTTGATTCTATTGAATGTGATGGAACTGTTGTTATTGAAGGTTGGTATTATAATATGATGATGAATGTTATAATGTCATAATCATCATCCTATACATTCATTGATAATAATCATTCGAATATATTGTGCATCATCAAAATCCTACCCATATCATTCATTAATGATCATCAAATTGTTTAATAATAACATTGAATTCATATGAACACTTTGAAAAGGCTTTCCTTCTGAGGAGGGTATGACTGCCATCATGACTGCAAATTATATCATCAAACAACTTCAACTTCCATTGGTTGGTGATATTGTATCTCCTTATTTCACTCCTCTTGGTGTTGTAAGAGATGGATTGGTAAGTGTTTGTGAATCTATTCATCAACACCCTTTTAAAACTATGAAATCAACTCATGCAACTCTTTTAAAACTCTTTTTTGGAAATAGCCTTCTCATGGTATCAGAATTTATGGAAATAAGAAAATTGTTGTCTTTGTTTCTGAATATGAAATTAAGGATCCAGAAATTCAAAATGACATCATTGATGCTGTTTATGATTTTTGTCAAAGACATCGATCAAAATGTCTCATCTCTGTGGATGGATTAGATGTTGATCCAACTGTTAAAAAACAACCAACTGATGACATTAAAATTGGAATTCAATCTTCTGCTGCTGAAGATGAGGATGAAGATGAAGAAGGAGATGAAGGAGAAGAAATGATGAGTTTTGAAGATGAAGATGCTCCAAAAACAACTGAAGAGCTTTTGAAACTTTTAGAACAAGAAGATTACAAGGAAAAAGTATGGTATGTCACAAATAGTGAACACTATGCAAAGAAATTGCAAGAAATGAATGCAACAGTTGCTATTGAGGTTGCATGCACTGGAATTAGTGGTGGAATCTTAGCTGAGGCTCCATTCAGAGGAGTTCCAGTGTTGAGTTTGTTTGCTCCTCTTAACAAATTCCTTAAAATTGGTACTCGTGCCAGTATTACACTCATTCATGCTCTCAACAAACTCATGAGTGAGGATCAAACCAGTATTTTAATTGATACTTCTGAATTGGACAAGACTGCCAAAGAATTGGAATCCAAGTTGAAGGATGTTTTAGGCAAGTTGGCTCCAGGAGCATTGGGAGATGAAAAGACTCCAACAGGAGCATTCCATTCCATGTACATGTAATTATTTCTTTGGTTACCAATCATACTTTGCAACTAAAATATCACCTTTTGACTTCCTTTTGAAGTCAAAAAAGATTCATGCACGTTCATTCTAATTATTAATTATTCGAAGGTTCTGTAATCAAAATTGTGACTGTGGTGCAACTTCACAGCAATCTGCTTTGACACCTACCACTCCCTCCCATTATTACTAGAGAATTTTTTTTCAAACACTTGTTGGTATTTCTTTTGACTTTGGTTGGTTGATGAGTCAAACAAATAAACAAGCTTTATTTGTTGTACAGTTGTCCCGAGAATTGATGTACAGTAGCATGTGATGAAAAAACTCAATGAGTTCATTGAGAAAAACCACATTCAGGAATGGATGAATTAATTCTGGAATAATAAAAATTAATCAAATAAAAAACTATGTCTACTTTTGCAATGAAATAATTCAATAAGGTTAGTTCAGTAAAAATAAAAAAAGAAAAATACAAATGACCAAGTGACCAATAAACATCGCAGCGACGAAAACATCATTGAACAAATTAATGACGAGTAAAGAAATAAAATTAAAAGGCCAATGATAAAAATCGAGTTATCCAAATTATGAATTGTCAGAGGCAACAAAACCTAATTGTTGTTGGGTTACATTACACAAGCGTTAGAATAAAATTCAAATTCAATGTGAGGGAGTGTCAATGCAGACTAAGATTGATAGTAAATAGAGTCACATAACATCTTAGAAAACATTTAAAAATCGGATTATCCACAATTAAAATGCTCTCATGAAAGATATAATTTGATATGTAAGGAGGAGCGGTAAATATAAGAAATTATATATGATTATAAATCCAGCAGTTACTATATCAACTATTATAATTATTGTCACATATTCATATTCTTTACTTTATTAGTTAATATGTGGATTATCTTATAAAGAATATATTAATAAAGTAAGAAGTTATCATATTAGTAATTACAATTTCTTCATTTAATTCTAAATACTGGATCATCATTCATATCGTTGTTATTGAAGTATAAATCAGATATTTGTTTGTATTCGGTAAATGTTATAACGTTGAGACTGTTCAAAATGTTTTCTCATTTACAACAATGTTTTGTTTCAATAGTGTTTGTTCGATGAATATTGGTTTTCATTGAGTAGTTATCATATTTTTCTATTATTAAAGAAATGATCTTAGTATCTGTTCGTCGTTGGAATATGATATCTTCTCCCTTGTTTTTGTGTTTTGCAAGACAAATAACTATTTTGAACTAATCATATTGAATATTAACAAAGAATTATCATCATGATGACGTGATAGGGTTAACTTTTAATGATCCAACAAAGAGAAATATTTTTATTCTAATACACATTTCAAGTTCTTTGTTCATTAAGGATGTAAGTTGTAATAATTCTTGAAATACATTCTCTTGTAGAATCAACCAAGGAAGCGAGTGAAAAACGAATATTCAAAAAACTCGCTTGGTGGCAAGTCAAAAAGCAAAACAAGAAATGCAAAGTCCGTGCTGTGTTACAGTTTTAGATCCCAGTCGATCATCTTCAAGTTTAACCACAAATCGGTGTGTAGTTATTGATGGTGGTTGTTTGGAAAGCATTTCATCTTTGTGGCCAATTTGTTGAATATTTGTATTCAATTTCAAAATATTGAGTGTCATCTCAAACGGAAAATAAATCTTTCTGTTTCGAAGAGAAATATATTTCCGAACTGTCAGAATGCACTACCCAATATCCGCCTATCAAAAAATTATCATCATCAACACCCCATCCTCGAGAATATTCACAACATGTTCACCATTTCCATCATTCTCTTTTTCACCATTCTCTACAATATTTATTGGTACTATTTGAGAGGAGAGAAATCCCTCAAAGGTAAAAATGTTCTCATCACTGGTAGGTTCAATTCATCATCATCATTATTATTGGTGTTCTGATCATCCTCATCGGAATCATCCTCATGCCCATCCTCATGTCCATTCACACTACCACTCGTACCACCACTCGTACCACCACTACTACTCCACATTGATGAATTCATCATCATCTCCTTTTTTAAAAGGTGGTTCTAGAGGCATTGGTCGTCTCGTGGCTGAACTTCTTCTCTCCAAAGAACAAGTGAATTGTGTGGTCATTTGGGATGTAGATCAAACTTCACTTTCAGAATGTCAATCTGTCTTGTCCAAACAATATGGTCAAGATCGTATCATTACCTCTCAAGTAGATATTTCAGATCATGAAAAAGTCTATCGAGAACGTGATGCACTCTATGAATTATTTAAAAATAAGAATTCTTCAGAATCATCATTCTCTTCAAGTATTGATATTCTTATTAACAATGCTGGTATTGTGAACGGTAAACCATTATTACAGACTTCTGATGATCGTATTAATATGGTATTGAATGTGAATACTATTTCACATTGTTATACAGTGAAAGCATTCCTTCCAGAAATGATTAAAAATCAACAACACTCTTCTCCTCATATTGTGACCATTGCGAGTGCTGCTGCATTGTGTGGAACTTCATCATTGGTAAGTGTTGAAGAAGTGATCTCTCATCACATTAATAATTGTATAACTGATCTCATCTGAAATTTGAACCAATCACTCCTATTCAATCATATTCACTACTCATTTACTCATTCACTCACTCACTCCTATTCAATCACCCATTCACTCACTCCTATTCAATCACCCATTCACTCACTCCTATTCAATCACCCATTCACTCACTCCTATTCAATCACCCATTCACTCACTCCTATTCAATCACCCATTCACTCACTCCTATTCAATCACCCATTCACTCACAACGACCACCACAGTGTGATTACAGTGCAAGTAAATTTGGTGCATTTGGATTCAATGAAGCATTGAGATTGGAAATGAAACATTTGAATTATAACATTGATACCACTTGTGTTTGTCCATTCTATATTAAGACTGATTTATTTGCTGGAATCAAAGATGTCATTCCATATCTATTCCCTGTATTGGATCCAATGTATGTAGCAAAGAGAATTGTTCAAGGTATTAAAAAGAGAGAAGAAGTAGTCATTATTCCAGAAATGTTAAGAATTACTTACTTGTTGAGATTTTTATTACCAGTTTCAGTATTTGATCGATTGGTGGCACTTTTAGGAATTAGTAGTAGTATGGATCATTTCATTGGAAGAAAGACAGAGAGTAGTAGTAGTGCCAGTGGTAATAGTGGTGGTAATAGTGGTGGTAATAGTGGTGGTAATAGTGGTGGTAATAGTGGTGGTAATAGTGGTGGTGGGAATATTGCTGTTGAAATTGGAAAGAAGAAGGAAGAAACCAAAAAGAATTTGTGAGTCGTCATGGGCACATCACTCTCCTCATCCCGCCTTCTTCAAATTTCGATGCAATGTTGAATTAAAAAAAATAATAATAAACAGTGTTCAGCCTAGTGGCACTCTACTCATGTCCTCACTCAAAGAAAGGCTTCGTGCCAAAGAACAACAACAACTGGCTGCTGCTAGTTCGACTAGTACTCCTCTTCCGACTAATAACACGATTGAAAGTTGTACTCAACCTCACAATTACACTCTCTATTTATATAAACAAAACCTTCAATTACCTACTATGGATATTCATTGCATGATGATTCTATCGTATATTCAATTATTACCTAATCAATATCAACAATATATTAATATTAAATTTGAAAACAAATATATGAATATCATATTACATGATCAAAATATGAACAAGTATTATTATGGAATTGATGACATTATGAAAGTCATTCAGAATGAATTTCAAAATTTTGATCAAGATCACCAACACTCCACTCGAATTCAATTTCTCAATACTCTTATCAATGAACAATTATTACCAATTCTTATTCATTATTGGTATGGACATGAAGATAACTATACAATCATTTATGATAGTTATGTTGGGAAATTATCACTCATTGATGGAATTCGATTACATTTTATTAAGAGAAAATATTTAAAGAATGAATATTATCGAAAATTGACAAGTCAAAAAACTGAAGAAGAAATTTATGAATTATTACAATATTCATTACAATTAGTTTCTAATTTATTAGTCAATCATACGAATGGATTTATATTGGATGAAAATGAGACACAACCAAGTGAATTCGATGCTAAATTATTTGCCATTCTCTCATGTTTGTATTATCCTGAATTTGTATCCAAACATTATAGAGATTTATTTAGACATTATCCTCCATTGATTTCATATCTACATCGAATGAGTAACAAGTACTTTAATTTGTATATGAATGAAGAGATTTTGAAAGAACCTTCTCTATTGGGTACACAATCTCCACAAGTGATTTGTGAGTTATTGAGAAGATTGAGAGTGAAGAAGGAACATCAATATTATCATACCTTGTATTTCCTTGGTGGATGTATTGCATTCATGTCATCCTATTATTATCTAATGAAAAGAATTGCTGTAGTGAATCATAAACCATAATAAGAGATTACATTGGTGTCAATAACTAATATGAATAATAATAATAATTATTATTAATTATTTAAAAACTTCTTGTCTGCGTGTGCGTTTCGCTTGCTTAATTACTTCTTCTTGAAGGTGGTGGTGGTGGTCTCATCACTACTACTACTCTTATCATCATCACCGTCGTCGTCGTCTTGTCTGTACTCAAATTGTGTGCTATTACCATTGTCTCTAAGAGATTTGTTTCTCTTTGAATCGGTTGTGTTGCTATTGTTTGAATTTGAAGGAGGAGGTGTGTTTCTGGTTGGTGTTGGAAAGAGTAATCCATTCACCCATTGAATTGCAGAAATTACAAAAATAAATAATTTTGTGAATAAACCTGAAATCATATCAATAGGTCCACCACCACCACCACCACTCATACTCGCTGAATGATGATCATATTCACATCCATTTTGAGTGTTTGAGTCAGACAGTGAAAGGTCATTCGACAACAAAATAACACCATTGGGACATAAATTCATCGATTCCAATGTCCTTGAATGATCTCGATCTGATAATACAATTCTTGGATACATGATACTCATGATCATTCTTGTTCCACCCTCAATGTTAGTATTCTTAAATTCATGTAAATCCTTAATCGTTTGAGTGGATTGAAAAACTTGTTTTTTAACTTGTCCATTTGGTAATTTGAATGCAATGGTTGTAGGTCGATTCGATGCATGAGTTTCATTGATGGATGGATCATTCTTTTGGAGATTCATTGAATCAGTAGGTGAAACTGATTCAATAGTGGATGATGGACAAGACGTTGTGGTAGAACGAGTAGTAGTAGTAGACTCTACTCGATCTCTCTTAATTTGTTCTTTCAATTTTTTCTTATATTCTAATTGTTCTTTCTTTTGTTGTGATAATTCAGTTTTCACACGTTGATAGGTATTTGAAGTTGTTGTTGTTGTTGTTGTTAGATTACTACTGTTATTGTTGTTGTTATTGGTAGAAATGTTCTGATTGGATCTCCTTTCCATCTCATGAGGAGAAGAATCAAAATTCTGGTTCACAAAAGGTGGTGATTGTGAAGGTGTGGATAAGGGAGTGGATGATTCTCCGCTACTAATACTACTATTGTTATTATTAGAACTACTTTCCAAATTTAATCTTTTTCTTGCCTTTTCCATCGCTTGTTGAATTTTCTTCTTTCTCTCTTCAGGAGTTTCTTGAATAAGATCATATTGATATTGAGGTAATTGAATTGAAGAGGAGGAGGAGGAGGATGGTTGTAATGTTGTTGTTGTACTAGTGGTAGAAATATTCGTAGTGAGAGTAACAGAAGGAGGATTGAACGAATTGGTTGTCATTGTTGAGGTGGTGGTAGTATTGCCATAATTACTATTATTACCACCACCACTATTACTAGTACTATTATTATTACTAGTACTATTATTACCACTCTCGGATCTCTCTAATCTTTCATTCAATTTTTGAATAAAATCATTCACATTGGGATTTAAATCTTTGTGAATATTCACTCCATTCCGATTCAAGACATAGATGGAACAATTGGATTCTTCTTCCTCTCGAATATAAATGGATGCAAAATTAGTATAATCCATACTTGGTTTTGTAATATGAATACAAATATGTTGAGGTTGTTTTAGAAAATGAACAATCTCTGAATTGGAATTGAATTGATCTAAAATATTCACAGAATGGTCGTGATGATGATCATGGTCATCATTGGTATTTGTTGTTGTTGATGATGATGTGGTGATAAAGATGAACAAATATCGGAGTGGTGAGAGTGGTTGTGTTAAGAGTTGAATGGCTTGAATGACAGGACCATTGAAGAGAAAGGAATATGATGATGGTTCTGAGGATGTTGAGAAGGAAGTGGTGGTAGTAGTCGTATTGGTGTTGTTGTTGGAAGACATGTTTAATTTTTTTAATATTATTATAATGTGGAGAATTTATAATTTGTCAGGGTCATCCATTCATCATCATCATCTGAAAAGTATATTACAACAAGAATTCAAGCTGAGACCTGAGTGAATGCTGCATTTTCAATTTGAACCCCAACACTTGTTTACAATAGGAGTCTTTTTCGAAAAAAATAGCCTTCTCTGTTCGGTATTGACTCTCCATTCGGAAAGATAAATCACTTGGTGAGGTTGTTGCATCGTTGTCTTATCATCATCAACACGACCATCAAGAATGAACACTCAAAGTACTACCATCCCATCATCATCATCAGATGATACTACGACTAGTGGTAGTAGTAGTAATACCAACACTCCACCATCCACTCCATCTACTCCAACCTCTTCGTCCTTCGCTTCTCTCTCGGACACTTTCAAAAGGCTTATCAAGTCCAAAGAAACAACAACCTTGCTTGATCTCATTCATTTTATTGAACACAATCATCAATTGAATACTCTCTTGGAAACCAATTCTATTCATATGAATGAACAACAAATTGATACCATCAAATTAAATGTTTTGAAAAGAATGATTCATCTATTGAACGTTCATTACGTGAATTATTATTATAAGAATTATAATATCAGTGGAGTGAATACTAACAACACGACTATTAGCAGTGGTCATCTTCATGCTCATGTCAACAGAGAGTTTGTGTATTTATTCAAATCGACGATGAGAGTCTTGAATAGACATTTCCTTCCTTTGACTCGAGAAGCAGCAACAATCAATGCCACTGAGACCTCTGCTACCAACACCACTACTACTACTACTACTACTACGGAGGCTACTATGAGTGATGATAGTCATCATCAGAAGAGAACACACTCCATGACTCTCATTCCTTCTCAAAAATTTACTCAACTCATTGTTCATGACCTTCTCAAATACTATGAACAACATGACTTGTTGAACGAATATGTATTGACACTTCTCTTGTTGAGGTCCTATACTCCATTATGGTCAACCGATAGTTCACAAGATGCTTCCTCAATTTTTTACTCATCATTCACTCAAGTCTTGATGAATACTACCAAAGCCAATGTTAAAATTCAAATCACTAATGATGCTTGGTATGCCATTTTCAAACAAATTCACACACACAATAAGCAATATTTATTTGGTCTTGTAGATACTTTGGAGAGAGCATTCAAGAGAAGTAAACAAACCATGGGACCAATCATTGCTCAAATCTACAATGTGTGTTGTAATGATCCTGAAATGGTAAAGAGTCAAGTATTGAATAACATTTTGTTAGAAATGTTAAAATTGAAGAATGAAGTTGTGCTCGTTGAGAGTGGTATTTCTATGGTCATTTCACAAACATTGAAATCTACATGTGACAATAACGATCAATTAGTAATTAAGAGAAGTGAAGTTCAATTGTTGGATACAAAGATCAAACAAGCAATGTTTGAAAGAATTTATTTTCAATTAATGCTATTGAATAAGAACATTGATCAAAAACATTCAATGATCAATTTGAAGACATCTATTTCCATATTTGATAAAACCTTCAACCAAATTGGTACAGGGTTAAAATCTGAAAAGAATATTCAAGAATTGGTATCCTTTTTATTTGACTATTTGAATACCACACCTGCAATGACTGAAAATTGTCAATCTCTCATTCATGTCACTAACATTTTGAGTGAACTATTTACAGACTTTAATATCAAACAAATTGGAGATGTTACCTATTTGAATTCGAATCAACACATTTTGACAACATTCCAAAAGATATTCAAATTAGAAGGAGATGAAATTGTTGAAGTGAAGAAGACTCTCCTTTCATTCATTTCCACTGTTTGTGTGGAATTGTTGAATTCAGACATGCCATCACCAAACATTGAAACTTTTTGTTTGGATGTCATTACACTCTCTGAAAAGAAGAAATCACTTCGATCTCTTGCTCTCTATTGCTTTGCTTTACTTACAGATGGTGTTTTGATTTTGAATAAGGAAAGTATTGTCAAATCATTGCAACAAAATTTAAAGAAGATTCTTTCGTTCCTCTTTACAAAGGAAACACTCGAATATTTAACACAACCTAAAGACTATCATGCACTTGCACATGTTGTCAAGAATGTATTGTTTGCAACTCAACATGGAGATTACTTTGTTAGACTTTCCAAAATGATTTCATCATCACTCTCGAATGCAATCAAAAGTGATTTGTATTACATGTGTTGTGTTGCATTGAGTAATGCTATGGATCATCATCATCCTCAACGAATGTTAGCTGAACATATTCTCAATCAATATTCTCCATTGGATTCGAATCACAATTTAATGGAACAAATTTTGATGGAAGGATTCTATGGAAGGTTATTGATTGAGTTAGAAGATCAAATGACCATTCAACAACAACAACGACTACGACACGAATTAGAAGATCAAGATACTCATCATCGACCATCTTCCATCTATACTCATAGCTCTTTGAAATTTGCCATTGATACATTGAGAGATTGCTTTATTAAGAAACATTTCAAAATTGAAAAGGAGAATCTCTACAAGTTATTTATCATGATGAATCATCCAGCCATTGTTGAAAATCCTCATGCGATGGTTCACAATGAGCGATACAAGACGTTATTGTTGAGTCCATTGACACGAGTCATGGTGGTGAGTGGATCAATGAGTAGCAACAATGACATTCAACATGAACATCACATTGACAATCTTGCAGAATATTTAATCAATGAAATTGATGGTGAGAACAGTAACACTAGATCTCATATGCGAACAGCCATTGCATATTCATTGATTTCATTGTTGCTATGGAAGCATGCTAAATTTAGTCACAAGATTTTTGAAATTATTGCAAAACGATTAACACCACATGTTCACTATTTGTTTGAAAGTAATGAATTTGATAGCACAGATTTTATTATTTTCAATAGAAAATCAGAAGAACCTTATCATGACTTGGATAGTGAAGTGAACAAACATCCAATTTATAGACAAGGATCATCAAGTACTGAACTTTTAACTGAAAAACAACTTGTGAAATACTATCGATATCATTTGACTGATAAGGAATGGGAAGTTATTCAAAATAAGGAAAAGACAATCAAGAAGAATCTCCAAGAAAGTAGAAAACAATTTGTTAAAGAAACAATGATCAAGAAGGAAAATGCATTGAGACAAATCATTGAGAAACAAGTTCAAAAAATTGAATATTTACTTGACATTCTCTATCAAATGACTCAATTAACAGTTGGTGATAAGATGAGTGTGGATATTGTGACAAAAGGAGGAGCAAGTGATGATCAACAAGTAGAACAAATTGAAACTCATCATCAAACTCATTTCTTGAAATTCCCATGGTCTCTTGTTCTTTTCAAAGTGACTGATTTGATTGACAAGTATCAATACTTTGAAAAGTTATCTTGTCAAGCATTTACCATTTTGAAATGTGTGAATAGAAATACTTTAACTCATTTGGACTTTGCTTCTCAAAATATCAAAACTAGTACACAAAGAAAGAATACAATTTCGAATGAAGCACTTGCAGACATGTTGGCTGTGGCTACTTTCCGAATTAGGAATCGATTGCATGAGGTGATGTCCATTCCATTATTGAATCACGGTACAAGTAGTGGTGATGATGAGAATCATGATTCAGAGTCTGGCACAACTAGCAATACCACCACCACCACCAGCAGTAGTAGTAGTACTAGCAATACCACCAGCAGCAGTAGTAGTACTCTCAATCACCATTACGAACCAATCACTCGTTTCATTCCTGGTTTTGATAACAATTTACTCTTTGGAGATTATATCATTCACAAGATTCGTCTCCAATTTCCAAACATGTTAGAGGCTGAAGAATTTACAAGTGTTTTACCATTCCTTGAAGCCATGTTGAATCGACAATCAGTCATTTCCAAACCTGAGCATCGATTCGATACAAGTACACTCACCACATGTATGTCTATTTTGAGTGCACATGCTGGTAAAACTGATTTATCAAATATTACAAGAAATAAGGTTATGCAAATTTGTGTGAATGAAGTTTTACCTTTCATTCCACATTTGAACAAACAAGCATTCAATTCTATTATGGCCATGGCACCATATCTTGTTGATGAATTTTCACCTCTCATGACATCGATTATTTATTCAGAAATGGAGAATGTGAGATTGTGTTGTTTAAAGACATTGATTCAATATTTAACAAGAGGAGATTTGAAGAAATTAAGTCCTTCTCAATCACAAGATATCAAATTTACTTTATTCTATGCTCAATATGATACTTGTGAAGAAGCTAGTAAGATTGCAAAGAATGCCATTCATGAACGTAAATTATATTCCTATCACTCGAGTAGTGATGTGGATGATCTTGTTGAGAGATGTTTACCATTGATTTGTTGTGAAGAGGATGTTCCAAGTTCAACAGCATCGCTATCACTCACAACATCACTCACAACAGCATCGCCATCACTCACAAGTCACTCCATTCATCATCCTCCAACCTATTACAGTAGAAATAATTCATGTTTGGCTTTGACTGGTGCTCTCAAAGAATTAACTCAAAATGACAAGAATAAGAGAAATAATATCATTCATCACATTCTCATGAAATTAACAAAAGTATTTGAAGAGAAACAACAAAAGATTCAAAAAGAATCTGATTTTGATCCTCTCATTACCATTGCATGGCTCTTCCAAGAAATTTCACCATTCACCTATACCAAGAATGATCTCACCACACTCTTTGACTTTGTTGTACAAGTTGGTTTTAAACAATTAGAAACACGATTCGAAGAACAATATCAAACTCTATTAGATGAAATGGTCAATGTAGGATTAGCACTTGTCTATAATCATGGAAAGGAAAGCACGAGCGTCTTGATTGATTTATTTGAAAAGTATTTGAGTCAATTGCAAAAGACTTCCAATGACTTTGCTACAGCTACTGTTGTGGTATGGTATGGAAGTGTTGCCAAACATTTTGATACCTCCGCATCTTCAGTACCTAAAATTAAGAAGGCCATTGATCAATTGATTGATGCATTGAGTATTCCATCCAACTCGGTTCAAAAATCCATCAGTGAAGCACTCTCTCCTCTCATCGCCAGTATTTATCAAAAAGAGAAGGATTATATTTTCAACGAGTTGGTGAATAAGCGATTATTGTCATTTTTATTGTATGGCATCAAAGATGAGAAGAAGCCTCTTCAGAAGGGTCTTTCAAGTAACACCGCCCCCACTACCACCACCACCACTTATGGTATGAAACGAGGCTTTGCATGGGGTTTGGCGGGAGTCATGTACGGTTGCGGACTTCATGACACGTATCAATATGTCATCTCTCCTTTGAATCAATTCTTGTCGAGTAGTAAGGCTGATAAGAAGGGTAAAGAGGGATGTATGCTTGCCTTTGAATGTCTCTCTCATCGATTCTTGAATCTCTTTGAACCTTATATTGTTGAAGTCATGCCAAGTATTCTCAATCATGCATTGAGTGATCCATCGAAGGAAGTGAGAATGGCAGGTGAACAAGCAGTGAGTGTTATTCTTTCTCAATTAACACCCTATGGAGTGATTCAATTATTACCAACAGTCATACAACCAACATCTAATGACAATTGGAGACAAAAAGCAGCCAATATTCGATTATTGGGACATATGGCCTATTGTGCACCAAGACAACTCTCTGCCTATCTTCCAACAATTATCGGAATTTTGAAAGAAGCAGTCAATGAAACACATCCTGATATCATTGAAGCATCAAAGAGAAGTTTAGAAAGAGTTGGTGGAGCCAGTCGATCACCAGAGATTTCAAAACAAGTTCCACTCTTATTAGAAGCATTGACAAATCCAGAACAAAAGACCATTGATAAGGTTTTAGAATCACTTTTATTCACACGTTTCACACACTCGATTGATAGTGCTTCATTGGCACTCTTAATGCCAGTCTTGACTCGAGCACTCAATGAACGATACACGGATATCAAAAAGAAGGCCTGTCAAATCATTGGTTCCATCAGTGCGCTCATCATTGATCCTAAACGAGACTTATTCCCATATATGGAATCTTTGATTCCCATCCTTAAAAATATTTTAATGGATCCAAGTCCTCAAGTACGTGCCTCTTCAGCCAAAGCCATTGGTCAATTATGTAAATCTGTTGGTGAAGACAATGTATCGGGTGTCATGTCATGGCTTCATGAAAAGTTGAAACAACAAGGTTCAGAATATATTACAGAACGTTCAGGTGCAGCACAAGCTTTGTGTGAAATTATTGCAGCACAAGGTGTTTCTAGACTTCAAAAATCACTTCCATTCCTTCTTTCTCAAATTGAAGGAGATCAAGTGGAAGAAGGTTACATGCAAGTCTTTGTTTATTTGCCTGCATTGATGAAAGCACAATTTGAACCATTTTTAGAATTGTGTTTACCAAAAATTTTGAATGCACTTTCACATCCTAAAGAAAATATTCGAGAAACAGCATTACAAAGCTCACGTGTGATTGTTGAATTATTCACGGATAGTGCAATGAATATTCTTGTTCCTGCTCTACGTGAAGGATTAGAATCTGAAGAATGGAGAACTCGATACAATTGTTTGGTTTTATTAACTGATTTGTTAACTCGAATGACTGTTTTATATGGTAATAGTGAAGAAATGCAAAAAGTTGAAGAAAATCCAATTCAACTCAGTGTGGTTGAAAGAGTACTCTCCAGTGATATGGTTGCTCATGTCATTTCATTAACATTTATTGCATTGAGTGATATCAATTTGAAGAGTGTTGCTAACAAGTTATGGAAAGACATGGTTCCTAACACTCCAAGTACTCTAAAGAATTATTTACCACAAATTATTGAAAGTATGATCAAACATTTGAATATGAGTGAAGATCAAAGATTTATTGCTGGTAAAGCATTGGGTGAATTGGTATTGAAATTAGGTGAACGTGTGTTGAGTGAATTAATTCCCATGTTACAATCTCAATTATTAGATCCAGATTCAAATCCTGAAAAGAGACAAGGTGTTATTTTGGGTGTTACAGAATTGATGAGTGCTGCATCTGATAAACACTTGCAAGCCTATTCTTCTAAATTGATTGCCATTGTGAAGAGAGGTATTTGTGATCCAGATTCAAGTGTAAGAGATTCATCTTCAAATGCCTTTGATGTTTTGTGTAGTATTATGGGTGAACGATGTGTCAAGGACATTCTCTCTCAATTATTGAATGATTTAGAGAAGGCTGACAAACCACAAATTGTTGAAATTGCTTCTAATGGAATGCAACAATTGGTTCGAGTGAGACCACAACATGTATTACCAAAATTAATACCAGCCTTGTTACATACGGGTAGTTCTGCTGGTGCTACGAGTGGTGGTAGTTCTGGTAGTTCTGGTGCTAGTTCATCATTCTTACTCACAGATACTCAACTCTCCACATTGGGCAATGTTTGTGATAGTGTCTATGAATATGATCATATTGAAGAAATGAGTGAATTTATTTTACCAATGGTTGAAAAATTAATGAATCAATTAGCACAAAGTCCATACATTGAAAGTGTGACCAATGTGGATGAAGAATCTATTCTCATATTAAGAACCATTTCAAAAGTATTACAATGTTTAGATGTTATTGAAGGATATACCATCTTTGAATTGATTGGTAATCAATTTGCATCCAATGATGCCAAAATAAGAAGATCTGCATGTCTATTCATGCAAATGATCTTTAACAAGTTGTTGAATGAAGAGACCATTACAGAAGACTTCATTACTTATGGTCTATTACCAATCTATGAACATTTAATTACAGCATTTAATGATCCTGATGATGGAGTAGTTCAATGTGCATGGCATGCTGTTGAAAAGTTAATCAACAAGTGTCTCTCTAAAGAAGTTCATTACAATGATTTCATTCAACCTACAAGAGAATATATTCGTAAATTAACACAAGTCTCTAATATCACTGGTGAAATTATTCCAATTGATTTGCCTGCATTTAACAAGTTGACACGTGGAGTTGAACCAATTTTGAATTTATACATTCATGGTCTATTATTTGGAAAGACACCAGAAGCACGTGAAAACTCTGCATTGGGTATTGGAGATGTGATTCAAATGACTCAAGCCAAACAACTCTCACCCTATGTCATTAAAATTACAGGACCATTGATTCGTGTGGCTGGTGATCGATTCCCATGGCAAGTGAAAGCAGCCATTCTTCAAACTTGTTCTTCATTGATGGATAAGGGAAGTTTAATGTTGAAACCATTCCTTCCTCAATTACAAGCAACATTTATTAAGGGATTACAAGATTCTTCTGCATCTATTTTAAGAAAATATTCCGAACAGAGTATTCCAAAATTGATTGATTTGGGATGTCGTGTCGATGCATTGGTGAGTGCATTGAATGTTGCTTTGAAAGCAAATGCATTGGCTGGAAAGGGTGGAGGATCTGTGAATGATTTTGTCATTTCCATTACAAGAACTTTGAATCATATTTTATTACAAACTTGTGATCAACAAAAGACAAAAGGTGTTCCCTATGATCAATGTATGGATACATTGAGAAAGATATTGGGATTGAGTGATTCACAAGAATGTTTGAATAGTCTTCTCACCAAACAATCGATTCAACAAGATTCTGATCGTATTTTGGACATTTGTGCACAATGTTTGTCCATTTGTTGTCGAGGAATTTATTTACAATCGAATAAGAATGATCATAATTCTATTGTGATGGAATTTATGAGAGGAGTAATGGCACAGAATGATAATTTATATGTGACCTTTGTGGTCATGTCTCATTGGGCAGTCGATCCCATTCTCTCAGAATTTACATTGTCAGTGGTGAAAGAAAAGATTGAAAAGGCATCCAATGATCCAACCATTCAAAGTAAGGTTGCCATTTCACTCTCAAAGGCAGCCACAAGATTGATTATGCAAAATCTTTCTCATGTTTCATTATCCAATGACATGTTGAATGTGTTAAAGAATCAATTCGATAAGGCCTATCTCAATGCAACTGCTAATACCAATGCTCTTCGATATGAACTTGCCAAATGTATCAAGAAACTTGTCAAGGCTTATCGTGAAATGTGTTGTGATTATTCAAAAATGTTTGATTTTGTGGAGGTGTTAATGCAAGTGGGTATTAAGGACAAATTCCCACCAGCTAAATTGTGTAATGAGAGAACTCTCTTCTACATGTTAGGATTTGCTGATAATGATAGTAGTCGAGTCATTACTGAATATTGTTCACATAAGAAACTTTCAGCTAAGGAATCAAAGATGGTGGAAGATTTTGGAATCAAAGTATTGTCCAAGTTGAGTATGGAAGATTCAGATTTGGAGAGAGATGAAGATGAAGAGGAAAAGTATTATGAATAAATAATAGGAGGAGTAAAAGTAGTAGGAGTTGGTGGAGTTGTTATTAATAATTTTCATTAGTTGTTGTAATTTAAAGTACTTTCAAGTGTCGTGTACCACAGCTCACGTGGAGCGATGGATCCGCTCAAGAGATTTCTGGAATTTGGTTTTGATCTTTGATTTAATTGATACGTGGGATCAGCCTCAACAGGATAGATTGCGCTGATTAAATCGTTTCAAGTTATTCAAGTCGTACAGACGGAGTTTGTGACGGTGTTAAGGACTAATTGTCGTTCGTCGATGATTCTGATCAGAATCTGTTCGTCTTGATTGCAGGACTTTTAGGACGTTTCATAATAGGCGAGAGCAGACTCTCTTGTGAGACATTTTAAAAGAGAGAATGGCAACAATTAAAAAACAAATTCATCACGTTCAGCAATCAGCATTCAAAATGGCAACTGTCTCTTCTTACAACTATTACACCGATGTTTTCATTGCAGGAGGCACAGGCAATCTTGGTCAACACGCAACCAGAGCCTTTCTTAAACATCCTACAAAAGCATCAGTTCAAATTCTTGTTCGAAAGGAAAGTGCAGAAAAGGCACAAGAGCTCCAAGAATTGGGTGCCAAGTTGGTGTTTGGTGACCTTGCCACTCTTTCACATCAAGAACTTTGTGAAATGTTAAAAGGAGTTGAAGTGGTCGTTTGTATTCTTTCTGGAGAAGCTCGTTCCTTGCAACTCAAACTATTAAAAGCATCGGTAGAGAGTGGTGTCAAGAAATTCCTTCCATCGAGCTATGGAATCGATTACAATCGTTTGAATTATGGAGTGTCTGCTGTGTTAGACAGTGTCAAGAAAGTTGCGGATGAGGTCATTCAGAGTGGTTTGGAATATCTCAAATTCAGCATAAGTCTTTGTCTTGATGTTAGGGAACAACTCCTCATTGTCATATCTCTCTGCCTGTGCAATCTGGGAGAGTACAATCCATCTCAATTGTTTAATAAAAACTAAAAACATTTCTTGAGGTTTCAATTCTCTCTCAAGCATGGAATCAATATCTTGTTTCAAAGCAGAGATCGAAGAACCCATTTGCAACTTGACCTGTGGGCCATACAAGAGATGAGCAATTTCCTCAATAGTTTTCTCATCTCCTCGAACATGCACATCTCGATTCTTAATGTCCTTTCTGAGAGAGGCTTCAGCAATGAACCAACCAATATCTCCCAAATCAGTCATTGGTAAACGAATGTGAGCATCTCCAGTGTGAATGAGAGTGTTGGTCTACCTAATATTATGTTAATTAATTAATTGAATGGCTACGGCTATATCGCGATGAATGCACCTCTTCCCGTCCGATTTGAGAACTAAAGCATCGTCGAGCTGCATCAGTACTGAGGTTGGAGATAACTTGGGAACCTGCAGTGCTGTAGCCTTTTTAGTGCTTTTCATCGCGAATCAAAACAAATTCACACAACGAAATACAAGATAACGGATATGATTCATGTGACGAGTGAAAATACATCGTGGTTCATTACAGCGATGATGTATTTTCACTCGAACTCATTCGGAAAGACTTCAAAACATCATCTGGACTGAAAAAACTCGAACGATGAGAGAATATGGTTGTCATAGTTTTCTCCGTACCAACAGTATCTGAATTTGAAATCGAGAAATGATGAAGCAAATCAGCTAAGCATCTTGATGATGTTTGACTTCATTCTTCAAACAAGGATCAGGAAAGAGAAGAACCATTTCCGATTCGGAATGATGAAAAACCATGAACTTAATCATGTTGAATAGTGGTATTGTTATCATCAATAAAAATATATTAATTATTAAATTATTGTTGTTGTTGCTGATGTTGTAAAGCAGCTTGTTGTTTCATGGACATCATATATTGAATTCTTTCCAATGTTTCCTTTTGATCTTGAATCGTCTTGGCTAATTTTTCAGCGCTCTCCCTAACAAGCCTAATTCGTCTATCGAGTGTTTCTTGTGCAGCACTAATTGGTTTCTTCATAAAATAGCCAGTACCAACATCAATAAGAACAGCATCTGGATTTTTCAAAGTGCCCGGAACATAGAGTTGTTCCGTGAGTGGTACAAGAAGGGTTGTTTCTGTTTGTTTTTTCAATTGTTCCAAAGATGATTTGCTAGAAATATATCTATTGTGTGCTGCTCTCAAAGTTGATAAATAAGCTGTTAATTGATTAACTTCTTTGCTGATACGCTCTTGAAGTGATGCGAGTTGTGGAAGAGGTACTTGTGTCAAATCGACATAACCACCGCCCGATGCTGAAGAAGACATTTTTTTGAGGATTTGTGGCTTTTGTATGCGATGAGGGTGGACCCAGAGCAAGGGATTACTTTCTTTTGTAGTACATTAGTATGTATTCAATTCATCCACTTGTAGCATGTTGAATCAAGAGGTGCAATCATAACTTGCACTGCTTGACCTTCAGTGTGATTGGACAAAACCAAATTCCATTCATGTGTTTTTTTCTAAATCAGATCTGCTGATGGTTGCTCAAGTTCCTTTTATAAAAAATTCAAAAAACTTTAAATAATTTATTCCCTCTTGGAGTGAGACTCATGCTCGTTTTGAATTGAATCAGAAGAAAGAATGGTATTAAAAACATCACATATAATTGTCTTCTCAACAGTAACGCTTTTCCTGCTATTTTCTAACACATTTGTTTATACAGCCTTGAATAATGGTATTAGTATTGCTGGTTCGGATTCGTTGAATGATGTTCAACTTTATCCTCCCAACACCAATACCTCAGCTGCTCAAGCGGTAGGTATCACGTACGATATTCGTGGCGAGTTGTTGGACATCATCATCATCTATAATGAATTTTAATCATTGTGTTGTATACGAATTTTTGAATTTAATCAACCACCAATTTCACGAAACTAATCATCATATATGATGACCGAATTGATTCATTCATAGTATGCCACAAAAGGAGAATTTGCATTACTTTCGTATTACCTCTCTGTGCTTCAAGTCGTAGTTATCATCAATTCCGTTCTCATCGGATTATTATTGTTGTTAGCCTTTACATTGACTGCCATCCGATGCTTGGAAGATTACAAACCAGATTACGACCGCGTGCAAGATCCTCTATGGCTCAAAGGCTTCTCAATTACCAATTCAATGGTTTCATGTTTGTTGTGTCAATGCTTTGCCTTTGCTCGACCAAAGGGTAAGAGAATTACTCTATTCAATGAAGAACAATGGAGAAAGTGGCACAAACGAGATTTGGATCTTCAACGTGGTATTATTGAAGAGGAACATGCTGAACCAACACAAGACATGGAAAAGGATCAACACAAATAAACTTTATTCAAAGTATATACTTTTATATTAATTATTTAATTGAAATAATTATATATTTGAAGCAATCATTGGTTGGTTCATAAATAATATATTTGAAGAAACCACTTGATTCAGAAACCAAAAAACAATTATTGAAAAGCGCCACCTTCTTACAAGAAAAATGTCGAATAGTCTTCAGCATGCAAGTGGTCCTCCTATTCCTCCTCTTTCCGAATCGTCATCTTTGGCGAGTGATGAATCCAATCATAGTTTAATATCATCGTTGATATCAAAAATTAGAGGTGAGTTGAGAACATCATAATATTGTGGTGGTGGTGGTGGTGATCGTTATCATCTCCAAAGAAAAGTTTTCATCCACGAATCATGAGCTTGTGAGACATCTCATCATCCTTCATCACAACAAGGTGATTTATAGAGAAGATACAAATCAAGCGTCATGTGTTATTACATCTCCTGCTCTTCTTACAGATCAAATGTTCAATGAGAGTCATGTCACTCCATCATCATCATGGTTGCCTGTTGCCACTTCCCATTCGGAGCATGTCGAACAAGAACAACAACAATTTTGCTTGTCGAGTATTGAATGGAGTGATGGAACCAAGTTCATTATTACACAACGATTGTCACCTTCACAAAATACAATCATTGCAACCACTCTTCACCAAAGACAAAGTATGATTTTGTCTCAAATATTTTCGAATTGTTTTTTAGTATTGAGGTTTGAGCGAATGCATGGTGTGAGTATGAGTAAGGTCTTGCAAGATGCTGTTAGTTTCATTGGAGAAATGTTGGAATTGTGATTCAATTATCGATCATTGATGGAACAAGTGCAAAGAGGATTCTGCTGCCAAAGAAAAATATTTTTTAATCGAAACCACAAGCAAGAGCACAAAGAGAAGAATTCATGTCGACGAGCAATGACCAACTATTCTAGTGGATGAAATATTCTACGAATGAATGATGATTTGCACAAAATGTTTACGGTTGAACTGTAACATCATTGAAGAGAACTATGCTAATGACTGACTTTGATATCGAACCTTCCAACTGCAGTTGTTATTCAATTGATTTGACTTGGATTATGGTCTTTTTATAAGAAGATTTAAAGAGACCTATTCCCTTCTTCATATTCTTATTATTCTTTATTCTGATAAATAGCTTGCTCTATCTTGCAAAATGTTTTTCTCTCGCATCACAACAAATTCCATCCATTTGGAATTCAATAGACCAATCGTTCCATCCTTAATTTGGCCTACAATTCTCTCAGCTTGTGTCATGATTTGCAAAATCCATGTGAGCCTCTTTTTACCATCTCCTTCCTCTGGAGAATTGTGTTTCCTATTAATGATATCAAACTGAATCGAAAGTAATTGTAAAAGGAATTCAAACATGCATCGAAGGAGTGGTTTCGATTGAATCATCACAGAATAGAGTTTTCTGTGAGGAGTTCTTGCCTTTCGTTCATTAATCAATGTGCAATGTTCCTCATACTTGTCTTGTAGCATTTGCAATGCTGTTTCCAAATGTTCCACAATTCTCAGTAAAATATCCATATTACTAATTTGTTGAGCTGGATAGTGAAAGTGATTGAAATAGGAGAGAGGAATATTTTGTGAGAGAATGGAATTCGACTGTGATCTTGTGAACATGGTTGGATACTTTTTGTTCAAATAGGCGCAACAATCTTTTACAGTGAATTGAATATTCTTTGGATTTCCTTTTTTGAAATTATTTTCAATGTTGGAAATTAATTCATTCATTTCATCCAAATGATTGGAATGATCAGATTCTTGTGATATTAAATTCTTTGCAAGTGAGAATCCTTCTCTATTCATGACACAAGTATAATCTTGCAATTCTTTAACCACTGTGTTGACATTGGTTGCATCACTGTCTTTATAATTTTCACAAATATAATAGGAATGATTGAACATGAGTTTTGTTCTCAATTGATTCCATGCTCGAATGAATTTTGTTCGAATGTCATAAATACTAAACGATGGAGTGGATCTATTAAGGAAATGTTGGATGGTGTGAAAGAGTATGGAAGAATGATGGCTCAACGATTCTTCTTCTTTCATTTGATCACTTGTGGAGTGTTGTTTCATTAGATCAATTTTTGAGAATAATTCATTCTTGTTGTGTGAAAGTTGTATACACAATAGTAAAAACATTAGAAAATAATGTTGAACTAAATGTGGATTCAATTGGTTGAGAACTTGACAATGAGCAATTTTGTCTCTCAATCTTGGACCCTATTCATTGTAAAATGATTTAAAAATAAATGTATAGAATCAATGTGTAAAATATTTAAATCATCCATGTAATATGTAATTGGTTAAAAAATATTTTAGAATTGTTGATTAAAATGTTCATAACATACTCCATAAAAGATAAAAGAATCCATCAAACAATCTCCAACACTCTCATGTAAAATATTAAATATCTCATTGGGTGTTAAACGAGCTCGTTGTTCACTATTCAATGAATTCACAAATTCTCCATTTGTTTCACTTGTAAGAGTGGACTGACCTACTGAATCATGATAAAGCATATAAATCATTCCATTGAAAATTGTAGGAAGTGTCAAAAGAACTTGTACTTACTGTTCACACTTTGATTCTTATTCACACCTAATATGGTATCACTGTATGTGGATGTCTCTAAATGATTTCCAAATATAACTTCAAGAGTGCTAAAAAATTCTTCATTTTGAGCACACCATGTTCTTTCATCTACTTTCTCATTTCCTGCAACATAGAGTCTTCTCAGAGAGGCTTCAAACTGTGGAAATAATAAACACAATGATAGTTGTAGATCAATTTGACTCTTTTCAGTAATTCCCTTTTTTAGAAATCTAAATGCATTTCCAATAATTCGATGTCGAGTAGGAATAACAAAATAGGATGAATCTAGAATTGAGTGAATCATCATCTCATCCTGTGGATGCATAAATAATAATAGACCTTTTTGATATTCAAATAATTCTAATTGTGAAAATTCTTCACCACTCATATCATTTCTTGGTTTCAAAATAAATTTCTTCAATGAAATGGAACTATTTGTGTCAGAATGAGGTGTCAAATTTTCATTCTTTTCATCATGGCACGAATAGTAGAGAGAGACTTGTCGACACACTGTGAAATAAATTTTCCATAAAAAATTTGAATAACATTCATCAAGTTCACTTTCATCTAAAAATCCATGATATAGAACATTTCTCAAATTGAGACCTTTTGGTGGTCCCATAAATACCTGTTTGATCATTATTTAATAATAATCATAAACGTGCAACAATATAATTTTTTAACAACAAATAATAATAAAAAATAATAATAAATAATAACAACAATATATAATAATAAATAATAAATATTAATAAATAATATTAATTAATAATATTAATAAATAATAAATAATAATAATCAATCGTTCAGAAAAAATTCTCAATCGATAACATTCAAAACATACCTTGATACAATTGAGTAATTTCAAAGGAATGACTTTTTTTAAAGCTTGACATTCCAAAATTTCTGTTAATGTTGCTGGAATCACAATTTCATTCTCTTGTTTATCATATTCATGAATAGAAACAGAATACACAATGGATGTCATTAAATGTTCCACTAGAGGTGATAAAAAACTAAATATAGCATAATTATTGATTTTTGGATTTTCCATATAAATTTCTTGTAAATATTTAAGAGATTCCACAGGTTGTTGACAAAATTGTAAATCTCTTAAAATATTTTCACGTTCATTTTGATACAAATTGTGTTGAACATTTGATCTGTCCAAAAGAATGGAAATTAATCCAAAATTCTTTTCAATGAGATAACAAGCTTTACAAATATCTCGAAGTTGAATCGATGCCTTCACAAACTTATTCGTCATTTCATTGTTGATTTCAGACATGTCATCCAAAAGAGGAAATTCTTCATTCATGTTGTGATGAACTTGTCGTTGAGATTTATCTTTGCATTCTTCCATGACCTCTCCACTGACACGTAATAATCCACTCTTTTCATCCACATAATGTTGAAGAGGGGGTGGTGGTTGTTGTTGTGTGGATTTACAAACTAATTTTGAAACGGACATGGATAGACATGACAAGTATTCATCATGATGGATGTTGGCTATTGGCATATCCTGTTCTTCTTCTTCTAATATTCTCAAATGTTGATCTAATTCTTGTTGTAATTGAGCGTTGAGATTTTCATAGTCATGAATGGTCCATATATTGATGAATGGAACAACATTGGAAGTTGCATCCTCCTTGTTTTTTAAAATTTGAATATTATAATTGTAAATGAAATGATTCACTAGAGGATGAGATCGATGTGGAAGGAGAGAATTATGAAGGGATGATGGTTGAGCTGACATCATGATGATGATCATACGCGATGATGGACGGAAGGACGAGGATTGCTGTGCTTTCGATGATGAAATTTTTTTTTTGTAATCTCGATTAATATTTGGGTGGAAGGAACTTGGAAGTGCCATCCCTTTCAGGAAGATTCCTCAAAATGAAAGATTTCTCTTGTTCAGAACGACAACCTTACAACCTTAACAATGATCAACTCAAAAGTTCAATTCAAACTCGAAAGCAAGCTCAATTTTACCCAATGATCGATGTTGTGGAGGAGGAGGAGGACATTCGACTATCTCGTGTATTTATCATCAGAGCGCGACCTGTTATCTTTTCAATGATATATATAGATAGATACTTGCAAGTGGTATCAATTTTATTTGGAGGAGACTGAGAGACTGAGCGAAATATCGACTTTCTCAATATTCTACCAATTCAAACTCTCAACGTGTGTGCCTTCTTTTAAAAACAGTCCAAAAAATCCATCCGTGACACGGATTCGAAAACAAGACAACAACCAACGAAAACAAATGACGACGAGCACACAACTCCTTTCCAGATCGTTGAAATTGAATTTATTCCAGTCATCAACCGAACTGTACCACCATGATGGTGTTTACAATATATTTATACACATTCAAACACACATCTCATTTCATCATCATCATCATTCACTGCCACCACCACCTATCAAAGTTGCAATCGTTGAAATCTTCTCTCAGTATCCAACATGACATTTTCAATCACAGTCATCATGTGATCAAACAATGTGAGAGGTAAATAATCGTGTGGAATTTGTTTCACTTCATCCACAAAAATCATCTTTCTGAGAGCATGAATTTGAGATTGTGTAATATTCAGTGGTGATGTTCCATTCTCTGAAATAAAAGTATTAAATATCTCAATGGCTAATTTGATTCTCTCTGATACTCGATATTCAGTCTTGTAAGTGAATTCAACCATTTCCCAAAATAGAATATTCTGTGAAGATTGTTCGGTTGCACAATAATGTTTGAATTGAGTTCGAAGATCATCTCTTTCCAAAGTCTTTTTGAGTGATGATAAATTTGCATTTCTATTCTCTCTCAATTTCATATCGTATTGCAATAACAAGTGTTGTTGATAGGAAATGGAAAGAACATCTTGTGCTGTGAAATGTCCACTTTGAATCATTAAATCTTTTAAATAGGCAATGGCACAATCCAATCTTAATTGTCTTGTTTTTAATAGATAGGCAATCAGAATGGTATAACATGCTTCCAAGATTTTGATTTCTTCAAAATCAATACTTGATCCAATACTTGATCCACCACCACCACCACCACCATTGGAACTGGAATGTGTGGAAATGGTTTTTGTGTAGTTGTTGTTGTTGATATTGTCATCACTACCAACAACCACTGATTTTGGATGTTGAGTACTAGAGGAGGAGGAGGAGGAGGAAATGGAAGAGACGACTAATGGTTGTTGTTGAGTGTTACAGTTTTGATTGTTGATAGGTTGATTGGTGGTACCTGTAGTAGTAGTAGTAGTAGTAGTAGTAGTAGTAGTACTCGTATGATTTGTTTGATGTTGTTCTTGTGATAATTTCAGTACATTACCACCACTCGTACCACCACCATTGGTCGTTGTGGTGAGAGTAGTAATAGTAGTAGCAGTAGTGAGAGTAGTAATAGTAGTAGCAGTAGCAATAGCACTTAAATCATCATCTCTCTCAATGGCAAGAGCACTTGGATTGTATTCTGTTAATAGACAACGACCATTGGAATGTTCAAGGAATTTGGTGCATTCATCCAATTTCTCAAAATTCAATCGATTGTTGGAAGGTAAAAACACCAACATGTATTCAATATTAGGATCTTGCATTTTGTAAGTCTTGTAAAGATATTCAGAGAATCTCTTTGGATCTAAATGATCAAATAATTGACAACGATCATTGGATTCACTAATTACTTGAAGAATATGTGTCACTTGATGTTGTTTCATGTCTTTTGAAATACATTTGTGTAAATGTAAAAGATTAGAATCACAAAATAGAATAGATCCATAAATAGGAGTGGTAAAATGACTATTTTCCCAATCAATCTTATCATTGTAAGTCGTATACACATGATTGAATAGAGAGTAAGCATTCACATTCTTCAATTTGTTTGAAAGTTGTTTAAATGATTGAAGAATGCGTTGTTGTTCCTTATGAGTAAAGAAATTATAAGCACAATCCAATGTTCTCAATTCATTGAGTTTAAATTTGTTGGAAGTATTACCATTACTACTACTACTACTACTACTACTAGTATTATAGCTACCATTAGTACCATCACCATCACCACCACTACTAGTACTAATAGCATTATCACCACCACTAGTATTACCATCACCACCACCAGTACTATTTGTGGTGGTTGTAGTAGGTGTAGGAGTAGTAGATTCCACCCCACGTGAAGTCGTGAAGAGATTTGACTCGTGTGAATCCATTCTCATGGATGATGATGATGCAAGAACAAATTGAGTCAAATAATTTCGATTCACACTCAAATGATGTAAATATTTGAGAGAGAACCACTTGTCACTTGAAAAATCTTGTAAAGTGAGACCACATCCAGAGAGATCCAATGTTTCTAAATTGTGACATTGTAAAAGACAATCCATGGTTTTTTCTTTGCAATTCCATTCAATGGTATGATTATAACTTAAATTCAAGTCATAAAGAGTTTCAGAGAGTAATTCCAATCCTTTCAATGATTTCACTCGATTGAATGATAAATTAATAGATTCAATTCTCTTTAGAGATGATAATTCTTGTCGAATCAATGTTGCATCTAAAAAGTTGGATTCAAAAGTCAAATCATTGTGAGCCAATGAGAGAGTTTTCAAATATTTCATTCCAATGAAAAGTTTAGATGGTAAAACTCTCAATGCATTAAAACTCAAATCTAAATGTTTAAGTTGAGTCATTCCACTCAATGTATCACATTCAATTCTCTCTAAATAATTGTGAGATAAATCAAGATGTGTAATGGTTGAATACATTTTCTCTAAAAGAGTTCCTTTTGGAATGTGTGAAATGGAATTGTGACTTAAATTTAAATATTCAATCACTGGTGTACAATATTCATTACTTGATATCAATGGAATGAATTTCACCTTATTACATGAAAGATCTAAATATTCAATACTTGACAAACTCATCAATGAATGAATGGATCCCTTAATGAAGCAATTTTTAAGGTCGAATACTCTCAAAAAGGATAATCCTCGAATGGTGGATGGTAAATCATCTTCAATGATTAAGGAATTTGTTGTTGTTGTTGTGGAAGGATCATTCATGAATGTACTACGAGTACTCGTACAATTACTACTGCTATTGCTATTACTACTAGTTGTTGTGGAATGTGCTGTGGAATGTGTTGTGGAAGGATCATGACAAGGAACAAAAGAAGAAGGATTGACAGGATGGGTGCATACCATCGATGATGTTTCTGAACTGTACACAGTGTGAGGAGTTGAAGAAGTAATCATCTTGTTGTTGTTGAGAGAAGTTTCAGAGAGATTGTTTTGTTGTTGTTGTTGTTGTTGTTGTTGAACGACTCGTCGCACGACGTTCGAAGGAATATTAAAAGGTCCATTATTACTCATTCGGAGATATTTCAATTTTGGAAATCTTCTCAACCATTCCAATGGAAAATGAAGAATTCCACAATGACTAATATCTAATTCAGTAATTGTGTGATGGAAATGATCTGTGTGAAATTGAGAGACACTTTTTTGATATCTTCTCCATAACAGTTCCATACTTTCTGAATGGTTTAATACTTGTTCATGATCTTCACTATTTCGACGTGCCATGACTCGAGAGAAACGACGAGGAGATTTCTTGTGGTGGTCATGATAGTGTTCAATAATGGAATTATTAAAAGTAGTAGTATTCATCAAAGTATTAAAAGTAGTAGTAATAGCAGTGCTAGGTGTGGTTGTTGTTGAATGAGATTGCTCCTCAAAAGATTCATGTGATGATGAGGACAGTTGTGATGAAGATGGTGATGCTGTTGTTGTTGTTCCTGCTGATGGAGAAATTGATTCTTGTTCCAATAGTGATGGTGTTGTTGTTGTTGTTGTTGATGTTCCCATTGTTAGGGTTGGCAATAATGAATGAGTGATAGTAGTAGTAGTAGTAGTATTGGCAGCAGAAGTAGATTCCTTGTTTGAATGTCCACACATCACGTGTTGATGCTGCTGATGCTGTTCCTCTTCTTCATTTCCCATGATGTTGATATTATTCCATTTGAAGATTTGTGATAAATTGAGTGTGGAACGATGATTGGTGGTATTATTGATGTTTGCAAGTTGAGAGAGAGCTATTGCTGATGTTGATATTGAATTCATTCCAGAAGAAGACGGTAACAAGTTGGGTGAAGAGTGTGAATGTTGTGGCACACTAGGATTAACACTCGTGGTGTTGCTGTTTGTGGTGATGGCATGGATACGTGGTGAAGTGGGAGGCGGCTGCTGTTGTTGCTGTTGTTGTTGTTGTTGTGAAGAGGATTGTAAAGTGGAACCATTATTGGTTGCATTGGTGGTTGCATTGGTGGTTAAATGATGTTGTGGTAAAATACTCCACAACTCTGAAAGATCTTCATTTTCATTCATAAATAAATTATAATTTCCAGACAAGTCCAATACTTCCAATACACGTAAATCATCGAGACATGTTGGATAACCACCATATAATTGGTTGTGACTGAGATTGAGATATCGAAGAGAATTTGCAAGAGGTTTGTGACCTTTTGAACTCTTTGATCGATGATGATGATCAGAGTCTGAATGTTGTTGATGTGAACTTTGGTTGGACTTTTGTGAACCTTTTCTAAATTTCACATGATTCATGGTTTCAATCTTGTTAAAAGATAAATCTAAATGTGTTAATTGTTTCATTTTTCTCAATGGGTCACTAAATTGTGTGAAATTATTAAATGATAAATTCAATTCTTTTAAATTCTTGAGTTTGTAAAACTTTTCAGGTAATTCATCGAGATGATTGTGTGATAAATTGAGAGAATGTAAATGTTTTCGAAAAGTGTCATCTTCACACACCATTTTCACTTGTTTTTTTGAAATGTTACAATTCACTAATGCCAAATGTTTCAAATAACTATTGAGTTTGGAATGATGATTCCATTTGCCAAATTGTTTTTCACTCAAATTGACAAAAAAGTTAAATTTAGAATGTCCTTGCAAATATAAAGATTCTAGAGATGGAAATTCACTTTGAATCTGATTTGTGTTTTTTCACAGGCATTCATTGTTGTCATCCCATTTGTTTGTTGGAGAAAGAGTAGTGGAGTTTTCCACAAATAGGAAATAGTTTATCCACAAATAGGAGAGTTGTTGTTGTTGTTGTTGAAAGTGATGGTGGTGATAATGTGAATCATTATCATTGGACAATATGATCATTCAATATAAATAATATATCATTATTGGACAATATGATCGTTCAATATAAATAATAGTATAATAACATTGATTGAAAACTATAAAAGACATATCACACTTACTTTTTGAAAGGTCGTCAAATTAAAATCATCCTCTTCCTTCACAATGAGATGAATATCTTTGATGGTACTTTGAGTGTTGTTGTTGTTGTTGTTGGTCGTCGTTGTAGTGGTGGTGGTGGTTGCTATTAACCGTAACGATGGATCCATTAATTGTTGTACGGAAGTGATGGTTGTGATTTGTTGTGGAATGAGAGAGAGAAGAGTGCCACTTCGAGAAGCAAGTCGTGTGTTGTGATTATTGTTGTGATTGTTATTATTGTTGTTATTATTATTGTTATTGTTGTGATTGTTGTTAGTGCTACCCGAAGAAGAAGTTAATGTGTTATTGTTGTTATGAGACATGTTGATAGGAGAAGAAGAAGACGAGAAACTCAAATGTTTGGAAAGAAGACCTTTCTGTGGGGTTGGGTCGACCAAAGAGCGAAGACGTGTGTGGAAAATTTTTGAGCGATGAGTTTTGACAGGTGAAAGAGAAGCTCAAGTTAGTGGCGGGATTATATTAGGCAGAAGATGGAAAGACAAACCAAGGTGTCAAACTTCAAAAGGATGGCCATAGATCTTCAGTGTCAGAACTAAATTGAGTTGGATGCAATTCACGAACAACCATGAGAGAGAAAGTTGTAGCAACCTTCACAAATTGAGTAATCACCAAGATGTAAGAATTACAACTAATGGTTTTGAGTTTTTCGAAATTCAAAAGAAGTAATAGAACGATTGGGAACTAAAAGAACGTTCGAGATGACTGTAATCGACTGAACTTTGCTTTATTGCAAATCCCAATCAAAAAACAAACAACACAAAATGCAACCCAAGATTTTCGAGATGAAGATCGAAGAGTTTTGTTTTGTACATCTGACCAAAAGAGTCGATTGACACCTTTCAAGAATATATTAATATGAATTAAGCTCAAGGATTGAGAATTGATGTCAAACATCAAAAATGAGACATAAAGTATATAAAAGTTACTCCCCCAAGTGGGCTCGAACCACTGACCTGCAGATTAACAGTCTGACGCTCTACCGACTGAGCTATGGGGGATTACATTCATGTTCAATCGTATCTTAATTAAGTATAAAACATTAGAACACATCTTTACTTTTTTGATGGATGCATCTTGAGGGTGTTGCAATGACGAAATTTCTTCATATGAATATGAAGATCTTCCTTTATTAAGAAGAACAATGAGTGCACTGCCGAAAGATTCCATGTAAACTTTGCTGAAGTTTCAAAAAACAATTTTTAAAAAAACGTTAAACCAACCACGATTATTGCATGAAAACCCCACTCAACGTTGAACCTTCCACCATTTCCGAAATCGCCACAACACTCAAATCCTTTCCGCACACTCGACGACATGAAGAAAACATCATCATCGAGCGTCAGTAGAGTCCTTGACTTTCAAATGAAACTTGCACGATACACGGAGAAGCAACTGAATTTAGCGCTCAAGGTTTCAAATTTCCAACAAACTCAACTCATTGAAATATTATTTGACAATTTAACTCAATCCATCGATTCCGAGTATCAATCACAGTTATCTTTGATTGCAAATACACCTTTTCCCCCTTCTCCTCACATTTTTCAAAAATCGCAGTCCTCACAACACTCGAATGATCTTCACGACAGCAATCATAAGATTTATCAAATTCCTTCATCACCCTCAACCACTGTATTATATTCTACAAAATACTTTTATCATATTCTTGCTGATTATTATTACAACAATCCACATGAATCAGAAAAATTACAACGAATTTGTTTAGCACTTTTAACCAACCAATATTTGCCCTCAATATTTGCTTTATTATTTTATCGATGGATGTTTGACATCAATTCTCAATCCTTGAGCTTAATTCATATTAATATATTCTTGAAAGGTGTCAATCGACTCTTTTGGTCAGATGTACAAAACAAAACTCTAAAATATGCTAGTTTATATAGAGTAAGTTTTATTCAATAAGCCATTTGATTTAATCAAACAATAATCCATTAATCAAACAATAATTTCTACCTTTTCAATGATTTCAAATCTCAACAAAATAGTTTATTCAAAATGAAGTCTTATTACATGGAGACTTTTCTAGCTTTTTTGATCCCATTAATCCATATTCTTCATTTCACACGATGAAACATTACATTGATAATAACAGTGAAGATGATGTATATGTTACACCAGATTTGGATTCAAAAGATTTGGAAAATGTCATGAAATCTCCAGTGATGGATGAGTTTAAGGATATTCGTTCTTCTTCACAGAGCGTCGATGATGATGAGACTATTGTCAACATTCAAAATGTTATTCAAACCAAGAAAATTGATTTAATTAGTTTAATTGCTAAATATTATTTTTATTATGAAAATCGTGACTCTCGATACAAACTAAAACCATATATTATTCAACTCTCAAAGAAATGTGCAATGGATCCATCAGAATCACTTCTCTTCAACGAAATGGAAAAGAAGAATAGAAAGTACAATTCAAATTCTCAGATTGATCACTTTTCTAATTTAAGCACATTGGATGAAAAACTTAATTTCATGTTTGTTCTTATTTGTGACATGTTTGTGAATGAGAACATTGCATTTCTCTCTCATGTCTCTGATGAAGAAATTATTCTAAGTCTTCTCACTCGATTTAAATTATTTTCAGAATTAGAAATTACAAGTCGAACGTTGGTCAAATTACAAGCTGCAATTTATGCATTCACAAGACCTGGAACTCCTTATTTCCCTTCACGAGCTGTTCGACACAAAGCAACATCCACACTTGATGAATTATTTCCGAGTGGGAAATATGCACGTTGGTGGCTTTCGACATCCTTTCGATTATTATATTACGGTTGGCCAATGTCTCTATTGAATTGGGTGAAAAACAAGTGTTGTCAAATTTTACAAACACCTGTTCAAGTGTGGGAATTTTTAACACGACAATTCATCTTTGAACCTCCACAATTGACTTTACAGTATGATGGACGTTTATGTATTGATGAGAGTTCAGAGCTTTCAAGTACCGATGAAGAGGAGGATGATCATACCACCTATTCCATAACATTTAACAAGTAGAGAGAGAGAGAGAACGTGTTCTCATGAGAGTGAAAAAAGAGAGGATGGTTTCAAAATTTTCTACTTACTCGTACTACTACTACTACTACTACAACATGTTGTTGTTCAGGTTCCACTAAGGTGAATTTGATCGCACCATGCATCACCACCAACGACTATTGGATCAACAATAAATTTGACTCGAGTGTTGTTGTGTCCAAAAAGAAATTTCAAATGTCCTCCAAAGCTCAAAGTGCTGAAAAATCGAGAGCCATCAAACGACCCTTTCAAGTCGTTCGGACTACCACTTCATGCAACGATGAAAGTTTGATCTTTCTCGATGATGCAACATTGAAACAATATAAATTAATTGTCGATCAATACACGATGGTTTCATTGGATTATAATTGTAAATTTTCACAGAATGCTCTTTCCACAGTATCATCCTTCTCATCATCATCCTCCTCACCATCATGTAACACTACATCGATTCAAGAGGACTCACAACAACAAGGAAATTCAGAATCTTCATCAAAAATTAAAATTAAATTATATGCAAAAATTAAATTGGATAAATCCATAACTACAAAACAAGCCTTCATTTCTCCTCATTTATATGAACAAATTAGAAATAGAATTTTAAAAGAATTTCCTAATGAAAATATTAACATTCCCAGTGATACTCAATTATTAATTTATATCTCAAATCAAGTACATGAAGATGAAATTCCAAAATGCAACAAGTTGAAGGCAATTTTACAAAACTCTCCGAATAATTCTCAAATTGAGAAACAAATTTTACAAAATACAAAGTTGTTGAGAGAATTATTGAACATCAAATCAAAACGTTACAATACGTGCTTTCAATCGCACTGTATCTATAGAATTGAGGTTTTAGAAATGATTCTCTATTTTCAAGTCATTGGATATTCAAAAGATGACCAAGAGCTCTCGTTATTTAACATGACAGAAACATGCACTTTAATCATTGACAAAGTTCATATCAATTTTGAACAGAAATTAGAAATTCTCAACACTCCTCCAAACATTAATCACCACCACCACTCAATGACACCACCAACTCTTTTCCGTACCATTGTGAAATCCATCACTTCACAAGTTCCAATTTATCACAAAATTATTTCACAATTAATTTATCTCATTCTCAATGAAAATTCACACATTCTCATTCACGGAGAAGAAGGTGTTGGAAAAACCTATCTTGTGCATCATACACTCTCCCAACTCGAGTCCATCATGTCATCCAATCATGTTGGAATTTATATTGAAAAGAATGAAATATCTGCAAGTGAATTATTTCATGGAGGTGTTGGTGAAAGTGAAAATGCATTCAAACAATTATTACTTTCAAAACCAATCATTGATAAAAAGTATCAATCGGTGATTAAGGTGATTGTAATTGATGATATAGACAATATTCTCACAAGCAATAGCAGATATGAAAGTGGAAGAGTGGATCGAAGTATGATTTCTGAACTTGTTCACTTTTTTGATATTCAATCATTGAATCCTTCTCATCATGATTGTAAAACCATTCTTATTGGACTTACAAGTCACTTGGATCGAGTGGATGGTTCCTTGATTCGATCGAATCGATTTTCACGACTTTTCGAGTTGAAAGTACCTTCTCCTCAACAGCGTATGAAAATATTGAATGAATTTATCCTTTCAAACAAGTCGGACATGAAATCGATTCGTCACAATGATACAAACTTGCATATGCGTGCCTGTCAATTAGAAACTCAAGGATTTGTGTGGTCTGATTTTGTCAAATTACAAAGTTTGATTGAATTAGACAAGATGGAATTTCATTCTTCACGTTCTTCTTCAACCTTACTCGATTGGCATTCACTCAAACATTTCATTAGGAAATGTAAACCAAAATCATCATGGACACTTCAAGACTCATCGACAACCTCTTCGAATTCTTTTGAAGAAATTCAGATGGACCCATCAACAACAACACCACCAATCACAACAACATTGAATTCACAACCAACTAATATTCAACAACAAGATTTCTTTTCAATGAATTTAGCAGGAATGGACTCGATCATTGCTCAAGTGAAATTATCTGTCATTTATCCATTTTTATATTATGAAAAGTATGTGAAATTAGGAATTCAAGCTCCAAAAGGATTGCTCATTTATGGACCTCATGGAACTGGTAAAACACTTCTAGCCACATGCATAGCAAGAGAATGTAAAGCCAATTTCATTAGTGTTCAATGTCCAGATATTCTCAGTAAGGTTGTTGGTGAAAGTAGTAAGGCCATTAAGCAATTATTTGTCATGGCAAGAAAATGTGCTCCTTGTATTCTCTTTTTTGATCAATTTGATGCCATTGCGACCAGTCGAAATGCAGAGCACAGTGCATTCTCGTCGAGTAGTAGTAGTAGTAGTGATAAAATGTTGAGTACTTTATTGATTGAAATGGATGGAGTGCATCAACATAAGAATCCATTGAGAAGAGAGGATCATCCTCATGATGATAATGAGGAAGAGACGATGAGGAGGAGAAGGAAGAAGATGGATCTTGTTCAATTGAACATGGAGAACATGAAGAATGAGGATGAAGAAGAAAAGGAAACGGAGGAAGAAGAAGAATTGGAGAGTGAGGAGTACTACTCTTTAAACAATTCCATGATGATTCAAAACGATCAAGTCTTTATTCTGGCAGCCACCAATCGATTGGACTTGTTAGATAGTGCCATCTTGAGACCAGGTCGAATCGATCAACATATTCATCTTCCACTTCCCAATCAAGATGCAAGAATGGAAATTCTAAAACTCAAAACTCGAGGAATGCCCATTCAAGATCATGAGGAATGCATTCGAGAAATGGCTCATCGAACTCACAACTTCTCAGGTGCTGATTTGGATAATTTGTGTCGAGAGGCTGCCATGCTGTGTCTACGAGAGAATATGAACAATGAGAAGATTTCGAGAAGACATTTTGAAATGGCTCTACAGACCATGAGAAAGTAAATATGTTGGCAGCCAGCAAGATTGAAATGGAGATTTTGTTCCATGATGCAATTGAACATGGAGTTGTTGTTGTTGTTCGAATGTATACACAATATAACTGCCATGTTTCATTTTCCGTGTAAAAAATGTTAAAGAAAATCATTCAATCATTCATGTCAAGGAAAAAAGAAAGAACTCTCGCATGGAATTCCCCAACCGAGTTATCTCTTCCTCGTCGTTTCCTTTCTTTCGTCCTTTCTCAATTAACCGACTAAAGAATGTCTGTTTGGGTGTTTATCAACTCCAAAAAAAATGGCTCCCAATCAGATCAGGAATCCTCAAGCTTCAAAAAAACCAAAACTTTCTCCACAACAACAAGAAGAAGCCTCTACAACAACTTCTACCACATCTACAGCTGTTGCTGATGCTACTACTACAACTAATGTGGAAGAAATATTTGAATTAAAATATGGGGAAGGCATTACATTCCGAAATGAACATTCTCTCCTCCGATTGACCGTTCAACGAGGATGCATCAATATATTTGGAACCGAATTCAAAGAGGGTGAAATCGTTGAATTTAAGCATTCTGAAAAACCATTTCAAGTGATTGGACTCAATACTCATGGAGATTCTCAGATTTGTGGGATTCAAATTCAACATTCTTCAAAAGATACCATTTCCATTCTCAATGATCCATCCTACATTACGTTCCATCAAGGATTGATCGAAATGTTTGAAAATATTTCAAAACAAAATGACCATGTCAGGTTACTGGTGGTAGGACCCACAGACTCAGGAAAATCCACGATTTGTAAAATTCTCTTTAATCATGCCATGTTTTCGAGCAGTCTTCGAAGAATTTGTTTTTTCTCGGATATTGATGTTGGTCAGAATCAAGTTTCACTTCCAGGAACCATGGGATTGAGCGAGGCTGTGGTACCTTCAAGTGTTGGTGGCGGCAGTAGCAGTTCAGATGAAAATGTGAACATATACACCAAAGAACTTTCTGTCACACATCAAGCGCCACTCGAGTTAATTCCACACAAACATGTATTTTATTTTGGAGATATTTCACCCAAAAACACTATTTATTATAATTACATCTGCCAAAGAATCTACCAAAAATATGAGTCAATTTTAAAAGAAAATGAACAAGTCCATAATATTAACAAATCATTTTTGGTGATGAATACATGTGGATGGGTTGAAGGACAAGGCTATTCCATTCTATTGAATACTATCAAGTCGTGTAAAATTACGCATGTTCTTTCGATGGATGAACAAACATTTAGGTGTCTTCAGAAAGATACTGCTGGCAGTGGAGTTGAAATTATTTATAAACAAAAAAGCAGCCAAGTGAAAAAGAGAAATAGTAATTTCAGGAAGGAAACAAGAAACAATTCCATCATGTCCTATTTTTCGAAACCTCTAAACACCTTAACACTATCTCTTGAAGATGATATTCATTTGTGTATGATTGATTACAAGTCTCAAACAAGTGCTGTAAGTAATATGGATCGTTTTTATCATGAAGAGAATCAACACCATATATCAAGAGAGCTTTAAATGTTTCAGAAAAATCCCTTCATAGAATTTGTGCTGTTTCAACAGCCAATTCCATTGATCAAGTGTTAAATCAAGAAGTGTTTTGCTTTGTCGTTCTCGAACAATTTAACGCAGAGAAGAAAACTATTAAGCTTTTATTGCCAGCATCAAAAGACAAGAAAGAAATAGAGAAATTGCCAAAGCCTTTGTTCCTTCTTAGTGGTTCAGTCATGTTTAAGTAATTGTTTCAAGATCATACATTACGATTTTTTTTCAATTCGGCCAAGAAATCATCTCTATCACCTTTTTCCTTAAAAATCAATAAAAGTTTAACTTTGTCTGGGATGTCTCTGTCGGATTCCAATTTTTCTAGTCTTGCCTTATCGATCTCTAATGACACATATCTATCTTTCGAAATATAGAGTTCTTTAGTATCTTCAGAAATAGGGATATTTAGCCAAAAACCATCTTTCTTCAGAACAACATGTTTTTTCTTGTTAGTTCTATCATTTTCTTCCTCAATCACTAAAACTCCCTTGCCCAGATTTCTACAGGTATGATTAGATTTTTCATGAAAGTTATAAATTTCTGATTGTATGAATAATTTCACATCCTCAAAAGCAGCCACTCGTTTATGTTCATGCCGCTGTTTTTCAATTAAATATGTTGGACAATCGATGACGATGAACATCCAAAGGAAAATCCTGATGATGAGAGTGCTTGTGAGTTTGTGGAGTTGCCTGCGAACGAAAACTTTCCCTTAGACGAATCTGTTCTTGGTTGTTTGGCTTGCAATGATGAAGTAGATGGTAAAGATGTTTTTTCAATGCTCTTGTTTGACGAAGTCAGTTGGGTTTGTTGTTGTGACTTGATTTGGTTTATCCTGTCATCCAACATCTTCAAGGTCGTGGGAATTGCTAATATAAAAGGGGCTAACACTTGTCTTTCATGGGTTAGTTGTTGCAATTCTTTTTGGATATCGGGAGAAATTGTGCCAGCGGTGTTTGTGAATGGTTTTCCACTCATATAATTCCATCTGCATTCTTCGAAAGACATGTTTTTGAAAGCCTCCATTTTGCTTAAAGAATGATAAATAAATCGTTCTGAGAAGTCACTTCCTTCCGTAGTAGCCTTAAAGGTGGGATAAGTAGACTGAGCATTTTCTTTTGATTGAGTTGTTATTGTGGCTGTTGATCCAACCAAATTCGTTATATTTGTTACAGCAGCACTTGTTGTTGTTAGATCTTTGTTGCTTGTAGCAGAAAGCAATCCAGAATCAGAGGAGTCATTTACACTGGTTTCATTGCTATTGCTGTTCATTCTTCCGAATGTGAATGGAGAGTTGGTTGATGCAGTTCCAAATGAAAAAACATTTCTATTATTGGTGGTTTTTTCGTTGTTTGAAGATTTGTTTTGATCAATTAAAACCATGGCGAAAGTGATGAGTCTTCAAACGACGTGTTGTTGTGCTATTTTTTTATTTCAGATTTAATCACTAAAATTAATGTTGTAAGTGCTAATTATTTTAAATAATTAAGCAAACAAGTGCTTGTCTCATGAAAGGCTTTGAGGAACCCAGTATAATATGAATGACGGAATTTGTCGGAGGATTCCCCAATCTGGAAACTTATTAAAAAAATGTCGCTCTCATTCGCCACTAGCATGCTGGACCAACTCTCGGGTTTCTTCACGCAGGAAGAAAACATGCAATGGTTATTCAAGACTGCCAACAGAGCCCCACTCCTTGTCATTTTGCCAATGCTTGTGTTACCAGGTACAAGAATTACTCACTTTATCCTCCATTCGAAAGTTGTTTTGATCTCACTCTCCATTCTTTATAGTGTGTTACTCTTTACTTTGATGGCTGCTCCTTCCTCAACACTTCCTAAAATTGATTTCCTTTCGTTTGACTCAGTCGCCAATGGTTTTCAACACAAACCATTTGTGTTAGTAGGTTGGGTGCATTATCTGGTGACTGATCCTCTTGTAGCTACTTTAATTTATTATGATGCAATTTCAAGGGGAATTCCACATGTTTTTACTTCGATTTGCATCTTATTTGCATTCATGTTATGTCCTTTTGGTTTAGCTCTGTATATATTTGGTAGATTGCTTCTTTGTCGTGTTTGGTTTGAATGGTTTATTTCACCCATCCCTGTTTCTCACTCTCTTTTGGAAATTTGGTTTGGAAGTGCTGACTTTTGGAGAAACATGTTTTGTATTTCATCAGTGCCACAAAAAACTGCAACTAAAATCGAATAATATTGTTTCTAATAAATCTCGTTGGTGCCATTAAAAGGGATATGTGCCCAGCCAGATTGCATCACTAATATTTAGCCTCTTCATCATTCTCCAGTCAGATTCTCAATATGCAAGTAATTTCTCTTAGGATCTCAAACCTCTTTCAACCTTACAGCTTTCCTTTGCCTCATTCATATTTTAAAGCTTTTTGTTCTTCCGTAATGCTCGAAACGCTTCCACATTTGCAAATGGTTTCTTTGTCAAAGGGTCAATATATTTCGCAGGTAATCCTGTGATGGCACATTTCAATTGTTTTTCCTCCTTCGGAATATCAAATCTTGCTAGTTCTGCTTCAGACATTTTTTGATTAATTTCTTTTGGAATTTCCATATTGACAAATGTGATATATTGTTTTCCTTCTGTTGAATAATATACAATCCTAGGTTCGTCAGGGTCAACAGTCTTTGTTTTTGTTTCTCGAGCTTTTTTACGAATGTCTTCTTCAATTTGTACTAATTTTGCAAGACTATTCTTATTGTACTCTGCTGTGATCTTAGCCTCCTCCAATAACTCCTCCTGTGTTGGCATCACATACACTTTCTTTGGAGTCTTCTTTGGTGTTTTTTGTTGTGTTTGTTTCAGCTTTTCCTCAATGGCTTCCGTTGCCTTTTTTGTGGATGCTCTCGCAGATCGTTTGGTTTCAACAGTGGAAGCATCAATCACAGGTTTAGACTTTGGTGTCTTGGGGTTTGGGGTACTTGACTTTGGCTTTTTTGGTTTTGATGCTGTGTCTTTGTAAACATTCTTTCTCTTTTTTGTCTCTCTTTCTTCTTTTGCCAACTTTTTCTCTAGTTGTTTTGCTCTTTCCTCTTCTTCTTCTTCATCAGATGAAAATTCGTCAATATCGGAATCTTCAATGTCTGCTTGTTCCTCCATCAATTCCTCCGTAGCTTCAAATCCTTGATCCTCCTCTTCCTCTGCAAACATTTCCATCTTCCAAAACTCATCATCCACTTGTTTATCGATACCTTCGAGGTCTGTCAATCTCTTTCCACGCGTACTTCTTTGGGGAAGCACTTTTCGTTCTGGTGGTTGTTGTTCGTTTTCACTCATTTTTTTGTGTGGTTCGTCCGTCGAGATTCGAGAACCATGATGTCACAGCAGCAAATTAATTTTCAGCAAGCAAAGCACAACAGCAGTTGCAGCTGTCATTGAGTATGTTTACTTCCAAGTTAGATCATGTTTCTATGTTACAATAGGTAAAAGAATTACTCATCGTTGGATGAGTTTGTCAAGTGTTGTTTGAAACTAAAGTTAAGCACAGTCATACTTAGACTGTCAACAAAAGTGTTATCATGAGCATCATATCTGTTGAGGATATATTGCAGTGACCCCTTTTGTTCAGGTGGAATTGCTTCTTCAGAAGTTGATGACAGTTCATGGTAATTTGTTGGCATGGAAGGCCATTTAGCTTTTGTATCCTTTGATCCTTCGAACTCTGAAACAAGCTCATAATAACGTCGCTTGAGGGTACTAAGGGATACATTCAGCTTTTTTGCAGCCACACTTTGTGGAAGAGTCATGAACCTTATTAATTCATTAAGGGGAATATCAATCTTATTTCTCTTAGTTTTTCTCTGTTTTCGAATTGAGTTGTTAGAAGAAGAGCTGGAGTATACACTCCTCTTTTCATGTTCGTTGGAACTGGTATATCCTGACTTCTTTTCTGGTTGTTCTTCCTTTTTTGGAAATATTGGCAACATTGGTGTTTGTTCATTCGAGTTAGTCAAATTTCTATGCGTGTGAATAAGTAAATATCCTTTGAAACAATTAGTTTTTAAAGCAATGACTTACCTAGTAGGAGGAGGGAATACAGGGAATGATTTCAAAAATACGTGTGGACTGAACCACAAATTCTTATTTACAGGAGAGGAGGAATTAGATGGTGGTACATTGGTTAAAGATGGACTGTTGGAAGGTAGTGTTGGAGAATTCAATGTGGAAGGTGCTGTTGTTGGAGAGATTACAGCAGGTTTCTCTTGAGAAAGAGCTGGTTGTAGCAACTTTTGGATATCATTCAGTGTATTGATGTCTTTCTGGTGGTTATTTTGAATAGTGCTTGGGAACACAGGCAACAACATCGAGGCTTGATTGCTACAGTTACGAATATCGCTTTGAGTGGTAGCAATAACTGCTAAATTCTTCATCATGATGACAGTATTCTTCAATTCCGAGAGTGCTCCAACTTGCCGATAGCCTTCAACGAAAAGAGTGTGTGAGAGGTGTGTGGTGTTTTTCTTTCGATTTTGATCGCAGGTTATGGATTTATTGCCAGAAGAACTGCCCGAGCAGTGCTGGGTATCATCAAAAAAATTCCCCAAAGACGCGAATAAAGCGAAAAAACATGTTGGAATTTCCTTGGCTGAACCCGGATAAATATGTGTTTCTTTCCTAATGAGCAATTTCGCGCTTTGTAACGGTGTGCACCAGGAAAATATTTGTAAACTCGAATTCCATTCAGAATTTTCTGAGGTTTGTCTTTCAAAATCCCGTTCTTCTTGAGAGATATGGTCACACTAAGAAGGCGGAGAATTGAGAAACAGAGGCCAGCAGACGATACAATGATTTCTTATTCAATTCAGTCTCAGTTGTGTCCAATTCCCCTTGCTCGTTAAAACACCCATAAAACTTGTACTGCCTTGACAAGTCTTTACCATTTCTCAACTTTTCACTACCAAACATTCGACATCTGTAAACGAACAAATTACGAAAATTATGAAATCAATGATGAACAAAGATCATTAAATTTTCCCTACCTTGGATATTTAGCACAGGTTGTATCAACAATATCTGTCACATGCCAATTCTGAGCCTTATTTGGATATTGCGTACAGTGATTCTGTTCCAAATACTCAATTAATTTTGACAAATACAAGGAAAATTCCTCATTGTTTTGAACTCGAATACCAGAGAAATAAAGTCTGAATCCTGATTTGTATTTGCAATCTGGGGTCGTTGTATCAGATGCATAAGGTCCATTGCAATAAGTAATGCAGCACGAAAAATCAGATTTGTTTCTTGACGAGAAAAACTCCATTGTGAATTGCATGAGATATTTCAACCATGGTGATTTTGATAAATTAAAAGCTGTATTTTCTTTCAATTTAAAATCCAAATCGAGATATAACTTGAAATTGTTGAAGGGTCTAATTTCCTCCATGTAGAATGTTTGTTTTTTTGTGATGGCTTCAGACCATACTTTGATGTATTCTTCAAATGTTTTTTGTGATTGAATTCCAGAAATGTGATAACATGCACCTCGTTGTGAAATGTGTGTCGGATTTTTGAACAATAAATTCTGATCTCCGACCACTGAATGGTCGAACAGCCACTCTTCTAACACATCGGATGGAGTGTATGACAATTCTTGGACTTTTTTGGCTAGTTTAACATTGTCTGAGAGAGATGGAACAAATCTTGAGGTATTTCTTGTAGTATTGACTCCCGATGATGATGCTTGCTTGTTCATAAGACAAGTATTTTTATTCTTACATGCTGTTCATTTGCATCATTGCAAACAAGACAACACCCATCGCACATCATTACACGAAACTCATTCACACAAAAAATGTCAGACTACAGCCAAGCTCAACAAACCATCGCGTAGGTAGATGTGAGAAGGTTCCTCCCTCTCAGAGACTAACAATAACAACAAATTTTCATTATTCACTATATTTTGTTTTTTGATCATTTCTCTCACTCGTCCGATCACCACCTGACTGTCCCGACTATTGAATTATTAAATTTGATGATTTTTTGATCATCTCACATGTGATTGGATCATTTAATGATTGATAACGGATCATCAGAGACGGAAATTATGGTAAATTCGTTGCAGCACTTGACCGATTACGAAACATCAATGCAACCGATGAATATGGAAACACACTATTACATTGGGCTGCTGCTTACAAGAGGCTTGAGATGGTCAAAGAATTAATTGAAAAGAAAAAGATTGACATTACCATTAAAAACAAGACACAAAAGACTGCTTTTGATTTGGTGGTAGATGCTTCGGCTACAGACATGAGCTTCTTTGAAGTAAAACAATATCTGAAGACTAAATATCAGTAAATAAAGCGATCGTGGTTGAAAAGGCAAGCTAAGCACAACCACAATATTTCCACAAAATTCCATCAAAAGCTCGCCTCAAAAAAAATGAAACGAAAAATCACAGCCCCATCCTCTACAACATCATCTTCACAACAAGCGGAAGTCAAGAATGCAAGTTTAGAAGCTCTCAACAAGAAAATGAAATATAGCCTGATGAGTGAAAACAGGCCTGTGTTTGTGAGTTCAATGAATGAAGAAAAAGAAGAAGCGGTTCCGATATCATCGGAAGCTTCAGCAACAGAGGAATCACAAATATCCATTGATTCGATTGGTTCTATTGAGCCATTAAGATCCATCATCGTTGAAGAAGAAGATTTTATATCAGTGAAAGAGGTCCAACCTTTTTTATCTTCGGAGCTCAATCAAGGAGACGAAGAAATAGATCACACAAATACCAAACCAGTAATTCAAACAAAGTTAAATATTATAGAGAAAGCCATAGATTTTTATGGGCTTCCCCGAATATGTGGTGAATTATTTCGCGAAATCAAAGGTGTAAATAAGTTATACGAGTGGCAAGAAAAATTGTTAGGACTTGAAGAATTGAAATCTGGAAGAAATTTAGTATATTCGTTGCCGACGAGTGGAGGCAAAACACTAATTGCAGAAATTTTGATGATTCGGAATTGTCAACTTTTCAAAAAGAAATCCTTGCTGGTTCTTCCATATGTTTCCATTTGTGAAGAAAAATGTGCAAGTTTGGAATTATTTAGTGACCACTTAAATTTCTTTGTTGAGGGCTATTTTGGATCCAAGGGAGCTATTCCTGTTGAACCTGGAAATCAATTAATAATATCTACGATAGAAAAAGCAAACCTTATAATTGACTCTCTTGTTAAAGAGAACAGAATTCATGAGCTTGGATGTGTGGTTATTGATGAGTTGCACATGCTAGGGGAGGGCGATCGAGGTCAATTATTAGAACATTTGATCACCAAAATTTTGTACATACAAAGAGAAAAGAAGCATGTAGAAATTATGATTGATGATACACCAATTTTTGAGTCACCTGTTGAGAAATATTCAACAAAGATTGAAAAAGTTACCATTCAAATTATTGGGATGTCTGCAACAATTCCCAATCTGGAAAGTATTGCTAATTGGATGGATGCTACTTTGTATACATCAGATTACAGACCGGTTCCTCTAGTAGAATACTATACCATTGGAGACACTGTTTTTGACAAACAAGGAAGCAAAATAAGAAATCTAAATTCAATACCGTTTGAGGTTGGAAAAGGAAAGGCAGATCCTGATTTTATAGCATCATTGTGCTGTGAAATTATACCTGCAAATAGTGTTCTAATATTTTGCCCCACAAAGCAATCCTGTGAAGATTGTGTGAAACATTTATCACAAACACTTCCAATTACCAAAGACGATCAAGAAGAAAAAGAAAAATTAATTTCTGATCTCAAACTTATTGGAAATGACGACCATAATCTTTTGAACGGAATTAAGTATGGAGTTGCATATCATCATAGCTCCCTAACCACTGAAGAAAGAGCTTTAATCGAAAATGCATATAGAAATCATGTGATTAGTGTGATTTGTTGCACAAGCACTCTTGCAGCTGGCATTAACTTACCTGCTGCAAGAGTTATTTTCAACACACCCTACATTGGTTACAAACAATTTTTATCCAAAGCTAAATATCTCCAAATGGCTGGTAGAGCTGGTCGTGCTGGGATTGATTCGTTCGGAGAAAGCTATCTCGGTAAGTGTAGTATTGTATTCACACGACTCCTTGTCTGATAACATTTGAATAGTTCTTCAAAAACAATACAAAACTCAAATTGATGGTGGTAAGTATAAGATTCAACGGTTGTGAGTGAGATCATTGATTCATCGTATCCAGGATTGGAGTTAATTTCTAAACCACTAGAAAATATAAACAGCTGTATCCATGTGGAAGACATTGATTCTCTAAGTAGAGTGTGTCTTGAGATTGTGTCTAGCGGCCTCACTTCATCTATGGAGGAAATTGACAAGTTTGTAACTCATACTTTTTGCACTTTTCAAAATCCTGATATCAAACAAAAATTAATTGAAAAGTTTCGTTTTGTAATATCTCAACTTGCTGAAAACAAATTAATTAGCATGTCAACAGAGTCATCCTCTGGTTTTGAAATGACCTCGTTTGGTCTCGGAGCATCTAGGAGCGCACTCACTCTAAGACAATCTCTAGAACTTTTTGACCATTTAAAGAACGCAATGGATGAAGGCATCATCTTGAGTGATGAATTGCACTTGTTATACCTCATTGGAGTTCCCATTGATGGCAATGGTTTATTGGAGCCAAACTATGTCAAGTTCTTCAATTACATTGAACAAAAGGCTACAAGTATTGAAAAAAAGATTTTTCAAAGATGCAAAATTCCAGAACAAGCCATCGTAACAAAAGCTATGAACAAGTTCTCAAAGATTAGCGATTCAGATAATGCCTTAGTGAAACGAATGTATAATGCATTTATATTGAGAGATATCATTAATGAAATCAACCCTTTTTTGGAGTATTGCGAAATTAGAGGTAGAGGAAGTCTTCAACAATTAATGTCTCAATCTACCATATTTTGTTCCATGGCTCAACAATTTTGTGAAAAATTGGAATATTGGCATTTATCAAAAATTGCAAAGAAGTTTACGAAACGAATTCAATACGGAGTGAAACAAGATTTGATCGATTTGGTTCAACTCGAAGGAGTGAGAAGACCTGAGATTGCCAGAATTCTCAAGAGGTGTAATTTGACCCTGGAGCAGCTTTCTCACTTTCTTTCTGAATCAGAAAACGAAGAAATACCTCTTTCCTTAATGGATGAAGAGAATGCCACACACATCATGACAAGTCGCAAATTTCTCGAACATTTAAAATCCTTTCCTCACTCTTCTCAAGAGGAACTCTCGTTCATTGACCGTTACTTTACTCAGGAGAAGATTATGATGATCATATTCAGTGCAAAACGTGAACTCTCCAGAAAGGCCTTCTACTTGCGAACGAAATCAGAGCTCTTGGAACATTAAGGAACAAGAAGGGTGAGACAAATTATATGGGCGCCAGTCAAAATGACTGCATGACAAATGGTAGGTTTTTCTTCCGTGTGTTTATTCACAATTCGAACATAATGAAGTGCGGTAATTGTGGCGACTCATGCTCAAAGATTCACAAGGTTCAGTGCAAGACTGGATGTGTTTTATCAGTTTGTCATGTTGGTAGGAGAAGGAATCCTTAAAGATTTGTTGATTAACAAGAATTTTGAATAACTCATCAAAGTGAACGAACAGTATGACCTGCAAGATAAATCACTCTCGTCATCCATCAGCAAACACCACAGCCAACGGCTAACTTTCGGAAGTAAACGTTGGTTACAACGTTCGTGTGAAATGAGCGGGAACCCGATGTTTCCAAAATGGATGGTCATATTACAGAGAAAAGAGTGGTCTGCATATATTTTGTGCTTCGTGCATCATAACAGGTTCTTTGTTGTCAATCCTTTTTAAATGGTAATAAAGATGTTGTTGTCATGTTGTTTCATTCGTTTCTATTTGATTTTGTTTATTCCTTCTCAATAAAACTATTTGATCAAAACACTGAACAGGAAGAAGACGATTCGGTCTAACCCAAAATCACCTCCAAACAATCCTGCTTTCATTAGTATTGTTCCGTTGTTTATGTCATTGTCTTCCAAGCTGAACGACTCACAAATTGTTGTTGAATCACAATCGTTTACCAACAACCCAGAAAAAAACAAAGCATGCAACACACTGGGAGAAATTCATTGAGCTCGTCATCTAGCCAATTTTCTGTGGACGCATCCTCCGTGTCGTCATCACCCAGCAATAACAACACCACTACAGGAGGATCTACAAACAACCATTCATCAACAATTCCGTCCTCTTTTCATTCCTCATTGACCGAAGGATCATCGGCAATTCCATACAGCACAAGCACTCATTTGCCCGGAATTAATTCTCACTCTTGTCGTCATCATCCTCTCAACTCTTCATCAATGACTCCTACTGCTGCCACTCTGATATCTTCTTCACCATCCTCATCAGCTCAAGGAAAGGAGATGAACACTTCGAGTACCACTACCAATACTACTAACACAAGCAATCCTTCCTCTTTCCAGCATCAACATTCACCAGCAACATCTTCTGCTCCTTTGTTGAATCATCATCACCACCACCACAACAACAATTCGTCCAACAATACTACCACTACGACCACTCATCATCCTCAAGAACAAGTTACCACCACGACCACAACTTCTCTCACTACCACCAAGCAACAAGCACTGAAATCTAGCCTTTTAATGACGACCACGACAGCTGTGGTGCTGAACAATACCAACTCAGCTGCCATTAATACTTCTCTGACCACTTCAGTTTCAGCATCATCTTCTTCCACTGTAATCCCTTCAAGCACTCTGAAAGCATCACAACATTCACCTCGTCCAAGAACCATTAGCAATCCCCATGCTTACAGCTATCGGAACACCCACTATGGCAATCCATATTCTCCATCCAATAGTTTCATTAGTTGGTTTTCCTCCTTCTCTGGTAGCTCGGGCCATAATTCCTACCACAACAATTTCAATTCTCCAATTATGGGAACATCCAAGAAGGAATTTAAACAATCAATGCCCTCATTATGGACTTGTTTTATGAAGGCTAGGAATTATAGTATTGTTATCCTCCTAATATTATGTGTTGTTGCTTCCCTGCTTTTTGTTTTGAATTTACGTTCTAATGTGTTTTCCAAAATTCATAACACCATCAGGACGGGTGCTGATGATGCTCTGGAAACACTTGAAGAAGCCAACACAATCTATGATGCAAGTTACGATAGATACCGTATTCCATCGTCCAAGGACCAAGTAGAGCGACCCGATTGGGAAAACATTCAGAAAAACGATCCGAGAAGGCCGAGGATAGCTGGAAGAAAACAAGCTTCCGATTCGAAAAGAAGGAAGAAACAAGAGACGACCTCATCATCATCAACCACAAAACAACAACCCCAAATTGAAAAGCCAGCTCCAACAAGAATAGATGCTCCACAACAACCATTAGCCGAACAACCCAAGCTCGAACAAGAAAACAACAAGGCCACCAAAACCACCACAGTGCAACCAGAGATGGGACCAAAAGTTATTCAAAACATGGATGACAGCAGCAACAAACATCCAATACCTGTTAAGCCTGAACCAATTACCTATGTCAAACCACTCAGACCTGATGGAAATGATGTTCGTACGACTGTGGTTCCAAAACCTGCGGTGGAAAATGAAGAAAATCCAGATTTCAAAATTGATCATATTTATGTGATTAATTTGAAAATTAGAGAAGATAGAAAGTTAAAGTCAATCCGAAGACTCAACACTCTTGGTGGTATCTTTTCAAATTACAGCTTCTTTGAACCTGTCTATGGAGAGGCATTGTCCGACAAGGATATCTTTAACCATGTGTCAATAACAACTTATAAGGCCATTTCCGAAGGAAGAAGTCTTGATTATCAACTTGCCACAAAGGGCGCCGTTGGATGCTATCTAACACACACAAATATTTGGAAAGACATGATCGAGAAGGGTTACGAGAAAATTTTAATATTTGAGGACGATTTTGAAATAACTAGTCCTTATGACGAAATTATGACCTATTTCGCTCATTTACCAAAAGAGTTTGATGTAGCTTTCATGTATTTTAGTCTCTTCCCTGGAAGTGGGGAATTTGAAAGATATAATGATTATTGGATGACAACATCAGCAACTAGAGTCTATGGCGCGGCTAGTTATATCATAACTAGAAAGGCTGCCCTAAAGTTATTGGAAAAAGCATTCCCAATTGATTTACAACTAGACGCTTTTATTAACCATTATGTGACATTCACAGGTGGTTTAAGATTGTACTCGAATAAGCTTCTCTTTGGACACGAAATTATTGAATTATTCAACACCAATGTCCAAGATTATTGCTGGAAATGTTTCGCGAATATTTTGATGGACAACTTCCTTTCATTTGATTTAGTTATCAATGTATTCATTGTTGTGGCTGTGGTTGTTGTGATTTTAATTCTCTATGCCAAGTACTTTTCAAGAATACTTGCAAATAGAAAGAAGGGAAAGCCAGAACGACTTGCTGAATGGGCTCATAATGAATAACAAGGAAGAACATTTCCAAACCAATTCATGTACATTAACTCTTCACATTGATGATGTGGCTACCTTTCGCATTACTTGCTTTTATCAAATCTGACAATAAATAGATTGTATCGAATGTGTGTTTACTTTCCAATATGAATAAAAGGCTCAGAGTCAACAAAAAAATTCATGACTCTCAAAACAGTGATCGTTACAGGAGGACTCAATGGTAGGTTCATCATTTCTACAACACATTGTTAGTCTCATCGAATTCGCAGGAATTGGTTTAGTAATTTCGCAAACTTTGATTTCCAAACAATTCCGTGTCGTCGTGGCTGATATTGCCATACCACCCACAACATCCGAACAAAACAATGAATCTGCAACACCTTTCATCAATCCATTCGAAAAATTTGATCCATCCATGTACCTTCTAATTCATTGCGATGTTTCCAAAGAAGATGATGTGAAAAATCTAATTGAAAAAACAATTGAAAAATTCTCTCATTTGGATGCAATTGTTAACAATGCAGCGGTTTCACACCCTCACTACCATGCCAAAGATATTACTGGGCTCTCTTTGGAAGAGTGGAACAGAGTTGTAGGGATCAATTTAACAAGCATCTTTCTTACCACCAAATATGGCGTTCCTTACTTGAAGCAGTCTCAAGGATGTATTGTTAACATTTCATCAACTCGAGCTTTGCAAAGTGAAGCAAACACTGAAATTTATAGTGCAACAAAGGGAGGAGTGCTTTCCTTGACACATTCATTAGCCATTAGTCTTGGACCTGAAATTAATGTGAACTGCATTTCTCCTGGATGGTAAGTTTATGATAAGCTCAACCATTCAAATCATAATTTCTTTCCTTAATTATTGTTAATAATTAGGATTGATGTTCAGTCACATCAAGTCGGAAAAGAGAGGCAATATGAATTAAGAGAAGGTGATCACAAACAGCATCCTGTAGGAAGAGTTGGAAAGGTAAGTTTATTATTATGGAACACTGTCACAGTTCATGATTGGCAATCAAATTCTTAGCCAGAAGATGTTGCAAAATTGTGCTTATTTCTGATTGAGGATGGTTGCCAAGACGGAAGCGGATTCATCACAGGACAAAACTTTGTGATCGACGGTGGGATGACAAAGAAAATGATTTACAATGGAGAGCCATGGTGGAAAGAGGAGTAACATTAAAAGTTAAAGATATTGCGTACCATGAAACTATGAAATGAGGCGATGTCGTCGACATCATCATCGTCATCGTCGTCATCATCATCGAAAATGAACATGTCACCTTCATTTTCATCGTAGTCGTCATAGTCATCAGTGTCATCATCATCATCGTCATCATCATCGTCATCGATTACAATAGTATTATTGGTTCTGGCTTTTTCGCGTAACTCTGCAATTCTGTCCTGGCTTAATACAGATTCCGGTATTAGATTAGCAACAGCTTCAGATTTCATCAACGCCTCTGAAACAATTTCCTCATTATGTAATAGCTCCTCAGACACAAATTGAATGGCACTGGCTGATTGTGAGATGGCTTTAAGCACAATCTCTCGGTCATTCCTCATCTCATCAGAGGCAAATTGCAAAGAAGCAGGATCATCTGAGACGGCTGTCATAACGACAGCTTTGTCATTTCTTAATTCATAAGGAGCATATTGAAGCATTAATCCATCTTGTTTCACTGCTTTTAAAACTAAATCCTTGTCATGCCAAAATTCAGGATCTGCATACTGTAGTGCTAGAGCATATTGTTCAGTGGCAGCTTGGACAATACTTCGGTCACGTTTTAATCTTGGTGAGACATATTCCAGTAAACCTCCGCATGTTGTCACTTGGGAAAGAGCAAGCTTGTGATCATCTCGTAATCGGTCTGAAAGATATGGAAAAGTGTGATCTTCCTCGTTAATCATACATTGAGTGGCCACTTGTTCATTGTCTGCTAGAGAATATTCTGTACATTGCAACAATCCTGCATGAGGGTCAAAAGTATTGAGTATATGTTGTTTATCACAGAAACACTCAACTTTTGAAGCATATCCTCCTTCTTTTTCTTTGAATAGGATCATCTCTGGATCATTTCTCAACTCATAGGTCGAATAAAAAATACTTTGATTATTTTGCTGTATGGCAGATTTCACAATCTCTCTATCGTTTCGAAGCTCGAGAGAAAGCTCTTTTAACATTGCACCATCCTTTTTAACAGTAGCCAGCGCCACTTTGCGGTGGTTCCGAAGCGTAGACTTTGAAAGTGATACTAAATGACCATATTTTTGCATTGCAAGAGCAATAATTTCTTCGTCTTCGAATGATGAATCATCAATATACTCCACAGGAGGATTTGGAAGCTTCAAAACTTCCATAACAAAAGATTTGTCTTTCCGCAATTCTGGTGAAACAAACTTCATATTGCTAAAAGCGAGTTGTACAGCTTTCAATGCAATATCTCTGTCATTTCTAATGGAGAATGGACAAAATTCGAGAGTAATAGTATTACCACTTCTGTGATATAATAATTTGTCCAAAGCAATCATCAATATTTCCTTGTCGTTTTTAAGGTCAATAGAGGCGTATTTAAGAGTAGTTACATCACTTTGTACAGCTATCTTTACAATTTCTCTGTTATTTTGAAGCCTAGCAGATGCATGTTCTAAATTTTTTGGATCAATCGTCACAGCAGCAAGAACTATATCCTCATCATTTTTCAAGTCAAATGCAGCCAATTTTAAGGGTACTTTGTAACTAAGAGCTTTTAGCATGAAATCCTTATCTCTTTTAAGGCTGTATGGAATATCCGCAATACACTTTTGTTCCAAAGCAATTTCAAGCAATTCCTTGTCTAACTTTAACATTCCTGCCATATAGAAAATACATTTTGCGTTGGATTTAACGGCCTTCAGCATCAAGTCTCGATTATTTTTCACAGCAAAAGGAGCTTGTCGGAGCATGTTGCTTTCACCAGAAAACGCTATACTGCAAATTTCTTCGTCGCACTTTAGCCTATATGATAAATATCTGTAGCTAGAGGCAGAATTTGATATTGCAGCCATCGCAATTTGCTTGTCATCTCTCAATTCATCAGAAGCAGCTTTAATAGCATTCCCGTCTGTCTTTACCAGTTTTAGCATAAATGATCTGTCCGCTTTGAGCGATGCTGGTAAATTATTGCAGTTTCCTCCTTGTCTAACCATTTGATAAATGAGCTCCTTGTTTTCAATATTGAATATGGAGGAAGTGTAAGGTGAGAAGAAATGATGGAAGTGCTTCTTGTGTACAAGTTTCTTGGTATCATAATGACAAAAATCAAAACGAATGTTCTCCATTTTCAAGAATTGTTTAAAGGTTCCTAAACCTGAAATAAAATCGTCGTCACTATCATCGCTATCGTAAGTCTCAAGAAGGAGAAGACCTCGTGCATTCATTAGAATTGTTTTCTCTTCATATTTTGTACTTCCAATAACAACTCTTCCTCCCTGTTTTCGCCATTGTTCTATTGGAAGTAACATGTTGCTGATATGTAGAAAATCAGAAGAAAATGGCCTCCGTCCGTTTGTGATTTGCAAAAATTCTCGTAAGTGAAAAGGTATTCTGATCTGCAATCTAGATTCAGTTTGTTCAATCACAGACAATGGTACAGGCTTTTCTTTGAGAGGATGCAACATGAAATTGTTTTCATCATTCCAATAGTCTATCACATCTCGTTTTTCAGCTCTTACACATGCTCTATGAAAAGCAATTGATACTTTTTCAACTACCTTTCGATCTGCATCGGACAAGAAATCAAAGATCATACCAAGTACATCATCAGGAAATAAAGAATTGTCGTTAAAGTTAGAAATTTTCTTTTTCTTTGTTTGAGGTTCTTGTGCGGTATTGTTATTATTAGCCTTTCCGTCTTCCACGCAACTACTGCTGGATTGTTGTTCATCTAGGCTTCTCTTGGTTGAAGATGTTTTCGGTAGTCGTCGTCGAGGCATTTTTTTTGCTTTTTTTTGCAAAAGCTCATGAAATAGAATGAAGAAATCCATTCGATGTGTAATTATTATGAATAATTTGAAGGATAAGGTTGAAATTGCCTTCTCTCATCAACGAACGCTTACATGTGATTGAACCAGACAGGGATCAAGGATTAACACAGACTAATGTCTAATCAAACCATGAAATGGTGGGAAATATTGATGAATATGAATGAAGATGCTTTCGTTTTAGAACGACGGTTTCCAAATTTAGTTTGTCCTCTCTGCTTCTCTCTGTCAAATTTCAAACAAGAAAAAATGGGCAATCAACAAGCTTCTTCTTCCTCTAAGTCCCCTCTCTCACGTCAGCATTATTCTCCTTTTGATCATAGCAGCAATAATGCATTGTCGGATCACCAATTATTAATACCTTCCTCATCTGTAGCTTCAAAACATCGATCGGGTTCAGTACTTCTTGATAGTAACTATATTCATCATCATCACTCACAACAACACAATCATGATACAAATCATCACTCGAATCGAAAGAGTCATCATTTTCATACAAAATTGGAGACAGAATTCATGTCAGAACATGCAAATTCAGCATTTTCAAATTCTCAATTGCCGAATGTCATTTCTTCTCTCACACAGTACAAGATACTTTTATTAGGTTCAGGATCATCGGGAAAGTCAACCTTCTTTAAAGCAATTGAATTGTTTAAAAAAGGAAGTTTTTCCAATACGAAAAAAGGAGTCATCTATTTCAATATCATTAAAGATATTGGAGAATTATGTAAAGACTATTTGAGAACTTTAACACAATTTCTGAATTATGAGAGACAGAATAGTATTGAAAATTTAGAGGAATTGAAAGAAATATTTCCAAACGATTTGCCTCGTTCTGTCACTGATGCCATGGAACGACTTGTGAAATTGGCATTTGACAAGAGTTTTATTCAAAGTGCTGTGAAACGATCCTCTGACAAGTCTTATAATCAAACCTATGACACACATTTTGGTGAACAAGTTTATGATGATATTGAATTGTTGTGGAAGTTTCGACCATTTCATTTATTTGCACATTATCACATTTCACATATTGCAATGCCTTCTTTTTCTCCTTCGTGTGAAAATGAATGGACATGCACTGTTGCAGATATGAGAAATTATGACTATGATGATTTGTTATACTTTCTTGACCATAGAATGAAAGATATTTATCCTCCATATCAATATGAGCCAAATTCAATGGACGTTTTACATCGAAGGCAAAAAACTGTTGGCTTGTATTACATGCACTATATTGAAGATGCCATATTTGAAAATGGAATTAAGGAAACGAGAGATTATCTTTTTGTAGACACTGGAGGGCAACGATCAGAACAAAAAAAGTGGTCGCTTGTGATGCCTAATTCGTTCGTTGTGTTTTACTTTGTTGCCTTGTCTGACATTAATGTCACCCTGTATGAAGATGTGCAACAGAATCGATTTTTTTCGTCATTACTCTTGTTTGAGAAAGTGTGTAAAGAAGTTGATCTCGCCAACGTTCCCTTTATCCTCTTCTTCACCAAAGCAGATATTTACAAAAAGAAAATTAAGCGAGGACTTAATCCCATTGAACTATTTGAAAGTATGAACAGATCGTATCAGATGAAAATTGAATCTAGCAACTCGAGTGTGTCACAACAGGACGAAACAGAGACGGAAGTTGCATTGCATTTACAAACGAGTGAACCAGCTCTGAGGCTTGACTTGTCCAGCGAGCAAGTTGAAAAGATTTATCAGGAATCCATAGAATATTTCACTTGTCAATTCAAGAAACGTCTGTATGGATCAGGTCAGACACTTGAAGTGTATGCACTCAATTCCACAGATCCAAACGAATTTACTTCGACTTTTAAAAAGGTCATGGGTGATTTAAATAAGATTAAGCGTGAGCCTTGATCAGAAAAAATAATTTAATATTGTTGTTGTGGCCTGTACACTATTATTAATATTTAAACACAAATCAGCTGAAGTGAATAAATATTTGAATAATAATTATTCGGAATCATAATATTTTCGTGTCTCACAGATTCTGCGTTTAAAAAGTCTTCAAACATCTGCATGTATGAAATGCATGAGAGCTCTCATATGATCGAGAAATCTCTAATTGTTATCCTCTTCATCATCGTCCTCTTCATCTTCTTCATCATCAGAAAATGCCACCCGGTTTGGATTTCCTTCAAAATATTCATCCTCTTGCTTTTCATGTTTCTCCACTGCGGAGTCTTCTTCATCATTGGTTTCAAATTCAAGAGGCCATTGTCCTTGCTTTTTTAAACTCTTTACATGATGACTCAACAAAATATGATCCACAAATCCTTTAATTTTACCCTTATTTTGTTCACTCCGATCCGTGCTAATCACCACATAATCTCCCTTCTTCACCCAAACCAATTTATTGAACTTGGTTGGTAAAATCACCAATATTCTTTCCTTTGTTACCGGATATTCCACTTCAATTTGGTTAGTTCCTCTCGTAGATACGACCCGAACAATACTTTGTGTTTCGGAAATCTCTGGAGCCTCATCAAAGAGTGTGTTTTGAATATTCTTTCTGGTTTTACTCATTTTTTTTTGAAATATATTTTTGTAAAGCATCTTTCCTTCAATATTGAAATGCAAAAGATTCGGATTTTACAAGTGTTGCATTTCATGATTGCGAATTTTAAAAAGACAAAAGTATCAGCACGACGACGAAAGTGTGTTTTATAAGGCAGAAGAGGAGTGAGAAATGACTGTTGGTTTTGAGAGTCACAACTTGCAGGCGATGTACGAACCATTGTTTCGAGATGAAAGGACACACCGAGTTCAGCTGAGGGTTGTGTCGTTGTCACCACATCACCACCACCTCGACCACTTCCCATCTCTCTCGGAGAAGTAACAACCATCGTGTTCTCCAGTGTTGCTTTTAAATCTCTCAACTCTTCGACGGTTCCCTTAAAAAGTGGTTTGAACAATGGAATGAGTAGAGTGGTGAACACTCGAAAGGAAACCATCTGTGTTCGAGTGGTTATGTGAATTTTTCACAATTGGAAATTTGTTCAATTAAGAAAAGCGATTCATTCAGTTAGTATAATTATTATTTTGAATGTTCAAACATTTTGAAATACTCAAATGCTACTAGATAAATACTTACATTAAATGCAACGGTTTGCATATTGATATGACAGGTGTAAATGATAAATATTGCCAAATAAATGTACCACTGAATATTCGTAGAGACTTGTCTAAATTTTCCTAGTACCCAATTTAGAACAACGACAATAATGAGCAAAAACATGATCACAATCATCGCATTACTAATAATTTTGACAATAAACTCAAATATCTTGTATGTTCTTGACTCAAATTGCCCTTTTGCTAATTGAGCTGTTTTCAAAAAGACATAGGTCACAAATTCATGATGAATGGGATGAATACAACATTGAAGAGAAAAGTTGAAACCTCAAAAGTTCCTGCTGCAAAGAGAGCTGTAATTTTAGAAGAAGAAACACCTGCTTGTAATGCAGTGGCATTGGATTTCATAGTTTGAATGATTTTTTGAGATTCTTCTTGTCCCAATTGATTTTGGAAATAAACATCAAAATCTCTCACAATGGAAATATTCACAGAATCGAAAATAATTCGAATTAGTAATCCAATATATTGAATCACTAACACAATCATTGCCATGGAAAGAAGCGTCTTTTGATTTCTCACAATCTTTTCAATTTTCCTTTTTTGATTTACAAACACCACAAAGATGATCAACAACACCAAAAACACGACAATGAATGACACACTGATCACCATTGAAGAAATACTCAAAGGATAGGGGTCAAAATTACTCAGTGAATAAAAAGCCGAAAGAGCAGAAGTGACATTGTCGGATGGATTTGAATTTTGTTGACCTTTCACTTGAGCGGAAAGGAATGGACATTTGACTTTTTGCTCTTGTTCAAATTAGTTCCATATTTCCAAATCTCTCATGACATTTCCTAATTTCCATCTTTCAATTGTTATCTTTTTGCAGATTAATCGACTCTATGTGCACTCCCTAATCTCCTTCGTTTAAAAGAAATTTTAATAACACGAGAAACTAAAAGATCAACTACTGTAGTACTACTGTAGTGTAATAGTATTATTATTGCTATAATTACAAATGTCACTTATATTCTTTGATCATTGAAAATATTGCTTCAAAGGTGATTGTTTTTTCATCACTTCATTCAACAAGACATGTTCAAACAAATTATTCAAAGCATCACGATTCGAAGCACTGACCCAACAATGTGGAACATTCAATTTCTTTGCAATATTCGTGAGAGCACTATTATCTTCAGAATTGGAAATGGCTTCATTAATTTGGACAAGAACGATTGGAATTTTTGAAACATCGGTTCTTTTCACAAATTGAATTTCTTCAACTAATTCATTCAAAATGTCAATCGTATTCTTTTGATTGTTGCAACAGACGAGAATAAATGCATTAGAGTTGTGAATTCTTTCATCAAGATATTCCTCTTCATCTCCATTGACATCCAATAAATTGAGAGAAATCACTTGATCATAAACTTTCAATTCTTTTGAATATAAATCATCTCCACTGGATGGAATATTTTCCATATAATTGGTAATGAGTGTTGATTTACAAACTAGAGAGCTCGATTCACCAGATTCTCCAATAAAAACAACAATTTCATCTGGAAGTGGTTTGACAACATTCACTTCTCCCAATGAATTCACAACACATCTCACAACTGCTTGAGTAGATTTAGATTGGAATAAAAGTGACACTTGTTGAATGGAATCATTACGAATCTTCGAAACTTGTTCAAGTGTGAATTCATGGTTGGCACCTCCTCCAGTGACGAAATGGTACGACACAGAATGTAATTGTGAAGAATTTTCACTCACATGCAAACGTAATTTGATGTAATAATCATAGAAAGAGAGAGATCTTTCAAGAGTGGTTTCACATTTCTCATGACTCACAGAATGGCCTAGTTCAATCGTTTTCCATTGTGGAGATGACAAATGAGCAGCAAGTCCATATTTTGCAAGCAGAGCAATCATGGGCTCTCTCCATTCCATTGGACATTCTTCACAAATAATTCGTTCCATACTCTTTAGAACACCAGAATTATTTTCAACTCTTGCTGTTGCATTTGCCTTGTGTTCGAGCAATAATTTGGCAAGTTTCACTTGACCACTTTCAACAGCTCGATGTAATGCAGTTTTTCCAGCAAAATCTCTGACATCAACGTTGGCATTGTGTCTCAATAACCAATCTGCAATTAAATAACTCTTCAATTCAATGGCATAATGAATAGGATATCTAACTTCATTGTCAATGACACATGGAATGTTAACATAGGCTGCCAATTCATTCTCTTGTTCTGTCAATATTTCGAGAGCGAGATCAGTCAAGAAAACATCCTTTTCATGTGAATAATTGTCGTGATCAAGAGTAAATGAAATGGACTCTTCTGAATCTTGTTGTTGCTCATTTCCATTCTCTAATGATTGTAAAATAATTAAGAGTAAATTTTGTTGTTTTGGAAGTTTGGATGCCTTCAAACGAAGACCTTCCTCTTTCAAAATCTTGTATGCTTTTCTATTTCCTTCCATGAGAGCAAACAATAAAAGATTTGCCTTAAAGTGTGACTCTTCATCGACTAACATTTCAACTCTTCCAAGTTGTTCCTTAACACAATGATGTTTCTTATTGTATGCAATCAACTCTTTCAACAAGTTTGCATCTTCATGGAGAATGGAAATGAAAAACAATTTCTTGAAACATTCTTCAGAAGGTTGTGACTTGCTTAACAAGCCCAATAACTCTGTGACATTATTTTCTCTTGCCAATTGTTTCATTTGAATCTCAACGTCAGCATTTGCAGCAATGGATACTTTGGCAGTGACAGGTTTTTGCTTTCTCAACAATTCTTTCAAGAGATGAACATTGAAAATGTCATTCACTTGAAGAGTTTCTCTTGCATTGCAACACATGAATGGAATTTTGTATTGTTGAGCTTTTCTTTCAACCAATTTTGGAATGGATTCTGCCTTTTCAATATCTTCCTTGTCGAGAACATCCAAATACTTTTCTTGTGACTCTAAAATATCACACTTGTTCAAAACAATGACAACAGGTGTCTGATCGAGTCCACCAATGATTTGTCCACTGTTGGAGAGACCTTCGATGGTTGGTTGAGATGAAACTCTGCTGTTGATTTGTTTCACAATGTCATCAATCAATTCTTCACATTGTGTTGGTTCATCGAGAACGCTACACACAATCAAAAAAGCATTTCCATCAGCAATATATTGTTTTTGTAATTGTTTGTATTCACCCTTTCCTCCACATTCGTTAATACTCAATGTGACACTGTCATCATCCACTTGAATGGTTTTGTAGTAATGTTCTGTGACAGTTGGCACATATTCTTCTGTAAATTGTGAAGAAATGTATTGACGAATAATACTTGATTTACCAGATGATTCATTTCCCAATACAACAACTTCAATGTAATCAGATGGAAAGACTGGAGAGAATTTGGTATGACTACGTTGTGTGGTTGTTGTTGCTGATGATGAAGAAGAAGTGGTTTGAACTTGAATGGAATTTGAATCTTTGAGAGTCATTGAGATGTTGTTGTAATTGTTGTGTGATGAGAGAAGACTTGGATGATCAAAGAATGGTAATGATGAAACTGATTGTATGATCGTTTCGATGATCGAAGAAAATTTTAAATTCGTTGGATGATGGTTCCTACTCTTGTGGTTGAGTATTTGACGAATAATTGCAAAACGTGATGATCAACAATGAGAGAGAAGGTACAGTGATGATGAATTGGACGTTCGCACTAGGAAGCAATGCTGTTCTAAATGCTTTGTTTTTTTAATGTTGACAATTGCACCTTTCAAATGACAAGAAAGGAATGAATTTGATAGAAACAGAATTTAGGCAATAGAAATCAAACGTATCTGAAAGATGATCTCGAAGAGACAAGAGGAAATATTGACAATCGTTGATGAATCAACACTCCTCCAACAACATACAGCAGGATTATGATAAGTCAACATGCTCGTCTGGATTGCACGTGCGTTTGCTCGCAACTTGTGGTCGCAACTGACAGATCCCTAACCTGGCGCCAATTTTGTTTGCTTCATCTAACCGTTAAGAAATTCAAAAAAAATATGAATAGTGTGAATGCAAGAGAAGAAGACTTCGCAGATTTCAACGTACTCGATCCGCGATCAGAATCTGCCGAGAATGATGAGCCACAACAACAGCAAGATGAATCATCCGCACTCGTCATGCCATCATCCAATAGCAGCAGCCATGAATCTTTATCTCATGCCCGCTCTCTCCATCATCATCACGATGAAGAAGATGAAGGCAATCTCTCCGACAACAGTGTTGAGAGTGAAGGCTATTCAATTCTCCGTGATGAATCTGTGAATGATTTATTGAAAGAGGTAAGCTGGAAGTCCGATTGAAATAAGCTCATCCAAAGTTAATAACTTTTGTCGTCGTCGTGAAACACTGTTTTTTGGATCATCCACTGACCAATTCAATCATTGTGCTCTCTCAATTGACTTCCATTACTGTCTATTAGATTGATTCACTTCACCAACAACCCATTGGATCTACAAAGAATGACAGCAAATCTCCTAAACCAATACTGAAGAAAACGACCCTTTCTCAATCTGTAAAACATGTCAACTTCCCTTCCTCAACACCTCCACCTTCTAGCAACCAATTACCATCTTCGGTTGACATTTCGAACAATAACAAGGAAAATAGGGTTGAGATGAAAAACTCAACCACAACAGCTGCTGTGAAAAGCAAATCCAAAGTGGCAACCATGGATCCATCGACTTCAACTGGCATGTCCATTGAGAGTCAAAAACAAATTGAAAAGCTACTCAATGAAAATTGTGATTTAAAGTTAGAACTTACGGCCTTAAAACGAGAGTTGCAGGCTACCAAGAAACAGCAAAAGAAAGCACACAAACATTACAAGAGAGTAGAGAGCGACTATCAAACCATGAAACAAAATCAATCGGTCTTGATGGAGAAACTCGAAGAAAAGTCATCCCTAATTTCTCAATTCAAGAAACAAACACAAAAACAAAAGAGTGAAGAAAAGTTTGTTGAACAAGCCAAAAAGTTGAAAAATTCCATCCAAGAAGCATCGAGTGTATCTGTGCTTCACAAGAATTATCGAGACAAAACCTGGGAGGAATGTACCATCGAATCCAACTCTCAACTCTCTCAAATCACTTCTGAATTGTGTGTCGAGAATCAAACCGATTTGGCCGATTCAGAGCTCAAAACTTTCACCTTGGAACTCATTAAGGAACTCATTGAGATGAAAATCACCATCAATGATTTAAAGAACAATATTGTAGAGTTGGGCGTCAAGAAGGAGCAAGATTTTAGAGAGTGGTACTCGAGCAATTTGAAGCTCCACCAAGCCATTCAACAAGTCACACAAAGAAACAACAACCAACCCATGAACAAGCAATCTTGGAAAAAGTAAACGAACTTTATACTTGCAACCGAGTTGAGGTACATTTTACAACAATAACCTCTTCTTTCCAACTATGGGAACATTAAACTCCTTCCACATTCTAACAAGGAATTCTTCTTTGGGTTTCTATTTTACTCGAAATGTTCATGTGCGCTGTAAATGATACTCATTCGGTTGAACGTTCGCATTAATTTCGAATAAAAACTGCAAAATTCCATCGTTGAGTGTTTCATCCATTTTGTAAGGATGCGACTCATGAGTGAGTGCTTTGAGTTTGTTCGTCCTCCTCCTCCTCACTTGAACCTGTGACTCTCGCGTGATGCTACGACTTTTTACTAACTTGCTTGATGAATTCAATCGCTGAGCATCTCTCTCTTGTGATCCTTTTGCCTCCTTTGAAATTCAAGTAAAAGACGAAATTCATCATCGAAGTGCGAGTAGTTATTACATATACTGCATTAGCACACGACATCGTCGTCGCAACTGCACATCCTCAGCTCATCCAGCAGCGGACCTTTTTGCATGTCCCGAAGTGCTGTGAACCGCTCTAATCCGATTCACCAATTCTCAAAATTGCGTTCTAATTGTCGTGAATCGCAACAACAAGAATGGACTTTTAAAACTACACTCACAAAAAAACCAAACCACACTCCTTCACACGGTGTCCATTCGTCAAAGAGTCTTAGCTTACTTATTCCATCACTCCTTTCTACACACACGTGTGAAGAAGAAGTGTTATTTATATATTGGTATCGAGGCCTCCTCTCAAAGATTCATTGAACGCACACACAGACAGACAACTCACTGTTGATATACCGTTTGGAGAGAATCATTCTCTTCTCATATTTCTATATCCACTCTATTGTTACTTTCACTACAAACCCTTTTACTACCATGTCAGCTTTACATCTCACTCCCACGAATAGCATTCACAATTCCACCAATTATCATTACTTTACCACTCCACAATCAGCATTCATGACTCACCAACCCATTTCCTCATCTTCACACAATTTGAATTCTCCTTCTCATGACCACCACCACCATAACCATCCTCATGATTCAAAAACGAAAAGCTCATTTGAAACCAACACCACCACCTCTTCTCCTGCCCTCTCAGATGTAAGAACTCTGAAAGACAACATTCATACCTCATCAAGTACTTCCTCGTCTCCACCAATGATGACAACAATGACTCCAGTAGCTATTCGAGTGTTCAATACTACTAATGATCACGGTGAAGAAGACCACCACTCTTCTTCTTCATCTGTGTCATCGTCGTCGTTGTCTTTATCGTCGGCGTCCGCTTCGTCTCCCATGTCTCATGCTGATTCGCAAATTTTGTGTGGCAAGTCAACAACTTCCAAACGCACATCACCCAAGTCAAGAACAAGAACATCTACGAGTAAATCTAGTCCAAAACCATCGAGTCATTTGACTGTTAATGACTCATCCCCTCCTCCTACACGAATTTCTAAATATGCATGTCAAAAGTCAAAGAAAAAGTCAAAAATCAACATACCTGTGTTCGAATTGATTCGAGTGATGGCGCTTCCTCAAACCTCTGCCGCTCAAGTCTTGGGTGTTTCTCTGAGTACTGTAAGTATTTAAATCGAGAGCATATTTACAGGAATGATTATAATAATGCACAATAGTTGAAAAGACGATACTACGAATTGGGAATTGGAAGATGGCCAGGTCAAATTGCCAATAACCCAAAAGAAATCGAAAAGGCAACAGAAAGTTCTCCTGAAAAGAAGGTTCAATTATCGTTTTTATTGAATGGAGAAGATGTTGAAGCTCGCCAAATCGATCAAATCACGTGGTCGATATTGAATTTTACTTTCAAACAGTCTTTCTAGAGGTTTTTAAACAGCGCATATGAGACAGAAAAAGTACCACACCCACCCTCATAAACACATGAGATTTTGCGAAGGTGCTCGAACAAGTCGTTTATAACATGATTTTGTTCCACCTTCATTGATGTTTATTAAATATCAAACCATTCATCGACTTGATCTGATGCCTCTTTCCTCTTGGATGAGGATTGGCCTGTGTTTGGCGTTTGGCTGGGCAATGATATTGAGAACATATTTTGAACACTTGCCAATTTTGTTTTTACAACTTGTATTGCAATGTTGGTAACATCCTTTGAGAGCAGTCCAATAAAGTTATTCTATTTGAGATTGTTTGGAATAATTTCAAGATAATTCGTGCATGATTGGTAAAACCTACCTTAATTTTTCCATCCAATTTGATAATACTCTCATGCAAGGAGCTATTGATATTTGTTTCATCAAGAAACTTTCTATACACAAATGTTAAAATGTCACACATCGAAAAAACAACTTGGCAATAATCCAACGAGCAATGCTGAACAAATAGAAAATAAAAAAATATAATATTAGAAGTGCATGCTGATATCGAGGATACTTACAATATGTGGTGTCTGCAAAAATTCATAAATTACTGATCCATTTGATTTGTGAATCGTGGGTTTGATAGTTTTTTGAGAGGGAATTACAGGAGTCTCTTCCTCGACAAAGGTATTTGTAAATGCTTTCAATATTTTCATTCCTTGCATCGCCATGCTAGAATAATGATATTCATATTCTTCCATTAATTGAGAACATGCCCGTACGAAATGATATCCATCATTATAGTTAATGAGAGGTGCCAACGACACTCCTAAACAAAACCATTGTTCTAATCGTTTTTGTAATTCTTTTGGTTGATAAGCATTCTCAATTTCACTAGGTGACACTTTTACCACGTTCAACCACATAATTTTTCCTTCATGAAATCTTCTCAGATAGTCCAAATTTTCCAGTCTTTTCTGAACAAGAAATTCCATGAGTGGTACTTTTTGGTCAATGGTTCTCGTCATCGCCACAGGATGTACTTCGTTTTCCAAATTAGAAGTTAGTGATCCTCTTCTGACACGTCTGCCATGATTTGAGGAGCCTTCAATTCCTCCTTCCCCAAATGTTTGATTCAGCGAGGGCGTAAGTCTTTTATTTGATGGTGAAGATGAAGGAGAGCTCATAGTGTTATCTGTTGTTGTAGAGCTTTTGGTTTCGTCTATCACTCCTGTAGAATAATTTTTCCGAATCGTTGAATTATTATTTGATGTTGTCGTATCACTTCCTCCACTCTCCATTGATGTATTGATCATCGAGTTTGGATGATATGAAACACTATTTCTTTTTGATCCCGATGATGTTTGTATTTCCATATTATTATTTGTAGCATCGTTATCCAGCCTGGTAGTACTGGTGGTAGCATGATTATTAACAACCGTAGTACTGCCACTGCCAACAGTACCACCATTGTTGATATTTTGTTGTGCAGCTCCGATAGGAGTCACATTGCCCGACGATGAAACCCGAGAAATTGAAAAGACTTTTTTCATTTTTTTTTATTATGAATTTGTAATCCTTTATATTTCCGATCTTTGAAAATCTCATAATTCTCTCCTGTATGAATGTGTTCTTCATGAATGATCTGCTTTGTATTCTTGAGAAGATCCCCTTTGTTTTGAAATAGATTTTGTAAAAAAATGAGTAAACGAGCATCAAAACGTGCATCGGAGTCATCAAACAACAATGACATCGAGCCTCGTTCCTCCTCTCAACATATGATTATTAAAAAACATTTTATTGTTTTTGTATTGGGAGATATTGGTCATAGTCCGAGAATGCAATATCACTCGTTATCAATAGCTAAAATGAACGAGATGAATCATCACGTAGATTTTGTTGGATTGTATGACTCGGATCCTCATGAACAAGTTCTAAATCAGAAAAATTTGAAAATCAATCGATTGGCTTCTCAATGGTGGAATTGGGTGAATTATTTCATGAGAATTCACTTTTTGTTTTTCTTGTTGTTTGCTCCTTTGAAAGTGATTTTGCAATTTCTTGTCATGTCCATTCAATTATCGTGCATTATTAACAGAAATCCTTTTGGAAAAGAATACACTCCAAAGAAAATATTATTGACTCAGAATCCTCCAGCAATTCCTACATTATTTTTGTTTTGGTTATTACAGAAAATTCATCTCATTAAGCTTGATGAGTATATTATTGATTGGCATAATTATGGATTTTCCATTTTGGCTCTATCAAGAAAAAACAAGTATCTGATAAAGTTTGCTCAGTACTTGGAGTTTAGCTTTGTTCGAGGTTGTGCGACACATCATTTGTGCGTATCAGAAAAACTAAAGGAAGATCTTGTTAAGAGACTGAAAATAGATCCCAATATTGTGACAGTAATGTACGATAGACCTCCTGAAATGTTTGGAAAGAATCTGTCATCCAATGAAAGAACAGAGCTTTTGGAAAATGTGTTAAAAATCGACACGAGCCGAAATTTTAAGCTCATTATCAGTAGCACGAGTTGGACTGAAGATGAAGATTTTTCAGTGCTATTATCATCAATTATTGATCTTGAAAACAAACTTAAGGATCTGTCTCCACCGCTTTATTTAGAATTTGTAATAACAGGAAAAGGGCCTCAAAAAGAATATTATCTAAAGAAAATTGCTTCACTTAACCTTAAATTCTGCAGAATTCAAACTGGATATCTTTCATATTCAGACTACTCGAAATTACTAGCATCGAGCGATGTTGGAGTTTGCCTTCATTACTCAAGCTCAAAACTCGATCTTCCAATGAAAGTTGTGGACATGTTCGGTAGCAATTTACCTGTATGTGCAATTGAATATGACGCATTACCTGAGCTCGTCAAACATGGACAAAATGGTTACATTTTCAAAAACAAGAAAGAGTTAACGGAATATTTGGATGAGCTGTTACTATCTCCTGAAGGTAGTAAAAAGCTCAAATCTATGAAGGAACATTTAAAACAGAATTTTCAAACTCATAGATGGGACGACGAATGGAGCAGCAAAGTACGACCATTGCTTTAAATATTGGTTTTCTACTTGTTTTTTCTACAAATACCAATCTAAAAAACTGTTTGTTTTAAAGATACTCAATCTGTTTCTTGTTAACTTGCGATTTTTTAATGAACAGACACGCCAAAAAGGAATTTGTGGGTTGGTTGTCAACACATTTCCCTCCAAAGAGATACGTTACTGAAAAAAATTTTCGTTTCAAATCTACAGTTTTTTATTTAAAAAAATGTCTCTCAATAAGAAGAGCGTTACCTATCCTGTTGGTAACCGAAGTGCAACCGTCTTGGGTGTGAATCGAAAATATTACGGAAAACATGAAGATGATAACAACAACAATTCTAAACGTTCTGCAAAGGGACGAAGTGTGGATGCAGAAAACTTCCGTTCATTATACACAACAAACCCAAATTTAAGAAAGAGCGACTTGTCAGCGGAGAAGATCAACAAGCTAACTCTCCGAACCCGAAGAGAAAAGAGAGTACAGTCAGCAGAGCCATCTACAGACTTGGAGTATCGAAAACACGCTTCCGAAAAGTTCAGCCATTTTCTCCATACTAGGCCAAGCTTTTCGTTTGCCTATCATTCCGACCTCAACCCTTACGCAAAACAACATGAAACCATTTTTCATACTAATATTGGAACTACATGGACTTTACACGAAAAGATGAATCAAGACCTGGAGACAACACGTGTCGCCAACAGAAATGAATGCTTATCAGAGAAACGGCTTGAAAATGCGTTCTATATCAAGCCAATTGAAAAGTCCAAAGACCCTCAAGGTGATTCGGGTCCACAACGACTGGTTAAGGTTGATAAATTTACAACCTCTCCGGATAAAACTGATGAAATGAGAAAATTACAACAATTACGAGATAGTTTGGTGCGTCAACATTACATTCCCTACAACGAAGGACTGAAAACAACAAATACTGAGATGAAAATTAATGAGAGTCTGAAACAGTACTTCCCTTTTGAGCCCAAACTCAGATATGGTAGGTCTGTGACCTATGATACTACCAGTGATGTTGTACCTGATGAAAACACACCGCAATATGCAACCAATAATTACAGGTTGGTGAGAAAACTAAATGATCATCTCACATTTCAAAAGGATGTATATTCAGACCTGAGAAACAAAACTCTAACCATCGCAAAGAATAACGTTGAGCGAAAGCGTAAGGTATTTCAATCCGTGGAAGATAGAGCTCGTGAGAGTGACAAAATTGAAGCTAATAAGGACAATGCTCGAATACTAGCAAGGAGGAGTCTAAAAGATCAATATATACAAACCATCCACGAGAATGATGCTGCTCATCTATATGATTTCTGCACCGGAGAAAGGTTGGAGCATGTGAAACTTCACAAAATAGGTTATCCCACGGACTATGACTAAACCTATTACTCCGTTGAATGGTTCAACAGTTTGATTGCCTCTCTAAAATAGGATGGTGTTTCAGAATGGAACTCGAACGTTTTTCCAGTACGAGGATGAACAAATTTCAAATACGAAGCGTGGAGGAATTGACCTTTTTCTAGAGCGAATTTTTCAAACTCTTCTTCGTACTTGGATTGTTTTTTCTTCTTGGATTTGTTGCCAGATTTAAAACGAGGATTATAGAGCACGTCCCCCACAAGAGGTCTATTCAAATGAGCAAATGATACTCGAATTTGATGAGTTCCTTAATATACATGATTTCAAAACTTTGAATGTATCACCATAATAAAATGGTCACAAACTTACTTCCAGTCAAAAGTTTACATTGAACAAGACTCAAAGTATGACATCCACTTAAATTTTTAACAGCAATTGTTTCAAGCTCTTTGTACTCAGTAATTGCCAATTTTGCTCCAGTGTCCAAAGGATTTTTCGTAATTTCTCTCTTGGAAGGTATCGAATGATGACGCTTAATATAAACCTCAATTTTTCCTTCAACTGGTTTTAGCTCATTTTCTACAAGAGCTTGATAATACCTTGTAATATTAGAGTCATTCCCGTTCACTTCTAAAGGACTATTCTTATTTTCAAACAATTTTTTAAGAGCCAAATGTGTGTCATTATCTTTTGCAATGACCATTATTCCACTTGTATCCCTGTCTAGTCTATGAACAATGCCAGGTCTGTAATGTTCATCACAAGAGCCACACGTTGAAAGTTTTCCTTGACAATGAAATAATAAAGCATTGACCAGTGTTCCTGTCGTATTTCTTGGTTTTGGTTTTAACGAAGGATGCACAGTCATAAATTTAGGTTTGTCCAATACAATTAAATAATCATCTTCATAAAGAATGTTGAGAGGTATATTTTCGGGTTGAATGGAAGAGGTATTTTCTACATCGTTCGATGTATTATTGTTCAAATTTCGTTCATGAGGAATTGAATTATTGGATGACTCATCCGAAATTAATTCACAATGTTTTTCAACCATTACCACCACACAATCACCATTTCGGAGTTTGAATGCTGGCTTGTTTACCACTTCGTCATTGTAGAGAAATTGATATCTTGTGCTGTCAGAGCCAGTTGGATTTAAAGAATGCTGAATGAGCTTGGAAACAGCATTCTTGGATACTTGTCTTTCTTTGAAGAATTTACTGAACAGGAACACATCGAGTCTTTCCTTGTGGAAGTCTGTAGAGACTTCCAATCGAAATTGTTCAACATGTGCGGAAGAAGTGCTGTTTTGTTGCTGCAACATTTTTTTCTCTTCGATGTTCGAACAACAATAAAGTAAAGGACCCCCTTGATGAATGAACAAGTGCTGATTCTTGGACCATTTCAACAACAAGTGTCACTGTGGTGAGCTTGGAAATATTTATTTGTACATGGAGGTTGTTATTACAAGAATTGTATTTACAGAGAGAGAGGAAGACGATCATCAGAGTGGTGGT